CCGAGCCTTGCTTCTGAAGAAGTAAGTCGTGTTTCTTCATTTGTGTATAAAGCTTATTTTCCTGTTAAATTCTTGCTTCTGGTGCTCTAGAGTTTTGTCTTTTCCTCACAAAGTTTAGTGTCAACAATTCTCTTTGTGCTTAGCTGTTCTGCTTACATATTTTTTTCATTCGCATTTTTGCAAAATTTATCTTTTTAGATATGGAGAGCAAGGGAGTGCCTGAATATATTTTCTAGTAGCCGGACTGTTAAAGCTGAGGCCGATATCATCGATGCAGTTACTGTTAGGCTTCCAGATCTTGGAGTTACTCTCTTACCAGTTCAGTTCAAACAAGTAAAAGACCCAATGGAGATTATTAAAATGGCCATCACAGGGCATCCTGGGGCTTATTTACATGTTGAAGAACTTATTGAGGTTGCTAAACTTCTCGGGTTGAATTCTTCAGAAGATATATCATCTGTTGAGGAAGCTATTGCTAGAGAAGCGGCAGTTGCAGGCGATCTGCAGCTGGCTTTTGATCTATGCCTTGTTCTAACCAAAAAGGGGCATGGTCCTATTTGGGATTTAGGTGCTGCAATAGCAAGAGGTCCTGCACTTGAGCACATGGATGTAAGTTCTCGAAAGCAGTTGCTTGGCTTTGCTTTGGGTCACTGTGATGATGAATCGATCAGTGAGTTATTGCACGCATGGAAAGATCTTGACCTGCAAGGCCAATGCGAGACTCTGGGAATGTTATCAGAATCAGATTCTCCAGAGTTTCACAAGATGGACGGTGTTTCTTGTCTGAGAGATTGCCCTCGGATGCTTGATGGGCTAAGCTTTGATCAACAGCTAGATTTGGATAGAGTCAAGGATACACTTTTTGTTGTGGCGAAAGACTTGCCTGTTGATAATAGTGTGGACTTGGAATCTCTTCTTAAGGAAAATGGGAAGCTTCTCTCATTTGCTGCTTCACACCTTCCTTGGTTGCTTAAGCTGGGTAGAAATAGTAGCTTGGATAAAAGTCTAGTGCTTGATTCAATTCCTGGAAAGCAGTTTGTCAGCACAAAAGCAACTGCTCTTGTTACCATTCTTTCTTGGCTGGCAAGGAATGGTTTTGCACCAAAAGATGAACTGATAGCCATGATAACAGAATCGATCATTGAACAACCGGTAACAAAAGAGGAAGACATTGTGGGATGCTCTTTTCTGTTGAATCTAGTAGATGCATCTAATGCAGTAGAAGTTATAGAAAAGCAGTTGAGAATAAGGGAGAACTACCAAGAAATTCGAAGTATCATGAGTCTAGGGATGATTTATAGTTTGCTACATGACTCTGGAGTAGAGTGTACGGCTCCCAACCGGAGGAGAGAACTGCTACAGAAGAACTTTGAGAGAAAGCAGATAGAAAGTCTCTCTGGTAAGGGTTATCTCAAGATACCTGTTTTCTTCGACCTTTTTTTACCGCTTGGTGCCGATTTATAGAACATTAATCTTTTGTGCTTCTGAAATTTTTTTCCTTCTTGCTTTATTTTGGTTCAGATGATATCAGCAGGATCGACAAACTTCAGTCAACTTTTTGGAAGGAATGGAAACATAAATTAGAGGAAAAAATGCATGTAGCTGACCGTTCTAGAATGCTGGAGAGAATCATTCCCGGGGTTGAAACTGAAAGGTTTTTGTCCCATGATATTGACTACATTAAGGTTGCTGTTTTTTCGCTCATTGAATCTGTGAAATTGGAGAAGAAGCTGATTTTGAAGGATGTACTAATATTAGCTGATACATATGGCTTAGAGCAGTCAGAGGTAGGAAATTTACATATAACTCTTTAAAGCTTATCTTTTCCTCAACTGCATCTACTATATATCTATCTGTCTTTGTGTTCTCTCCAGGTGATATTAAGGTATCTAAGCTCAATCCTCTGCTCCGAGGTTTGGACAAATGAGGACATCACGGCTGAAATATTACAAGTCAAGGAAGAAATACTTGCCTTTGCTTCGGACACCATACAAACCATAAGCACAATCGTATACCCAGCTGTTAGCGGTCTTAACAAACAGCGCCTTGCTTACATATACAGCCTCCTTTCTGAGTGCTATTGCTCTTTGGAAGAAAGCAAGGAAGAATCATTGTTGGTGCAACCGCATAGTTCCTTCGTTTGGTTATCAAATTTTTATAACATCCTTAAGCAAGAATCCAGTAGAGTGTCGTTTATCACAGATTTGGATTTCAAAAATATCGCGGAATTTGGAGGTTTGAACTTAGCCAGCTTCAACAATGAAGTCCATGCCCACATCAATGAGATGAGTTTGGAAGCTTTAGCCAAAATGGTAGAAACTCTCACTGGCTTCTTCAGGGAGGATTCGCCCAAGGGTCTCATTTCCTGGCAAGATGTCTACAAACAATATATTATGAATTTGTTAGACACATTGGAGAGTAGAAGAGATCTTGATTTTGGAAGTGCAGAGAGTTTCCAGGGATTCCTCAGTCAACTTGAGCAGACCTATGACCACTCTAGAGCATATATCAGGATCTTGGAACCTTTGCAGGCTCTGGAAATTCTGAAACAGCATTTCACGCTAGTTCTACCTCCAAATGGTTCCTACGTGCACATCCCTGATAGTTCGACATGGCAAGAATGCCTTATCTTACTGATTAACTTTTGGATAAGATTAGCCGATGAGATGCACGAAGTAAAATCATCTAGTCCAGGTCTTTTGGAGAACCTTACCTTAAGCCCTGAGTGCATTAACAGCTGTCTTACTGTTCTCATAAGACTAGTAATGGACGACAGTCTCTCCCCAAGTCAGGCTTGGGCTGCAATACTTGTTTACCTTAGGTCTGGCTTGGTTGGTGATAGCGCCACTGAAGTCATCAGTTTCTGCAGAGCCGTGGTCTTCTCTGGTTGCGGATTCGGGCCTATTTCTGATGTCTTCTCAGATTTATCCTCTCGGTATCCAACAGCTTTGCAGGATCTTCCGCAACTTTATTTGAGCGTACTTGAACCTATTTTGCAGGATTTAGTATCTGGGGCTCATGAAACACAGAATCTTTACCGATTGCTATCTTCTCTCAGTAACTTGGAAGGTAATTTGGAAGAACTGAAACGTGTTAGGCTTGTAGTGTGGAAAAAACTGGTAGTGTTTTCGGAGAACCTGGAGTTGCCAAGTCAGGTTCGCGTCTACTCCTTAGAGCTTATGCAGTTTATCTCGGGTAAGAATATCAAAGGCTCGTCGTCTGAGCTACAATCAAACGTGATGCCATGGGACGGTTCAGCTGAGTTACTATCATCTATGCAGAAGACTGAAGCCACACTAAACCAAGCATTGCCTGACCAGGCTGATGGCTCTAGTAGGCTCACAAACACTCTGGTCGCACTTAGATCATCTCAGATCGCTGTGGCGTCCATCTCTCCAGGCTTAGAGATATCCCCTGAGGATCTATCGAGTGTTGAGACATCTGTTTCCTGCTTTTCTAAACTCTCTGCTGCGGTTACTACGGCTTTACAAGCTGAAGCTCTTCTGGCGGTTTTAGAAGGATGGGAAGAGCTATTTGAAGCAAAGAAAGCCGAACTACCGCCATCTAACGAAGCAACTGACCAAGGAAATGACTGGGGCAATGATGATTGGAATGATGGATGGGAAACACTTCAGGAATCAGAACCTGTGGAGAAAGAGAAAAAGGAATACGTAGTCTCAGCTCATCCCTTACATTCCTGCTGGCTGGATATTTTCAGAAAGTACATTGCACTGTGCATGCCTGAAAATGTTATACGACTTGTAGATGCATCGCTTCAGAAACCCGAAGAGGTCTTGCTTGAAGAAAATGAAGCAGAAAGCCTGACCGGATTCTTGGCCAGGACCGACCCATATCTCGCACTAAAGATTTCTCTTTTGTTGCCCTACGAAAATATCAGATCTCAGTGTCTCAACGTTGTTGAAGAAAAACTGAAGCAAGAAGGCCTTCCGGAATTATCCAGTCAGAACCATCATGAAGTTCTACTTCTGGTTCTATATTCTGGGACTCTCTCAACGATCAACTCCAGTTCTTGCTACGGCTCAGTCTTCTCCTTCCTCTGTTATCTGATTGGAAAGCTATCTCGGGAGTTCCAGGAGAAGCGGATAACACAAGCCGACAAGAGAGAATCGAATACAACTTCCGAGGGAAGGTTCCTGTCATGTTTTGGGGAACTCATGTTCCCGTGTTTTGTCTCAGAGCTTGTGAAGGCCGGTCAGCAGATATTAGCCGGGTTTCTGGTGACCAAGTTCATGCACAGTAACCCATCTCTGAGTCTGATTAATGTTGCAGAGGCAAGCCTGAGGAGGTACCTGGAGAAGCAGCTTGAGTCTTTGGAGCATTTGGAGGATTCGTTTGGTGAGACCACAGAACTTGAAACGCTGAAGAATACGGTGTCAAGCCTAAGGGGCAATTCCAAGGAAATTATACGATCCGCCTTAAAATCTCTTTCTAGTTGTACAAACAGCAGATGATATGAAAGAAGGATGCTTCTTGCACGGTGAAATGGTAAAAAAACGAAGTAATTTAGTGATTACGATGCTTTCGGCATCTCAACTTTCATGTTTGATCAGTTTTCGCCGAAACAAAAGAGTACGTTTTATACAGTTATTGTCTACTGACCATCACTCACTCAAATGTAACTACAGCCAACACCAATTTTTGCATTCAGTTCTTAATTCATAACTTTAGTGAAAAAACTTAAACTTCATGCGAAGCTTCTTATATAAACTCCTAGTTGATTCCATATACGAATAAATTCTAGTAAAGATCGGTTTATATTAAATAGAATTTAGAAACGTAACTTAATAATCGAAAATATATTCTATTAATATTTTATATACAAGAGTGAGAGACAACAATAGTAACACACACTCTTCTGTTTGCGACAAGAAACTATATCAAAAAAGAAAAAGTGATTGAATGATAAGAATCCATCCAATCACATAACAAGCTGAGAATATTAAGTTTGGGCTGCAAAAGAATAATAATGAATGAATGATTTAGAGATTGAGTGGCTCAGTTTCTGAGTTTCGATCCTTAATGGGAATCCAGTCCTCTGCTTCTGTGACAAAAAGAAGAAAAAGAAAATCACACAGAGTTCATGATCTCTTTTGGCAAAATCAAACGAGAAAATGAAAAGAAAAGAGTTGGAGATTATCAGAGTAGTTTACGTACTGGGCTTGTCAGAGATGAGCATAAGCCTCCGTTGTAATATAGAAGCTACAAATAGGAAGATAGAGCACATCCCAAACATAATTGTGATCGGGAATGCGTTAACCTGTAGAAGAAACCACAACGAAATGGTTAGTGTGAATCTCGCAGATGCGTGTTGTTTGTTTAGCCATTTTTTATATAGTGAGGACATCAAAATCTTTTCTTTACGTTATACAAGACGACGCAGACGAAAATGTTGAGTGGGATACGGAAGAAATTCATGATGGTGCTTCTTGCTTCTTCAGGAATGTATTGTGATCTCATCTTCATGATTGAAGGCCAGAATATTCCAACGCATGCCTCGAAGACACAGAACCCCAGAAGCTGTATGCAACCAGTGAGTGACATCCCTTCGGTTTTCACCTTTGACGGCGTTACAAAGACCTGTTTTCTCAAGAAGCGGTCATGTTCATGAGAAAAGAGTTAAGCAGTTGAAGGAGTTTAAAGGAAAGAAACTGAATCAATACGTACGCTTGTGATGATTGGAAATAGAAGAGAAGCTGCTGAGACTAGAAAGACGATTTGCATGTAGCTTTCGACTCTAGGAGATGAGCGAGCCATGAGGCGAGCAGCTAAGGAGCTTCCTAACATGGAAGCCAACATGAAGGTTGCAAAGATGAAGCCATGTGGGATTTCTTCGTCGTTCGGGCTAAGAGCTGGTGTCCAGAGGAAAACAAATGTGTACATTGAGCCTTCGAATAGAGATTGGATTGCTCCAAGCAACGCGATTTTTTCATCTGGCAAATCAAATGTGACTCTTGTTAGAGATGATGTCCCCGAGGAGATGGAAAATCAACAGCCACAATGTTAAGTTTGAACTTGCCTGAAGCAATTGCTATGGAAGCAACCTTGAACTGTGTGAGCAAATCTTTACTGTCAGATGCATCACCGTAGTTCTCAGTCCATGTCGCCAATATGATGGCCATTCCAATCGCAAGAAAGCACGCAGCGGCATCAAATGGCGCAACAGGACCGAGTGAAAAAGTGTTGTCGACAAGAAGATTACCAAATAAACCAGAGAGTATAGCCACCAGACCATTCCCAAGAAAAACAGCCTTAGAGAATGTCAGTGAAAGCCATTGCTGCTCAAAGTTCCTCTGGCATATTTGTTCAGAAAGAGGGAGAGACATTCACATCAGTTTAAAAATTTCTCCACCATCTAACCCTAAAGACTTCAAATGGATTTTGACATGACTATATTGTCTTTGTTGGATCAAAGAGATAAAACAGTGGGTAAGTCTAACCATGTTGTGCTCTGCAATGAGCCACGATTCGAACGATGAAAACAAGAGAGACGTAGAAATTCCACCCAAGATACGACCAACCATCAGAACTCTGTACTGCGGAGAGTGCTTGGTGGCGCAGCTCAGAATGTAAGTTATGCAGTATGTAACACATGCCCTCTTTCGACCTCTGAATTCAATCACACAAAGATAATAAATTTCCAGAAGAGAGTTCTCATGTGATCCACACAGACATGAAGTTTGAAGAAAACATGTGTTTCTCACTGTTTATCGGCCAAAGATCCAACAATGGTTCCAAACAACATCGATGAACCAAAACCAGCAATGAATAGCTGCCCAATATCCCCTTTTCCAAAACCATAAGTGCTGTAAAGATAATACACATAAGGGCCTTGAAGCCAGTCTCCAGCTGTAGCTAAATAGAGTCATATACATATGTATCATCAGCAAGAATTGGTCTATCTGACTTGAACGCATTCACCAACTACACAAGAAAACCAGCTAATGCTTTCAGGTTTGGTAAGAACAACATACAGTATTATCAGGAAACAATCACTATCCCTAAATTCTCCATCAACTTCAGCTAAAACGTCTAATCTAAAAGATAGTGTCATCATCTTGAACTGATATAATTCCATCATAGACTCCTTTTTTCAAATTCTCAACAAGGCAATTACAAAGGACAAAAAACTTAGATCAAAACCTAATATAGTAACCGGAATGAAATTACAGATTAATCAAAGGAAGAAACTGCGAGAAAGGAGGAGAACTCTTACCCATCATAAGAGAGAAAATGAGGAGGTAATTATTCTTGAAGGAATTGAAAGCAGAGGAGGTATTGATCCGATCCTTGTTCGTCTTGCTCAGCTCCAACACCGCCACAACGGCTGCCATGGCTCCAAAAACCAAGTAGTAGAAAACCTCCATTGTTGCTATTGCTTCTTCTACCTCAGAGCCGGAGCCACAGAGAGAGAGAGAACGAAGAAGAAAAATGATGTCACTGTAGAAGAACCAAAAACAAATCTTCAACCGGTATAAACCGAGAACCAAAGACAAATCTTCAACCGGCCGGTTAACGTTTGTCATTATCCATTCTTCGAGCTTGATGAGGGGATTCATCTAAATAATTCCTCTCTCTAGACTAAAGCCGTCGACATTTTTCATTTCCGACAGCAATTTTGCGAACACAAATCGAGTAATACCCAAAATAGAGCTCTTCTTCTCCGTTTTCGAAATCTGATAATTCCCCGTCTCGTAGAATGAAATCGCGATAAACCCAAACCCCTCAAACGAATCGTGCAGCTGAATTACGATTTGCGTTTGTATTCAAAAGGAGGAACTTTCATGGTGGTTTTCCAGCGATGAGAGGATCCGCACTTCTCGATTTGATCGTGTTCCTGCTTGTATCTCCATTAGCCCACAGTCTCAAGGGATCTGAAATCTCCAAGTTCTCTGGCAAATCTGTTTCGAATCAAATCTCGCAACCCGCTCGGTTAGTGTCCTCCGATTCGGTTTAATTAACCAATCATGTGCATGTGTTTGACTTCCTTCTCTTCTCTCTAATTTGAAATTCTATTGGAAGCAATTAGAAACGGTGAGGGCAAAAAAAAAAGAAGGGTTTTGTTGATTGAATCTAATTTTATTTGGGGATGTCAACATCTTTTTGATTTGGTCTATGTCTAGACTTGTTATGCTGTAGAAAAAGTTCAGTGCTTTTATATAAAAGTTGACGTCTTGATCAAGTCTAGAGTGTTTAGGGTTTCTGGATTATGCTCTGTTTCTTTTGAAATTTTGCAATCTCTCTGTTCTAAACAAGCTGGTGATTGTGATTTCTTCAGAGAACCTGGTTATGTATTGCTTTCTACGGTAGATGGATCGATATCATTGGTAGATACGTCTTCTAAAAAAGTTGACTGGACATTCCATACCAATGAGCCGATATATTCATCCTACAAGGCTCCTCATTATCAATATAGCAACGATGAGGAACGTGCCACGCTGCTTGGCGATGACTTTTACATGGACTGTGATATGGACTGGAATCTTTACAATTCCTCTACGCGAGGAGGAAAACGCATCAATGAGGTATCACTTGGCACTCTTTTGTCACCATCGGTTTATTGATGTGAAGGCTCTCTCTCTCATATGATCTTCATTTAGATCGTGAAGTACCTTTATATCTGTATCTTCTTGTCTTTCAGATAGTGGATGCTTCTGATTTCATTGGAAGCTTGCCATACTCATTGACGGATAGGATTGTTTTGGGTAAAAAAGACACAACTGTGTTTCTATTGGATGGCAAGACTGGAAATTTGGTAAAGAGGTACAGAGTGGACGAGCTTTACTCTAATTCAGTCGTTCAGGATGATAAAGATAAAGCTATCGTCGTGTCTAAAGAAGCTCCGATACTACTTGGATCCGAACTTAAGGAATCGGAACATCTTCCAGAGCTGGTTTACATTGAGAGAAAAGACTTTAAACTCCAGTGTGTGTCAAAGTTTGGAGATGTTTTGTGGAGTGTTTCTTATGCTGAGATGGAAGCTAAGCTACAACATCATGAGAGCGAGCAACTCATGGGTGGTGGGTTATCGTCATCAGATGGTGTTCCTGTTAGAACTACGAATGCTCCTGTGCATCGATTCCGTTATAAATTTGAACAGTTGTTTCCGAGGCTTGGTTTTGTGGATGGAGCACTGTATCTTCCGTTTAAAGATAGAAAGCCAAATCAGTTGGCTCCTGGAAATCCGAATCCTTTGGCACTTCCGAGCAACAATGACGCTGAAGAAGTCCTCTCCCTTCCTCTGCCTGAGAATGTAATATCTCAGATCACAGATATTATTGAAGGAAGCTCTACACAGACGGGATTCGCTAGCAAGTTCTCTGAGTTGATTGTCTTACTTATTGGCTTTTGCGTTACTGTCCTTTCTGTTTGTGGCCTTGTCTTTCGTCGGATAAGACAAAGCAAGTGGATCAAGGAGCCTTACGTATCTGATGTGCCAATAGTGATACCTAAGAAGAAAAAGCCCAAGAAAAATGGGACAACAAAGGCGGTTCAGAAGAAGGATAACGGGTTTATATCTGGAGGGAACAAAGATCTCTCATTTGAAGAGAACGGAAAAAAGATACTTACGACCTTCCATGGCCTTGATAATAGTTCACTGGAAGGATATAGGGTTGGGAAATTGTTTGTCTCCAACAAGGAGATTGCTAAAGGGAGCAATGGCACCGTTGTGCTTGAGGGATCCTATGAAGGTCGTCTTGTAGCGGTTAAGCGTCTAGTACAAACACATCATGATGTGGCTCAGAAGGAGATTTTGAATCTCATGGCTTCAGACAAACATCCAAATATCGTCCGTTGGTACGCTGTTGACCAGGACGAACATTTTATATATATTTCACTGGAACGGTGTGCTTGTAGCTTAAACGATCTCATCTATGCATCCTCTGGACTGCTTGAGAATCCAGTGGCTTCAACTAGTACACATTCCGTTCAGATAAACCCAATCCTTGATAATGGCAATGGAGTTGAACTATGGAAGGAGAACGGACATCCTTCTCCAGTATTGTTGAAGTTAATGAGGTTTGTTTAGTTGCTCATCTTTGACACTTAAATCAAAGATTTCGCATACATCTTTCTGATCTTTGTATGTTTGTGTTACAGAGATATAGTTGCTGGTCTAGTTCATTTGCATGATATTGGAATCGTCCATCGAGACCTAAAGCCTCAAAATGTGTTGATTGTTAAGAACTCATCTCTATGTGCGAAGCTATCAGATATGGGTATTAGCAAGCGCTTGGCAGCAGACACAAGTGCCTTGACTAGAAACTCAACTGGTAAGAATCTTGAGAAGTTTGATGCTACAATATGTAATAATGTAAACAGAATATTAATATTTTTTTCTTCTCATGTTTAATTTATCTTAGGTTCTGGAAGTTCTGGGTGGCAAGCACCTGAGCAACTCCGGAATGAACGGCAAACAAGAGCCGTTGATCTCTTCGGTTTAGGGTGTGTACTCTTTTTCTGTATGACTGCAGGAAAACATCCGTACGGAGACAATTTCGAGAGAGACATAAACATCTTGAATGATAGAAAAGATCTTTTCTTGATCGAGAGTCTCCCAGAAGCTGTTCATCTTCTCTCTGGTCTCCTGCACCCGGATCCAGATTCGAGGTAAAGAAATACCGTTTGCACTTGGTTAATAATATCATTGCTATTGTCACTTGAACAGAAGTTTGTTTGAAAATGCAGACCGAGAGCACAAGAAGTTCTGCATCACCCATTGTTCTGGAACTCCGACATGAGGCTGTCTTTTCTCCGGGATGCAAGCGACAGGGTCGAATTGGAGAACAGAGAAGAAGAGTCACAGCTCTTGGATGCACTTGAAAGCACAGCAGCGGTTACATTAAACGGACGGTGGGATGAGAAACTGGATAGTATATTCCTAGACAACATCGGGCGTTACAGGCGGTACAAGTTCGACAGCATCCGTGATTTGTTACGGGTCATAAGGAACAAGCTGAATCATTATAGAGAGCTTCCTAGAGAACTACAGCAACTACTTGGGAGTGTTCCTGAAGGGTTCGATAGCTACTTCTCAAGCAGGTTCCCAAAACTTTTGATTCAGGTCTATACAGTTTTATTTAATTACTGTAACAATGAAGAGTTCTTTTTCAAATATTCTAAGACCACTGTATTCTAGGGTTTCTTTTCTTCTCTTCACTCTCTCTGTATAATTGGATTTACTAAAAAAGTTATAAGAAACATTTGTTGCTGAGATGTTATTGTAACTCTTCTTTTTTTAAAAAAAAAATCTATTATTGTAACTCTTATATAAAAATTTGTTGTAATTTGATATTACGTTTAAGCTATTTGTTTATTTATGAATAACACATGTTTACGATATTAGGAAAAGAATTCATGTAGTTTTATTTTTATTTTTCATGTAGTCAAGTCAGTATTTTTAAAGATTAAAATATTGTGACTAAAAGCTAAAAAAAACAAAAAAATTAACAACATACACCGCGTATTATAGACCACGATTGCCTCCATTGCAGCTCACATCCTTTCTCCCTCCTAAATAATTAAGACACAAATTCTTTTGTAATGGACGTTTTAACCCAGCAATATAACACGTTTTTTTTTTCTCTAAAATTTTTATTTTCCAACGAAACAAAACAACAAACTTAGAAAAGTTAAAAAATGTTGTTATTTGTTTAAAAACGTGCGAAATCAATATACCCCTTAAAATATTTGTTTAAAAACTTACGGCAAAGCAGCGATCTTTGTGATGGCCGCATTAGCCGGAGAAAGCGACGGAGTGGTGGCAGGAATGGTCGCTTGTGGTCTCATAAAATCGATCGTCACCGTCTCGGCTGATTTGATGCACGATTTCAAGACGAGGCATCTAACGCTAACCTTGCCCCGGTCGATGCTTGTATCACAAGCCATCTGGACAGCGATAGGCTGTGTGGTTGCGCCGCTCATATTCTTCCTCTTCTACAAGGCGTTTGATGTTGGGAACCCTGACGATGAGTACAAGGCTCCTTATGCCATCTTCTATAGAAACATGGCCATCATCGGTGTTCAAGGTCTCTCTGCTCTCCCCGAGCATTGTCTCGAGCTTTGCTACGGTTTCTTTACGTTTGCGTTTGCGGTTGTATAGCTAATCGGGCGAGAGACCTCTTGCCTGAGTCCCTGGGAGGCTAGGGAAGTGGATCCCACTCTCGATGGCAATGACTGTGCCTTTTAAAGAGCTTCCACACGTCTAGTTTCCCTACCATACTCTAAGAGAACTGTATTCTAGGGTTTCTTTTCTTCTCTTCACTCTCTCTCTGTATAATGGTTTTATTAATAAAGTTATAACTGATCTGATTAAAAAAAGCATTTGTTGCTGATATGTTATTGTAACTCTTCTTATATAAAAACTTGTTGAAATTTAATATCATGTTTAAGCTATTTATTTATTTATGAATAACACATGTTTACGATATTAGGAAAATAATGTATGTAGTTTTTTTTTCATGTAGTCAAATCAGTATTTTTAAAGATCAAATATTGTGACTAAAGGCTAAAAAACATACAAATTTTAACAAGATTACACCAAGTATTTTTTTATTACAAGATAAATTATTATAACAAAAATATATTTAGACATGTTCAAAAGAATATGTATCATAATTGTTTATAGACACGCCATCTTTCTAAACTTACTACTTCTACAGAATTGGAATTTGACTCTGTAATGTTCAAAATAACTTGTACCGCCTGTGTGACTCCCGAAATTGACTCTAACTTTCAAATATCTGGTTACATTTTCATATACAGAAAAATAATTAAAACTATATTTGAACAATGACCATGATGATAATATCCATATCAGCAAAGCAAACCAAAGAACATGTACAAAAATGTAAAGCAAGCTGAGTATAAATCAATATGCCTGTGTATGCATCGTAAGCACATATCATCTAAGACATGAATATGATGACCACTACACTTGTGATGATCTTGATTTCACATTTTCTTGCTTCTTCGATCGCAGTCGACCCGGACCAACCAACAAAGTCTATCATCGGTAGAATCTGCAGCCAAACAGTCGACTTCAAAGCCTGCAACATGATCGTCACGTCTCAGCTCGTCTGGCCTCACGCAGACATCGCGACCATAACGAAAGTCACGACAAAAAGAGCTTTGACTTTTGCTGACGAAACGGTCGGTCAAATTCGAGACTATCTTCTTCCAAAGGCAACAGATCCTTTTGACAAAGTCTCTTTATTCGCCTGCGAGATCGCGTACAAAGCCGTGGTTTCTCGGCTTGACCTAGCCGATCAATCTATGTCGAGAGGTGATTACGTGGCGTTGAAGGCACAGCAGATCCAAGCACTTGGTTATATTGAGGTGTGTGTTAAGAAGATTAACTTCTTTCACCGGACTCCGATTGTCGGAGTCAACTATTGGGCAAGGTTAATGACCACGATTGCCTCCATTGCAGCTCATATTCTTTCTCCTCCCTAAATATTAATTAAGACACAAATTCTTTTGTAATGGACGTTTAAACTCAGCAATATAACACTTGCTTTTTTTTGCTCTAAACTTTTCGGTATATTTTTTTCAACGATACAACAAACTTAGAAAAGTTAGAAAGTGTTCTTATTTGTTTAAAAACGTACGAAATTAATCCCCCTTAAAATATTGTGGATCTGGACCTCCTGGTGCTCTGCCCCTCGATCGTGTGCATTCAACGAAAACATCTTTTTATTTTGATACATAGAAAGTATAAAAAATGTTAAATCGTAATTGGCTATATAAACAACATATCCGTGCATTACATAAATTCTAGTTTTATTAGGAGATGTTACGAGTAAGTATCAAATAATGTGTCACTAATTAGATTAGAGACAAAACAAAAATAAGGATTCGTCATCACAATTTACGTTTTGAGTTGAGTATACATTGCTTGTTTTGTTAAAATTCACTTCATTATACGTATAAAGACCTATATCTTTCAGCCAAATGCATTCGCAATTATTATAGATTTCAAAATGATAAAAGAATTCGAGTTCAAGAAATAAGGAAAGGTTTGTACGTATGTTGGTGCTTGAAGTAAAGTTTTAATTTATTCCATCGTTTGTTAGAATAGTTACTTTTGGATGATGATGATATTAGTTGTTAATATTAAGTTAATTTGAAGGTAAAGTGTGCAAGTCATAATTTGGTGTTTCTCTGAACTTATACATCCCCAAAAATTTATATATCAAGAGTTTAGTACAAGAAATCATTATATCCGTTTCACATATAAATTAGCTAATGAATTTATTTGTCTGTTGACACTTTCTTAAATCTTATTTAAATTCTACACTGTATAACGAATTGTATTCAACAATTATTATTTGAAAAATTAGGGAATTTTTTGTTGTTGTGATAGCTACTTTAAAATATTTAAAATTTTGAAAAGATTTATAGTCTCAACAAATGGAAGAGAATATTGATTGCAAACTTATTTTATGGGAAAAAGAAAACGGTGGTAACTGAAGTCAGACAACACATAAAAATTGGGACAAAGCAGGTAGTAACTGAAGTCAGACATGCACGGTTTCAAAAGTAATACTGACATGTACTAGATTTATCTTATTTGTTGACATTTTTATTTACAGCATTTGTTGACATCTTTAATTACGAAGTGATTTCAACATTTATACTATGAACAATTTTTTTTTTTAAAGAATAACTGTTGCGAAAGTCACTTTGGGATATTTATAAATTGAGTTTTTAAAATGTTTCTTCAACAAATGGATGAGAAATATTGATTGGAAATCTAAAATAATGGGAAAAAGAAGCAGACAGCACATAAAAAAAAAATTGGGACAAAACAGGTTGTAACTGAAGTCATGGATGCACCCACTTTTCAAAAGTCAGTGCTCTTTCCCTTTTGTGGGATTACTGTCGACACTTTCAAGGGACTCCATTTTTTCCCTATTTTCTATTTCTACAATCAAAAACAACTTTGTAATTCGTGGTACTAATAATAAAAATAATTAATTAAGGGAATCGAATTATACATTACAAATGTTTGGTAGTCGAACCAACAACCATATCTCCCGCTTTGGAATTTTTAACTGCAAAACGCGTGTGCACCTTCCATTTTCTGATTACCAACTTTGAATCCCCAATTCAATTTCTGTACTGTCAATTCTATATGCAAACCCTAATTTGTACTACTGTGCAGTACACTTTCTCCCTCTCTCTCTTCATTCAATCCCCTTCTTCTATAAAACTTTTATTTAATTCAGCATTTTTCGATATGCGATTCTATCTGCTTCTTCTTCTTCGATCTTACGAGAAAACCCGTCTCTGAGAATCCGTCTTCTTCTTCTTCTTTTTAATCACCCGGATCTGGAATTTCACTTACCGTGTGTAAGAAGCAAAATCAATCGATTTGGAGAGAGTCCCGTAAGAAAAGAACCCAGATTCGAGTTTTTTTTTTTTTTTTTTTTTTTTCATTTTGATTAAATCTCTGATGGAAAGCGAGAGGAGTGTCGAGAGGGAACACAATCGATTCCACGAAGACGAGTCTACGGATTCGAGAAAACCACCGCCATGGAGGAAACAGATCACGGTCCGTGCCATCGTCGCCAGTTTAGTGATCGGTATCGTGTACAGTGTCATCTGTCTGAAGCTGAACCTAACGACAGGACTCGTCCCGAATCTCAACATCTCATCAGCTCTTTTAGCCTTTGTCTTCCTCAAATCTTGGACCAAAGTTCTACAAAAAGCTGGAATCGTCACCACTCCTTTCACGCGCCAAGAGAACACCATCGCTCAGACTTGTGCTGTTGCATGTTACAGCATCTCTCTTGCTGGTATATTTTTTACAAAACTATATCTTCACTTATCATTACAATTAATAACAAAAATCGGATTTTTAATCGACCAAGTTGCTGCATATATCACAGGTGGATTCGCGTCGTACTTGTTGGGTTTGAACAGACGAACTTACGAGCTAACGGGAGTGGGCACGCAAGGAAACAACCCTCGTGGTATCAAAGAGCCTGGTGTCGGATGGATGACGTCATTCCTCTTTGTCGCTAGCTTCATTGGACTAGTTGTGTTGGTACCTCTTCGAAAGGTAATTACTGATTTTTGAGGAGAATATAAACTCAATTCAATGGCGTAATTTCTGATGATGAATGATTTAAAAACAGGTGATGATCATAGACTATAAGCTCACGTATCCTAGTGGAACTGCAACTGCTGTTCTCATTAATGGATTTCACACTAGCAAAGGAAATAAGACAGCCAAGTATGTTATTATCTGTTCTTGAATCTTGTTTTTTAAATGAAATGATAATAAATCAACTAATATTGTTTTTAATCTGACAGGAAACAGATTCGTGGGTTTACAAAATCGTTTGGGTTTAGTTTCTTTTGGGCATTCTTTGGATGGTTCTATTCAGGTGGTGACGCATGCGGCTTCTCTCAGTTCCCTACTTTTGGACTACAAGCTTGGAAAAAATCGTGAGCTTTTTTTGCTCTGTTTTCTCTGTTCTTGATCACCTTTTAAGTGTTTATTTTCTTCTTGTTTCAAGTTTGATTGAAGAATCTCTTTTCATCTCTTTTGGGGACACAGATTCTTCTTCGACTTTAGTATGACATATGTTGGAGCTGGGATGATCTGTTCACATTTGGTGAATCTATCGTTGCTCTTCGGTGCGATCCTCTCTTGGGGAATAATGTGGCCTCTGATAGCCAGGCTTAAAGGCGAATGGTTCCCTGCTTCATTGCCAGAGAGTAGCATGAAGAGCTTAAATGGCTACAAGGTCTGGTTTTACACTATAGTTTTATATATCTCTCACAAGTTGCAACCAGTGGAAGCATGAAATGATGAGATAGGTTCCCCTTTGTGTTGTTGTTATCAGGTGTTTATATGCATAGCATTGATCTTAGGAGATGGGCTTTATAACTTCATTAAGATACTCTTTTTCACTGGAAGAAGCTTTCACTCTAGACTCTCCAAAACCAGCAGCATTAATACAGGTAAGTTATCTGTGGATTCTGTCAGCGAAACCAAAAGTATTCGATGTGAAGATTTATATATAATATAAACGTTTGATTTCAGTGGAAGAAGTTCCAGAAGATGACTCAAAGGAATCAGAAAGCCTGAAACGAGAGAACGAAGTATTCGTTCGAGAGAGCATTCCGCTATGGATGGCTTGTGCGGGATACTTGTTCTTCTCCCTTGTCTCCATCATTGCAATCCCTCTCATGTTCCCTCAGCTCAAATGGTACTTCGTCCTCGTAGCTTACCTCCTTGCGCCGTCTCTCAGCTTCTGTAACGCCTACGGGGCTGGCTTAACCGACATGAACATGGCTTACAACTACGGCAAAGCAGCGCTCTTTGTGATGGCCGCAATAGCTGGAGAAAGCGACGGAGTGGTGGCAGGAATGGTCGCTTGTGGTCTCATAAAATCTATCGTCTCCGTCTCGGCTGATTTGATGCACGACTTCAAGACGGGGCATCTAACGCTGACCTCGCCCCGGTCGATGCTTGTGGCACAAGCCATCGGGACAGCGATAGGCTGTGTGGTTGCGCCGCTCACATTCTTTCTCTTCTACAAGGCGTTTGATGTTGGGAACCCTGACGGCGAGTACAAGGCTCCTTATGCTATCATCTACAGAAACATGGCCATTATCGGTGTTCAGGGTCTCTCTGCTCTCCCCGAGCATTGTCTCGAGCTCTGCTACGGGTTCTTTGCGTTTGCGGTTGTAGCCAACCTGGCGAGAGACCTCTTGCCTGAGAGGCTAGGGAAGTGGATCCCACTACCGATGGCAATGGCCGTGCCGTTCTTGGTTGGTGGGTCGTTTGCAATCGATATGTGTGTTGGGAGCGTTGTGGTGTTCGTTTGGCGGAAGGTGAACCATAAAAAAGCAGAGTTTATGGTTCCAGCAGTTGCATCAGGTTTGATATGTGGAGATGGTCTCTGGATTCTGCCTTCTTCATTGCTGGCTCTGGCTAAGGTTCGACCACCTATATGTATGAACTTCACGGCGGCTCAATAGGGTGGCAGAAAGATTTTTCAAGCACAGAACCCAAACTCATTGCCGGAGAAAATGTATAATAGTTGTGGTTAGGTTAGGAGTAGACAGTTAAAAAAGAAGAGGTTAAGGTTAACCACCTACACATAATATTATGTCTTATATATATATGGTACTGATCATTTTGAATAAGAACGAAGAGAAAGTTTGTTACCGGCGGAAGATTCTCTTTCCCGGCGCACAAAAAATTGTTTTTATAAATACAAAATTGAAAATGGAGAGAGCAAAGCAATTAATCTCCAATGAGGCAGAAAAAATTCACCTCTCAAACTTCCAAAACACACCACCACACAAAATCATTCCTGTTCTTGATTCTGGCCTTGATATGTGTCCCCTGACGCCTTTCCAGGAACCGACATTGCACCAGGCAATAACAGAACAAGAGATTATGGGATCATATGTTCAACCTTGTTGTGGAGGGTAACAATAAGGTCGTGTGCATCGTCTAAGAGCTTCCACACGTCTAGTTTCCCTACCATGCTGTGACATTCCCCCAAGATCTCCTCCATGCTATTATACTTCGCTATTATGAGTTTCCTCCTCTGCAACACTGAAGCCGCAATGGCATACAGCAACAAATCGTCTGTGGGAGGTGCTCGCTGCTTTATCCGGCGGCTCCAAGAAGATACCCCAACACCAGCTCTTATCGCAGCTTGGTCTGCCCAAATCACTTCCCAGAGATACAGCGTCTGCTCCAGCGTCAGCTCCCTTCTAAACATCACAAGAACCATTCTGTAAACAAAGAAACAGTCTTCAGCCTTGACTTTCTCAAGATGCTTGTAGAGCTGCGAGTCTTTGGCTTTGATAATCTTCGAGACCACGTTCAGCTGCCTCGTGATCCCAACCTCATCGAGCCTGAAATTCTGACGAGCCTTCTTCATGAACCCAACGAAACACCAGAAGGCCACGTAGTCATCGCGTATGACTGAGAGTATAGGGGAGAGAAGATCGCTCATCCCTTGGCAATAACCAATCTCAGGGTCGTGTAAGGCATAGGCTTCAAGAACAGCGACAAGCCGTGCAGCGTGAAAGATCTTCGGAGGCTCCAAATGACCGTAATCCTTTAGAAGAACTGCTTCAGCGGCACGACGTGCCCTGTCCTCTGATACCATAGCTTGGGATGGGGAATATGGGGTCCACTCTGTATCTGCACGGACAGCGTCTAGACGGATGATACGTTGCCATGTCACGAAATCCTCTTTGGTACGGGAGATATACAAGGTCGATGGAGAGGTACTGTTTTCATCCCTCCCTTGAGAAGAAGGAAAGAGCTGAACAGACTCATTCTCATCTGAAGAATCTGAGTCTGAGGAATCAGAGTTCAGGCGTCTTGAACCAGTGTAGTCTCTGTCAAGCGTACACGATACGGCACTCATTTGCTCAATACCTTCTGTGTTTTCTCTGTCGCTGGAGAGAGACTCGTGAGTGCTGATAGCATCATCAGAACACGAACTGTCAGTGTCTTGCGCAAGAGACCAACTATTATGCGCATCTCGTGTAGCTTTATTGATCTTGTTTAACTTAAAATCCCCACTGTTTCGTCTCTGAAGCCTTTTGCATTGCCTGCGCAGTCTCTCGTACGCTTTTCTGCATTTGTAAGGTTTACGTGAAATCAAAAGTCAGAGATGAGTACACAAAAGAAAACAAAAAGATTCTTAAGCAATGATGAGTCATCAGTTTCTCACCTTCTCCGACTTCTTGTAGCACCTCTCTCCTCTTTGGAACTATTGAAATCGTACCTGTTAGTAAGGAAGAAAATAAACAAAAAGTGAGGGAAACAAAGCAAAAACACACTAATTTTTTTGTGAGTGTATGAAGTGTTTGATTTCAACACATGACAACAAATACTGCATTATAACAAATCTATTTGTTGCAACAAATAGAGTATGAATGTATCTACTTACACTCCAAGAAGGAAAGGCCACACCTCCGAACGAATGCTAGGATCAATGCCCTGTAAGGGAAATTACAAGAAAATGAATATTCCTAAACATCTGCAAAAAGAAGCTTCACAAAGCTTTTGGACTCACTCTAGTCCGGACTTTCTTCAAGAAATCAACTCCGCCATTGCGAATTCTACCCTCAGGTGTCAAAAATCTTTTCCACCGCCCAAGTGTGAGTGGCTTTTTTCGTTTTCTTCGTGGCCAGTGCGATTTGAGTCGATGCCTGAACACATAGTGAAATAAAAATTCCTTCTTTTTTCCAATACAAAACTGACCATGAAGCATAAACAAACAAGACATGTGTCTATAAACCAACACTGCATTTTTGTGAACCTTACAGGTAGGCAAACATTGGGAGCAGAAAAATAGAAAATTTTCTTTAAAAAACGCAACTTTTGTGATCAACCAAGTTATGATCGGATACTAAACTTCAGATTCAGAACAATTCTCTAATCTCATGTACCGGCAAAGAAGAAGAAATCAGGCATTACGAAAAAAAAAAGGACTAATAAGAAAGAGACTCACGGATCGGAAGAAGAACAAGAAGCTGGAGATGAAGAAGTGACAAGGACGAGAGCAGAGCGCAAGTGAGTCCAAGGAGAGGACGACGGAGAAGAGAACAATGGCGAAGACGGATTTGTAAACGAAGACCTCGTTTGAATCCGTCGAAGAGCTTTCATCGAACCCAGGCTCCTCTCTCTCTCTCCTCTCTCTCTCTCTCTCCTCTCTCTCTCTCTCTCTCTCTCTCTTGCTCCCCAATGCTAATCAAGTCCGAACTTGTGTTGGAATGGCCAACCGATTTTATCAAAAACTCCGGCGAAAACCATACGACCTCCTCCGTCTTTGCCGCGTCTTTCAACTAGCTTCCGCTTCTCTGTAGAAAGTTGGGATTTTTCTTCTCTTTCTCTCTAGAATCTAGGAATGGGGAAGTCAATTCCGAGTAAGAAGAAGGAGTCTTTAAGGCCTATTTATTTGGCTTCTTCATTTTCGCTTTACTCATATGACCACCACGTAGAGACAACAAACCTGAGATTTTTACATTTAACTTTTTTATTTTTTTTTTAACTATTTTCATTGCCTAGTCAATTCATATTAAATTATTTTTTCTACAAAACAGGTTATTTGACCATCAAAATTCAATATTTGGTTTGTAAAATATATATATTGAAAACCCAAAATTAGATGAAAGGTAAAGCCAAATCTCTCATAATTAATGAGATCTACCATATATGTTTCCAACTTTAAGTCCTTCATTAACACTTTCATATCTCATTTCAGCAACTATTCTATTTGTGCAACTTATTTCTAGTCATGTGATCATCTATTAATGTTTAAAATTTAGAAAAGTATCTTCTCAATTACTCAATACGTTGACAAAAAAAAAAAAAAAATACTCAATACAAACCACACCAACTTGGACAAACATGCTACAATTACCGAGAAACATATGGTTGCAAAATCAAAACAAATCATGGTTTTCAAACATTATGACTAAATTTCAGACAATCATACGGTTGCAGAATTAAAACAAATCAGAGGAACCGTTGATTAGATTGCCTTGAACCCAAATCATACACTCTCATTCTCTGCTTTTATTACAACAGTCTTTCTCAATACTCAATAACAACCAGAGCAAACCGAACTAGTCACATTTCTTAAGTTGTAAAGATGGAAGGCTAACACCGGTTTAGAGCTTGGAACTGGCTGGTTTATCAAGAAACCAAACCAGCTCGTCTTCAGCACTAACAGAACCCGCAGGCACACTCCCGGTCTTCTTCAGAGCTGCCTGCACGGCTTCGGCTTTCCCGGAACCGCAGACGACCAGAGCTACATGCGCAGAGGAGTTGATAACCGGGAAAGTGAAGGTGATTCGGTCAGACGGCGGTTTAGGAGAGTCGGTGATAAAAGTTACCCATTTCTTGCTCTCGTTGCAGAGACCATGTCCCGGGAACAGCGATGCCACGTGGCCATCAGGGCCCATACCGAGAAGCATGAGATCGAATTTGGGGAAGCCGGTTGATTCAGATACCCGGAGGGTACCGGTCTTCACCAAATGTTTGAGGCATGTCTCATAATCATCCGCTGCTGCCTCTGCGGAGAGGGACTCGTTGATTGCATATACGTTTCCAGGAGGAATCGGAACCTGTAGAGAAACGATTACATTGTGAAGATCTTTAAGGCTGACTCTTAGCAGTTTAGCAATTCGATAGATACGAGTTACAAAGCCGATTCGAGAATCCTGCATTTGACAGAGCTAATGATCATATGAGCCTAACAATGAAGGGGAAAGAATGTTGAATACCTTGGAAAGGAAACAATCATATGCAAGTTTGTAGTTGCTGTCGTCGTGGTTCTTGGGAACAACCCTCTCGTCGACCCAGAAAAAATGCCACCTTGACCAATCGATTGAATCAACGTAAGGGGGTTCTACTAATTTCCTGAAAATTTGAAAGAAAAAAAGAAACATTATTAAGAAAGTATATCAAAGTGAAAGCTATGTTCTTTGATTAGCCATAACTGCAAGAGAGTCTCATGAACTGAAATGAACCAAAACTCCATAGAAATTGCTTTCGATATAGTAGAAGACAAAAAAAAGGATTTTTAGAGAACCACAGATCGCAAAACCAACCAAGAACAGTCATGAGTCATGCATCCATCATATTTACCAATAATGACAAAGACTAAGTAGTATCCATAAGACCAGAATCAAAACCCACGAAGAGTAATAAGCAAAACCTTCACTAATTGGACAGAGAAAAGAAAAAAGAAGTTCGAATCCATCCAACAAGCCATAGTCAATGTAGATTTCACAATGATATTCGAAAAGGAGACACTAAAAATCGGGACTTTGCAACCCCCAAATCCAAATCGTGGTTCTACTAATATTTTTCGCATTCTAAATCTGAAATCCGAAATCTCGAGACTTCGAATCGAAAATCTAAGAAATTTGACTCACACACACAGACACCTACCGGAGAGATTTGATCAAGGAGCCGCCAGAGACAACGACGGTGAAAGCGCCTCTCTCCTTGCAAAACTTGTCGGAGAGATCGGCTGTGAATTTGGCCAAATCAATCGCCAAATTCTCCTCGAGCTCGAAAATCTCCACCCTCTTCTTCTCATCCTTTCCAATTTCCGCCGCCGTCGTAGCCATGCTCCTCACCGCCGGCACCTTTCTCCGACTATCAGCGAGTCTCCTGATAGATCCACTTCCAATCGACGAAACCGATAACGACTCAAAACGAGACGCGGAAGAAGAGGAAGAACAAGTGAGATTCTTCGGGAAGAAAACAGAGAGAGAATAATATGATCGAGATGGGAGTTTAGTGGGTAGCGAAGAGAAGAGAATCGAACCAAGGTAACAAGAAGAAGCCATGGGAAAACAAAAGTGGGAGCTTCTTTATACGGGAAACTGAGTAACTTTGACTTTTTATGGATTAGAGGACAAGTGGATTAATCATAGGCAGCCCGACCAAAAACATATGTACATGTGTCTCTTCTTTTGTATGCTTGAGGCTGACTCAAGAGTGTTGTTCTCAAACTTGGACTGAACCGGTCGGTTCGATAGATATATATCCGATCCTTCTTAGTTTTTTTTTTTTTTTAATTTGTGAAAAATACTACGGTTCCATTTCTCAGCCGCCTAAACCGACTATACAAATATGATAATAAATTAATAATTAATAATATTCTTCTACTCAGCCGAGGGGATAAAACCATTTATTATTAGAACACTGAACACACATACAAACAAATACAAGAGAAAAGAAAACACACATGTACAAAGTAGGAAATGTAATGGTTTGGACTTTGGAAGATCAAACCGAACCAGCTCGATCTTACATTCGAAGCACACAGCTTTTATTTATTAAACAGCAAACCATATAGATAGAAGATACAAATATATAGAAGAGCTAACCGAAGTTAACCTCACCTCAATGTTTTTTTGGGATCTTGGATGCAGCGGCGTGGTCGAGAAACCATATGGCTTCTTCTGCGGCTGTGAGCCAAGTTGCGGGCAAGTTGTAGTTGTCGTTGAAAACCTCTGCGACCGCATCGGCCTGAGCCTCATCACACACGGCCATGAGGTTGTAGGAAGCACAGTTAATGACCGGTAAAGTGAAGGTGATTCTCTTTGGAGGCAGTTTTGGGGAGTCGGTGATATAAGTTACCAAACTTGCCTTCTCATTGATGTGGTAATGTCCCGGGAACAAAGATGCCATGTGACCATCTGGACCCATTCCTAGGAGCTGGAGATCGAACTGTGGGAATCCTGAGGATTTGTATGCGCGGATGATGTTTTGGTTCACCAGCCTTTTGATGCACTCCTCGTAGAGCAATGCTGCTCCCTTGGCATCACCAATGCCCGCACAGGATTGGTCGATGGCATAGATGTTTCCAGTTGGAATTGGAACCTACATATTATCAATGAGATATATATGTTTATCATGATTATTATGATATTATCTGATAAGAAGGTTTATTAAAAAGTTCATATTGAAAATGAGAAGTAAGTAGTAACCTAGACGAATATATATATAGAAATGACATATTTGTGCAATATCAACTGATTTTTAATTGAAAGTTCGTTCACCTTATGAAATTAGTTAGTGCCTTTGCCTAAAGTCTCTAATTCTAAAATACTTCTTTTATCAATAAAATTTTGCATATGTACATTAATTAATCGAGTTTATTGATTCAAAAACAATATGTTTACAACATGTTAGTATGTCCAATAACATCTACACAACTTTAAATGACCGTAATATATTATACAACTTGACTTTTAATGAGGTGAGAAGAAAAATATCGATATAATGATCATATTATGTTATATATGTTAGGAATCCTTCATCAAAAATTATATTGGACCTATAAAATCCTAGAACAATATGTTCATTGGTTTTAAATTAAAAAATTGGTAAAATTTAACATGTTACCTTAGAAAGAAACCCATCCATAGCGAGTTTGTAATTACTGTCCTTATGGTCCCATGGAACAACCCTATCGTCCACCCAGAAAATGTGCCACTTTGACCATTCAATGCTTTCGTGGTACTTTGGTTCCAACAATTTACTGCAAAATTAATCACATTGGATTTTAATCATTAGACAATGCCAGACTAATTAATAAAAGATTCAAAGATTAGTGACGCCCAAATAAAAGATTCAAATATTTTCTCAGCCATACCTGAGCCAAGAGATGAGGTCACCACCGGAGAGAACGACGGTGAAACAGCCTCTCTCCTTGCAGAACTTGGCGGAGAGAGTGGCAGTGTACGTGGCCATAGCCTCCGCCAATTCCTTCTTGGTCGGAAACACCATCTTCTTCCTTTCTTTTTTCTTCAAATTAGATACGACATGGTGTCTCTTTTCTTGTATTTTATGGTGACAAGATGCCATCATAGGAGAAAACATGATGAGATTAGATAGTTAGAGCAGAAGAAGGTGTTGAATGTTGATGATGAGGGAATGGTACAAGCAGTCTCGATTCTTATATAGGCAACACAAGGTAAGGCTTCTTAACTTTATATAGTAGTACTCTTCTCTACCATGTTTCGCTTTTTGTTTGATGATGCTCAAACTGTTAGGTAAGAAACGCATCAAAACGTCATTTTTGAGGTTTTTGAACAATTTCAATTTGGTACCAGATGTTAAAACTGTAAAGTAAGAAAAGCATGAAAGCATCACTTTCATATAACTTTTATTTGATAGCAAATGTTATATAACGCCGTTAACCATCCAAGAATATATATGAAAACGAACTCTCTACATATTCAAAGAGAAGTTAGAAGTAGAGAACTTTTAAAACAATTCTATGAACAAACTAAACAAATTCTGCTCACATATTATTCCGAGAATGATTTAAGGGAGTAAAATTTTTGTTCATATGTTTCAATGCCATACAAGATATATTCATTGATTACATATGATACATTTGACAACAACAACAACAAAAAAATATTATCTATGATTCAAACTTGCGACTGACGTATTTATATATTTAGGGCAAAAAGCTATATAAACATTAAAATAAAACTGATTGCTATTAATACTCTTTATTAAATGGCATTAGGTTAAGGCTAACCACCCACACCAACTATAAAAAGTCTGGTAGCAATATTATAACTATAAGCTGGAATCAAACCAAATTATTATTAGAACACATGCAAGAGAGAAACAAACGTAGCTGGCTTGTAAGATTCAACCGAACCAACTCGATCGTACAACCGAAACATAAAAGGAAAACCAGGAATATAAGACACAGGTAGAAGAGAGCGAAAACTCAACGGAACCAAACCGAACCTCAAAGTAATTTTGTGATCTTAAGCGCAGCGGCTTGGTCGAGATACCAGACGGCTTCTGTATCAGCAGTGAGCCTAGCTGCAGGCAAGTCGAAATCGTCGTTGAAAACCTTTGCAACCGCATCGGCCTGCTCCTTGCCACAGACGGCCATGAGGTTGTAGGAAGCACAGTTGATGACCGGTAAAGTAAAGGTGATCCTCTTTGGTGGCGGTTTTGGGGAGTCGGTGATATGAGTTACCAAACTTGCCTTCTCAGTGATCTGATAATGCCCCGGGAAAAGGGACGCCATGTGACCATCTGGACCCATCCCTAGGAGCTGGAGATCGAACTGTGGGAATCCAGAGGACTTGTAAGTGCGGATGATGTTTCGGTTCACCAGTCTTTTGATGCACTCCTCGTAGAGTAACGCCGCACCCTTGGCATCACCAACGCCCGCACAGGATTGGTCGATGGTATAGATGTTTGCAATTGGAATCGGAACCTATACGTTTGTATTAAGTTAATATATATTGTTTTTCTTTAACAAACTGAGATGTGTGACCACCTTGATCATCATAAGGTTACCTCGGAAAGAAAACTATTCAGGGTCTGTTTGTAATTGCTGTCCTTATCGTCCAATGGAACAACCCTCTCGTCGACCCAGAAGACGTGCCACTTTGACCATTCGATTTTATCGTACTTGGGATCCAACAATGCACTGTAAAATTTATGTTCCACTATAGTTTAGTCTTTTTCCAATATATGAGACTAAACAAATGAATAGGGTTTCGAGGATTTAATATCGTACGTACCGGAGCCAATTGACGAGGTCACCACCGGAGAGAACGACGGTGAAATAGCCTCTCTCCTTGCAGAACTTGGCGGAGAGAGTGGCTGTGTACTCGGCCATCGCTTTGGCTACTTCTTTCTCATTGGCAAACACAGTCTTCTCCCTCTTCATGGTGGCTGGAGCAGATGCCATGTGATTCGTGGTAGGATTAAAATGGAGAGAATATGGTGAGATTTAATATTTAAAGAAGGAGAAGGTTTGATGATGAGAGAATACTACGAGTCTTGATTCTTATATAGGCAGCGCGAGTTAAGGCAAATATAACGAAAGTCTCCCAAAAATATAGACAGATTTTAATTTTAGTTTACTAGTCTATCATTTTTTTGTAGATTTTTTAAATTTTGGAAAAGGCTATGAAATTTTTTCCAAATAACCCAAATGTCTAAGTACAAAGAAAAGCTCTTGTTCTTTTAATATTTGGACTATTTGATATAAGATAATTCTAACTTTTTATCAAATTTATATATTTGGTTAATTTATATGATACTATTAAAAAATTATATTAAGTACAAAATACTTATAAATATTGATGTTTATTAAATTAATCTTCGTACTTTTATAAAAAAAATTATCCTTTATATTTTTTTATAATGATTTTTAAACCATCTACATATTCTTATTTTTAATATGTGACTTTTAAACATACTTATATTTATTCATCATTTGAGTAATTTATATTCGTTTTAAAAAATAAAAATTATAATACATGTACAAAAAAAAAATCTATATATACTATATAAATAATGTGATGATTTATTATTTTACAAAAATTAGTTTAAATACAAGCTATAGAAGAAATATAGTGTGAAGGAATAATTAATATAATGCTATTTTAATCAACAATAAAAAGAAAAAGAATATTTTTATAATTAAATATTAAATTATATATAATTGATATAAACTATGATCGAACTAATAAATATGAGTGACACATGATGTAACTATTCTAGTAATAAAAGGCATCACATATATAATATAAAAGAAAATTAATCAAATTATGATATAATCTTAACAAAATAGTAATTTAATTGTTACATCAGATTATTTTATTGATTTAAATTACAAATTTATAATATATAACTTTTAATCAAATCTAATTATTTATAATGTAATAATTTTTGAACATATTGAATTATTTTTAATATTTCGACTGTTTGATATAATATATTTCTAACTTTTTTATCAAATTTATATATTTATATATTTGGTTAATTTATATGTATCTATTAATAACTATATTAAGCAAAAAATATATATATAAATATTGATGTCTATTAAATCATGATTTGTGCTTTTACAAAAAAAAAATTATATATGTTTTTTTATAATGTTTTTTGAATCATCTACATATTCTTATTTTCAATATGTGACTTTTAAAACATACTTATATTTATTTATTATTTGAGTTATTTATATTTATTTTAAAAAAAACAAATTATAACATATATATATATTACTATGTAAATGTAGTGGTGATTTATTATTTTATAAAAATAATTCTAAATAAAAGCCAGAGAAGAAACATTGTGTAAAAAAATAAGGTTTGTCCATCAAATCGTAAAACATTGACGCGAGTGGTAGAAACGTCGACGATAATTAATTCGGGACCAAATATGATATTTACTGGATTCGGTGGACAACCATTTCATATTATGCACATTTTATTTGTCCACTTTCTTGCTCACATGTTAAACGAGCGGTAACTAACTCTGCAGAATTTATTAGCTCTGCCAACAAAAAGTGGCCACAGCATGAATTTACATTTTTTTTATTTTTCAAATTTATTTGAATAAGTGAATCGTATTTCTTGAATATGTAAACTAGATCTACTAAACGCTTGTTCTAAACACCAACTTCAGTTTTCTCTAACAAGCTCCTTGTTGTTGGTTACACACTCAGTTTGCTTTTGTTTCCTCACATTTCAGTAAGCTCCCTACGGTTTCAGTAAGCTCTTTTCTTGTCTTTAATTGTATCGTTCTCTCTTAACGCTATTAAACAATCATTACCACCTAATTAAGGTTACCAAAAGAACTCAGCTAACCAAACTGAATAACGAAAAAAGAAAAAAAAATCAGAACCCAACCAGAACAACACCTCTCCAATTCCTTCTATAATATGTAATAATATGTTTTCCGGTTTTTGTTTTTTGGGTCCTCTACAAACAAAATGGCTCAAAAGAATCATTTACAAAGGAAGTACCCATGGCTTCCACTTCCACTATATGTTTGGTATCTTTGAATCCAAGGTCTCTGATGACGACGTTAGAAGACTTGACATGAGGGGTCATGACGATGTCAGTGTCACCTAGGTCTTGAGCTCGAGCTTCGTACGGTCACGCCATGCAAGAACTTTGCGTAGCCCAAGAAACTCAGCTTTCCATCCGAACTCCGGATCCAATCCTTGAGCTGAGGATACGCATTTGGTCCCACGCTCATCTCCTGCGCCCCAATCAAACAAAATAAAAAAATGTTTTTAAACTTCAAGAAGGAGATGATGATTACGTGAACTCATAGATGATTAAATCAGGACCATACCCCGGCAAGTTCTTGCACCGATATGACTCGGTTTCCTTCGTGTTCAAAGTGTTCAAACGCTGAAGTTGCAATCTGTTCCCATTCTTCAAGAGCCTCCAGTTGGTAAACGCTGACCGCAGCCGCACAGAACTCTTCAAAGTCGAGCTTCTTGTGTGCCAGCGGTTGCATCTTCATATAAAGAAAAGGCAAGAAAAATGGCGGGATTCAATGCACAGTAATACATTGGTCACAAAAGTATAAAATCAGCTCAAAAAAAAGAGCATCAATCTCAACATCTACGGAGAAAATTTGGCAGTATTTTGATGACCCAAGCATGCTAAATCTAAAACCGATGATAATGGTCATGACGAAATGTTAAAGAAAAAGTCGCATTTCTGAAGATCTTGAGGATAACCATTTATTCATGTTAACTGAATCTACAATCATTTTCGACAATCAACTACCATGAAACCGTATCTAGCATTCATTATCTTTAAAAGCAAAGATAAAAATATATAACAAACAAGAGATGTGTTACCGTGTTTAAAATGTCAGGAAGCCTTGATTCCATCATAGCATCAGTAGCATATCTTGTTAAAGCCTGCAGTTACACTCAAGGTTTTGTATTAGTTCAAAGCTATTTATTAAATCACTGTCTCTTTCTTGCTTTAGGAAACTATTTAGTATTTCTATTTATTCATTTCCTTTTTCCCAGAGAGAGAGAGCTTTGGAGAGTTTTTTCAACCGAAGGAAAAGCTTTGAGATTTGTTTATTGGCTGTACTAAAGGAAACCTTTTTGGGGTTTTAGTTCTGTTTTGTTTCTTTTCCAATGAAAAAAAGAGTTCCTTTTTGGATCCTTAGCTCTGATAAATTTCCATTCAGAAAGTGGGATCTTGAGATCAATTAGGGATCAGCATAATGAATACAGATTCACGAATCAAAGACCAAGTTAAACTGCTGTAGCTAAATCAAGAAAGACATACTGACCGTTGTGAAACAGTTAAGAGACAGGCCTCCATCTTTAGGGTCCAGGAGCATGAACTGTGCCTTAAGGAACACAAGTTCCTCATCCGGTATAGCTTTGGAGAGAGCCTATGGAATGATTAATAAGTAAGAAAACAAAGATCAAGATAAGGAATCTTCAAATGAAAACAACATGACTATTCACATGAGTAGGTCAATGCACTTGGATGAAAATAATGAGGGTATCATGATTATTACCTTAAGTGCAGATCGTCTGAAAGGCGAGGCACGAATGTATGACTTGACCAACTTGTAGACCGAGAAATCAAGAAGCAAACCAGGGTTTTCCTCACGTAACCACGGATGAGCTGCAAACACGAATCACATAATATTTCAAAGCCACATTCTTGTTTCCATTTCAAGATCAATGTCTATTTCTAAACCTAGGGAGAGAAAAAAGAACAGACCTAGGGCTTGAGCAGCGGTCATTCGTTTCCTATGGTCCTTATTCAGAAGCCTTTTCACAAAGTCTTTGGCAGTAGGAGATATCGAAGGCCAGGGCATATCCTCGAAATTAGGGTTTGCTCTAAGCACACATCGGAATATCGCAGACTCAGTTCTTCCATAGTAAGGCCTGCTTCCACAGAGTAGGATGTAGCTTATGACACCGATGCTCCACATATCTGCTTCAGTGCTGTAAGACCTATGGAGTACTTCAGGTGCAACGTAGTATGCACTTCCTACAACATCATTGAGACGCTGATCTGCAAATATAAAAAAGATCTAACATCTATCAGACAACTTTAATGTCAAAAGTCAAACTTCATGGTATCTGAAGAAACATGTAATAATAAATAGAGATCACTACCGTATCTAATGAAATCAGACAAGCCAAAATCTATGACCTTGAGTACTGCATCCTCATTTCTGCTTGTAAAGAGAAAATTCTGTATACACAAGTGCACCATTGGTTAAAGCATAAAATAGGTGGCATTAGCTGAAACATAAGCAACCTATAGAGGCAGACTGTGTATACCTCCGGCTTCAGATCACGGTGCACCACACCTTGAAGGTGGAAAAACGCTGTTGCAGACAAAATCTGCACGAGGATACGCTTGGCATCGACTTCAGGGTATCGACCACCTCTGCAATAAGGCAATGATAATACAAGATTGAAGCCATATCCAACGCAAAGCTAACAAAAAGAAGACCAAAAAAGGTGTGTGTAGTGTGGGATCTACCTCGCCAAGATTCTGTCCAATAGCTCTCCACCTTCACATAACCTGAAAAGCATTTTTGGAGGCGATGATTGAATAACAAAAGTCGACTCATTTAATCAACTAGTACGACTTAAAACGCCATGATGAATCTTCCAAATCCACACGAAATAAGATAAGAAGGGAAACCATATTAGATATATAATGACTTACTCCATAACAACAAAGACGTTATCAGCATCCTCGTATACATCGTAGAACTTAACCATGTGCCTATGCCCAGATAAAGCTTTCAGCAACTTCACTTCTCGACGAACATCTTCAATGGATAGAGCCGATGTCATCTGAAAACAAAACGCCATATTCATAATTCTATACAATATCTAAAACAGTGATCTCAATACATTTCATCAATTGGGCAAATCTCTCGATCTTTTAAGATTCTGATTCTATGGTGTACAGTAGTAGACAAGAGTCCCTACCATTGTAAATCACATTGTCTCGTAATTACAGCTGAAACCTAACAAGAGACACACACACACACACACACACACACAGACCTTAGCTTTAGAGATGATTTTGACAGCCACGGTTTGTCCCTTCATCTTCCCTTTCTTCGCCTTTGCCCAACAAGTATGACCGAAATGCCCTCGCCCCACCTCCTTCCCTAGCTCGTACTTTCCTTCGAAGTTCTTCCCGAACCCGAAATTCTTGTCCAGCCTCTCTCCGCCGCCGCTTTCGCCTCCCTCCTCCACGTCTTCGTTGTCCTCCGGGATCGGCTCGTCGCGAGGCTGCGGCGCGGTGCCTCTTCGCCGTCTCAGTGCCGCCATAATCGGCTTCGCAGGTGACGGTGGCGGAAACGGCCACTTGAACTTCCTTCCCGGAGTTCTCGCCGGTGATGGAGCTACTCCCGCCGGCAACGGGCTCTGAAATGGGCTAATGGTGTAGGAGTTGACTTCGGAAGCACCAGAGGCAACCGGAGACTGAGGAATCGAAGCATGCCGGTGGTTTTCCGTCGGTCGATTCGGAAGCTCGCCGGTTTCGACGGGGATCTCGTCATCCTCGACGGCGGAGATGTTCCGGCTGTAACAATGACCCATGGCCGTCGGATGTGGAGGTCAATTGACTGATCGGTCAGAGTCAAAGTATCGGACGGTGAGGAGCCGAAGTTGAACAGTAATCTTCGATATCAAAAAAATTGTTTTTTAACCAAAGAAAAGAAAAAACAAAAAGAAGATCCAAATTTTTCAAAAAAACTAAAAAAAGAAAAGAGCTCAGAGATTTAAAGAGAGCAAGCAAAAGAGAAGGCGTTTCTTCTTGTGTGGTTTGCTAAAACGACACAAGGTGAAAACATGACCACTACAACAACCAAGAGCGCCTAGTGGTGGCATTAATCACTTTTAATTGCCTGTTAATTTTCATTTAATGTCTTTTCTTATGTGAGGGACTTGGGTTTGACTACACATTTCTATAAACTAAAAAAATTATTTTTTATAAATTCTGAAACTATATACATTTAGTGAAAAAGACGACGAAAAGCCAACAAATGACACATTTCGTGGCGCCATGTGTTACTTTGATTTATTTTAGTTGGATTAATTTTTACAATTTATTCAATTTTTATATGGACGAAAAATTATCTTCAACAAATGGCCACTTCTTTAAAAAAGCTCTTAAAACTTTCTGGCAAACCAAAGTTAGTATATAAACTTTGCTTTTGGACACTAATTTGACTAATTCTTCTTTAAATCTTATCTTACAACAAAGACCTCATAAGTTATATAAGTCGTATAGATAAGACTATCAAAAATTTAGAAAATAATGAAAAGGTAATTTCGGATCTGTGACAGCCATCAGCATAATCATTCACCGAAAATTTTAAACAAAAGAAGAAAGAACCAAAAAATAGTCACAGCCAAATTGTCTGAATAACGCGAAAACGAGTTAATACGGTTACCGACTACACTCCTCCACCGGGACCACCGGCGAGTGAAAAAGACGACGAAAAGCCACTTTTACATATTTAATCTAAACCGGTCTAAACCGCCTTGAATCGGTCGGGTCCAAGGAGGTGACGTTGATGTATGCATGTAATCATCATATATATATACCGGTCAAATATTACGAAAGAAGTCGATAACAATGAAGGCAAGACGTTTATGGTGCGTCAAGTTTTCCATTGGTTAAACTTAACCAAAGTGGCTAACTTATAAATCATAATAAGCCAGAAATGTCCATATTGACCGGTTAGCCGACAATGGTCTGATCAGTTGACATTTTTTATTTATGTTTCTCTCCTTAAAACTTTTCAACGTTTGAATTCGTTTGTTTATCTATTATAACAGGTTAATGTCCCAATCTTAAACAAACAAGTCTTACACTTTCACAGGACTTGGTCACATAAATTATATATATATATATATACTTTTGAAAGTATGTTTTATATTTTATAAATTCAAACATGAGTTTATTAAAAAGTCAACTAAACTTCCATATGTATTGTGTGCCTAATTTTTGTTGTGGTTTCACACTTGCGGTGTGTAGTTTTCTGCTCAATTCAAAATTTCTAACATACCAAACCGATTCAGTCAATTCAAATTTAAAGTTTGATCTATATTTTAAATATTTGATTAAACGATTTTATCCTTTAAAATGAGCTGTATTATACCACCTAAACAAAGAATATATAGATCCAACAACTTTTCACTTCCATCATCGAATCAAATACTGAATAATGATACCCTACGCACATGCATAAGCATACCCCCCAAAAAAAAAAATGCATGGAAATTTAGACAGAACTGAAAAGAAAGGATTTATCCAAAAGGGTCTTAAAATGATCCATAAATACAACCAAAAGAGGTTATCAAATGAAGAAAAATACTGATCAATTTGGTTCCAATTCTATAGAAGAAGAAGAAGAAGAAGAAAGTTTAACCAAAGTTCATGAGGGTCCAAATATACCGGACAACCTGCGAAGTAAAGAAACAAAAGGATCTTGATATCAACAGAAAACGCCTCGAAGTATCTTTATATAAATCTTTGATATCTCTTTCTCTTCTTCTACTCTTTGACATGATTGCGATTAACTTTAGTTTGAATCAGAGCGGTGTGGCCTCACTGGCGTCTTTGACGGGCTTACCCTTCACACACACAGACAAAAAAAAGAGCAAAATATTAGTCTCACATTATTATGACCGTCTAGCCTCAAGCACACATGAGTTATCACAGTTTCTATCATAACATGAAAAGAGCTTAACACCCGAAACGCAAACGGTTAATCAGATTTCTACTTAATGAACTGTGTATATATCTCTTTGCAAAAATCCAATGCATTCACAACTTTTAACTAACCAAGTGTTCTATTTGCCCAAAAAAACTAACCAAGTTTTCTTTTATTTTTTATTTTTTGAACATTAAGTTTCTTTTATTTTTGAATCTTTGTTTTTCACATAAAAGTCTATTATCAAAACACTAATGAAAAAGAACAGAACAAATCAATGCACTTACTCAGGAAGGCACAAGAGAAATTATTTATTTTTATTTTTTTCACAAGAGAAATTTGTATATAATCTCATTTTTTTCAAAATAAACTGAAGCATAAGGAGTGTTTACAGAATAAAGGTTATAAAATGAATTATTTCATCAAATATCGACAACTAGCATGCGACGACTAGCATAAGGAGCCCACAGTAAACAAATCAAATAGACCGAGATAGAAAAAAGTGACAGTAAAAAAAAAAAAAAAAGAGAGTAAAAAAAAAATCATGAACTTTACCTTACAGGGAGCTCACCCAAGATAACACCGCTGCAATTAAGCGCGGAAATTGCACTTTCCGCCTGAAACACACAAAAACAATCATTTCTCACTTTATTGTTTGTAAACATAAAGTTGATTAGGTGTGGGTCAAACTTGCCTCATCAGGCCAAACAAATATTCAATATATAGTTATATAGTATATAGTGGACCATGCACATTATTGCAGTGTGTATATATATATCACATTTCTGACGAATACGATGATCATACATATATATATCAATACTATAATAAAAAATTCATGTATGGGAAAACAGGCTAGAGAAAAATCACCAGCGTAAATTCAACAAAAGCAATGCGGGTTTGGTGATGATAGTCTCCAAGAAGCCTCAGATGTTGAATCTAAAAGGAAACAAAGATTATGCAAAAATGGAGAAACACAAAGAAAGATTAAATAATCGACCATAGTGAAAAATCAAATATGTACCTCCCCACAAGCTGTTCTAAAGAACTCTTCCACTTCCCCTTGAGTGACCTTCATTTGAAAAGCGAAAACTAAGATGAATAGAAAAATTCAATTTCTTCCACTGTTTTGATATAATATAACAGAGGTTTTTACCAAATGACATCATAAGTGATTAGGAAATGAAAATCAAGTTACCGTCTTGTCAATATTAGTACAGTAAACAGTCTTTACACATTTCTCTCGCTCGTCTGCAGACTGGAAGAAAGAAAGCAGCATTACGCAAAAACTCAGTAATAGACAAGAATAATATTGGCATCAGTATCAAAACTAGTCAAGCTTAAGTCTGATTATATTAACTTACCTTTGGAAGGAAAGTCGGGTTAACAGGCGCAATAGCTGTTTTCGAAAGAAGAACCCTAATAGGATGAGAACCAAACAGAGTACCCGACATTCTTAAAGCAGACCCAGCTCCCTCTGAGACATTACTTCAATGATTAATAAACACAACCAAGAACATTTCAACGCATAAGATTGTTGGAGCATATATAAGTACCTTCATCAGTGAACTCAATGAAGGCGAAACGGAGAGCAGATTTACTGTCACCGCATATACGGCAATCAACAACCTTTAGACCCAAGAAAACGTATGAGAAATTGAAATATTGAGATGGAAGATATCAAAACAAAGTGGTTCAACACAGATCATTATAGTACCTGGCCACAAGAAAGAAAGAGACCAGCAAGTTGCTCCTCAGTAATCTACAAAAAGATAAAGGAGGACTCTACTTATATAAATTAGATGGATTATGAAAAAAGTGATTTTCATGAGACAATAATTTTATATTAAGACCTGTTGATCGATGTCTGTGACATATACAGTTCTCCTGATTACATCTTTATTCTGACCCTGGCTTGTTTTTTTGTACATCCATCGCTTCCCTTGACCAAAGTTCCTTCCCTGAGTTAAAGGACAAGACTTAGAGAGCAAGCCATAAACAAAGAAACTACGACAGGCCATTCTCACGTGACAACAAGATACTTACACTTCAAATGCAACTATTCTACTCAAACATACAAGTGTGACAAAAAATAAAGTTCCAGATAAACGTAGAGCTTAACCAAAACTTGCATCATTAACCATTTTCTTAAACTAACAGAAAATTAAAGAAGACAATGAAACATAACAAATCCAACACATATAGACCATAATAATTCAATTCAGAGAATAATGTAAAAGATGATATATATATATATACCCTTCTAGCAAAATGGTCATTCTCCTCAGCAGAAATGGCTTGCGTTGCAAAATTGTTAGTGAACCATAATCTGTTATCTCTCACAAACCCAGAGTTGGTTCGAGCAAGTGAATGCGGAACAAATTCCCTGGCCATCGGATTTAGCCTAGAAAAATTATCACCAAGATGACTTATCTCACTCTTGATGATACCCCCTTCACTGTTTTGGCCCTTTGTGGAGTTTGGTGTCTCAAGAGAGGAATTGGGTTTTGGGTTCTGATCATCAGAAGTAGTGTTTTTGTCTACATTCAGACCACAAGAGTCCACTTTCACATCAGCATTTTCCACGACAGTCATGATCAAACCAAGATATGAACCACCTCAACGATTTCTGCATCGGAATAATCAGACTGAGAAAAAAAGAGAGGGACAATTTGAGAAAAACCAAAATTCTTATTAAAAAAAAGAGAACATTACACAAACTCATTCTTACATCAAGCAATGGAATTCCACTCTTAAACGATCATCAAGTAAAGAATGTCTGGAACAATGTAAAATGGATTTTTGCTTTTGAAGAATTATTATATAAAGGGAAATGGAGAAAATTTTGAAGATCTAGGAGTCTTGATTATATAGAGGGAAAACATTAAGCTATTTTAATTATAAATAAACAATAATGTTCCAGTCAAGCAAATATACAAATACAATAAATTATTATTAATTACCTTTGTCATTTGTCAACACCATTTCTTCATTTCTCTTGGTATCGTATCTATTACATTTCCTTACTGATCATTTGTTTTCTCTTTTTTTTGGCAACATATTTCAAGCTTTTTTTTTATATGACCACAAAGATGATACTCTTACTCTTTATACACAGCAAAAAAAAAAAAAAAAAATAGATGATACTCTTTATAATAAAAAGTATAATTATGTGATCATCTTTACAATAGCTAAAAATTAATTTTTTAATTAAAAAGTAAATACATTAACGAAAAAAGTAAAATATTTATAGATTTCCTTTTAGTTTTTAGTCAAAACACTTAATTCTTAGTCAAAATATTTAATCTAAACGTAAAAAGTGTGATTTTGTACAGACTTTTCCTTCTGTGGTATTAGAATTATAGAAAGAAGATCGAACCGGTTAATCCAATATGGACCGGTCCGGTCAAGTGAATCAGATCCACATCCTGAAAACGGCAGCGTTTACCATTTCGCCATACAGGCAGGATAAATAAAAGAAAATCCCGTGCAAAAGCTCCTCCGGTGGTTCTATTCCCACCGCCGTATGTTCTGCCGGCGCTCTTCAATTTCGCGCTCCGGACGGTTATCTTTTCCGACTCCAATTCGAGGTCTATCGCGATTCCGAACCGCTACTTCTGGTATACCATCTTTCTCCCTGTCTTACCCTCTGCTTATATGGATCGTGTTGACTAGAGAGTCTTCCTTATACTTGTCATTGCTCTCGCTCCCATGGTTTCGAGCTTGTTTGAGCTCTATTCTTTTAATCATCTCATAGGTTTTCGTCTAAATTTTGGTTGAATTATGAAATCGAGCTTTAGCTAATCGCTCATCCCATATGCATCTCTCTCTTTGTTCTCTTGCATCACAGCGAGGTGAAAAATCTGGGAAGAAAACAATGGGAATCATAGAAAACGGAACAATGTCGGGTAACTTGCCAAGCAAGGAGGCATTTGTAGTGCACTATCCTGGGTATCCATCATCTATCTCCCGAGCCCTAGAGACTCTTGGGGGAATCCAAGGGATCACAACCGTAAACACTTGGCCTTTGCCTATCACTTGTTTTCACTGAGTTGATTAGTAGCAAAAATCGTATACACACGGTTTCTTCTCACTTTGATCATTACTATGCAGGCAAGAGAATCAACATCAAACAAGCTTGAGCTACATTTCCGCCCTGAAGACCCATACGCACATCCTGCTTGGGGAGAACAGCGACCTTGTAATGGTTTTCTGTTGAAAATTTCTAAGGAGGATGTTAAGAGAGATTCTCTTCCTGAAAGTCAACCCGTTCTATCTACCAGCAGTGTATCAGAAGCTTGCCCAGCTCTATGTGCTGACATTGTAGCTCGTGTCTCTCAATCGTATTGCTTCGATGGTAAAGAAGCTAGCTCTCTCCAATTTTCTGGGGTTTTTGTGCTTCTAAATGTGTCTCTTATATAGTGACCATTGGTCTAATATCTCCCCATTGTATTGCGAAGGCATGGCCGATTACCAGCATGTTATTCCTATTCACGCGGATGTTGCTCAGCATAAGAAGAGAAAATGGATGGAGGTGAAGTCGCTTGCAGGTGATTCGTCTCTCCACTCGTTTGGTGTTTTTTTATCATGTTGCAACTCTCAAGGTGTGTGGTTACATAGTTTAAAGTAAACCCTCTCGGGTATCTTGCAGGAAACAATGATCTAATGGGCATGGCTGATGAAGATGTGATGATGTTACTGCCACAGTTCTTTGCACCTAAAGATATGCCAGACAACTTGGTGTAAGATTACACTGCCTTAGTTTATTCCCCGACAATTTTATCATTCTTACCTGGTAACACCAGATTTTGTCCACGTGAAACAGTGAAAGCTATTTGTTTTCATCTGAATCTTAGTTATAGTTATAAGATGTGTAGTATGGAGTATTTTAGTTATAGACGAACGATGATTGTTAAATTCACTTACGTTGCTTCATTTACAGGCTGAGACTTCCAGGAACATCGGGCCACAAAAAGAAAGATGAGGCAGCAACCCAGAATCTTTATGAGGTAAAAGAAGAGATGAAACCATTCGACGTTTCTGTATAAACTGAAAACAGACTGTTGGAAAAAAACTGACTCAGACATGTATAATCTACTGATATGACAAGCCATATTCTGTATAAAGATGCCGTGACAGTTTACCTGTGGTTGCTACTTCTCCATTTGCTAATTGATTTACTAATGATGCAGATCGATGTTGGCCCAGTATTTGCAATTGATTTCAGTGTCAAAGATATCCTTTTCTCTGTTTTACTAATCTTTCAAATCTTATTATTGCTGAGTATGAAGCCATGTTTGTTTGATGCTTCTTTTCATTTTTGGAGATCTTTGATCGGTCCTTAGCGTTCATACAGATCCCAAATATATTAAATTGGGAAGACTTTATTGTTCCCAGCTCCAACCAATGGCAATGGCAGGTTGCAGTGTCTGCATTGTTTGACGAGCGACCTGTGTGGACAAGAGATTCCATTGTCCAACGACTACTTGATAAAGGTCTTAAATGCACACATCATATGCTAAACAGGTGCAGAACATAGTTTATGCGTTTCTTATCTGCCTTAGTTTTCTTGTTACTGCAATAACCAACTTGCTGGAGATTTCACTCTGCAGGTTTCTTTTTAGGGCTGCATATTATTTCTCAGGTGGTCCATTTCTTAGGTTCTGGATTAAAAGAGGCTATGATCCACGGAAAGATCCTGAGTCTCGTGTGTGAGTTCTATCTCTATAGATATATTCACATTACAAATGCATGGTCTGTGACACGGTTATGTAGAATTCTCGTTTCTATTTTCTTCAGGAGCTCACATTTATCTTTGCATCTAGTCTGCAGATGTATGTTAAAGCTCTTCTTTGATATCTCCTTTGTGTATTTTTTTTTTTCAGATACCAGAGAATGGAATTCAGGGTTCCACCTGAATTAAGGGGTTATTGTGATGCCTATGCAACTAACAAGTAAGCTTTATTCTTAATTTGCTAATATGTGTGGGACAGAAAACATTATAACATTTCTTTCCAAGTATTGATCCATGGTGAACTGTAGGAGAACATGATTTTTTAAAAGAATTTGGAAGTGTGTCCAGTCTCCCTATAAATCAACAATTCACATTTGTGTCCAAGAACCTGAATATCATGAATTTAGCATGAATATTGAAAATTTGCAATTGAACCATCGAATTTATGTTTGGAGAAAAGGTCCAACTATAAGGTGGTTTTTTTCTTTCCTTCTAATTTGTGACAGGTCAAAGCCGAGCTGGGATGACATTTGTGCGTTTAAAGTATTTCCTTTCAAATGCCAAACATTTCTACAGTTATTTGAACTTGACGATGAGTACATTCAACGAGAGATAAGAAAGCCTCCCAAGCAGACTACTTGTAATGTGAGTACTCAGCTAAACTTTTTGTTCATGAAGTGGATACCAAAAAATTATGAAAAAGCTACAGATCAAACATTTACTTGCAAAAATGCCACACAGAAAAATCATGTATAACTTAGATACTTAAAAACTTTGACATGTCCTTTATTCCATGCGAGGTCTTGGTTGATCTGATTTGATGTGTTTCGTTGCCAGTACAAAACGGGATGGTTCTCAGAAGCGCTGCTTGATAATTTGAGACTCCGTGTAGCTGTGAGGTTTGTATCTGTGTTTCCTGAGCCAGGTTTTGAAGATGTTTTTAAATCTATTCAAGAAGAGTTTGAAAGGTCAGAGAAGACACGGATACAGAAAGATAAACTGAAATCATGTCAACCAGAACAGCCAGAAAAGCCTAAAGGTAAGATCAGCAGCAGAACGTTTTAGGCAAGCCTAGTTAGTGATTGTTGACATGTGTTGAGCGCAAAGAGGCAGGCATTATCTTTTGTCGTTAATCAACATTTTTCATCAATCACATTCTCCTCCTTGAAAAATATTGGAAGTAACAGGTACTGATTCAAAAAAATCCGCAGATAGGAAAGATATGAAAAAGCATAAAAGCACAAACAAAGAGAAAGAGGGTGATGTTGATGCAGATGAAGATGATGAATACGAGGACGAACTCGATGTGGTAACCATGCTTACAAAACCCTTTCTTAACTACTTCACCGACTAGTTTTCCCGGAAAATCCATTTCGGTGTTCATCTAATGTGTTATTTTGCAGGCTGCAAATGATGATGATGAGATATCGTTAAGTTGGCATGGATGTATCCTTCAAATCATAAACTTTTCATAACACAAGCACCTATTGATCAATATTAGTAGTGCAGATTCTAGAGTATTAGAAGTGCATATTACAGTTAAGAGCTTGATCTGGTTTTGTTTTAGTATTTCTTTAAACGATGATAAGATGATGACATGGAGAACAACTCCAGAACCTATCTCCAAGGTTTGTTCGATAGATTCCCAAGCAGCAAACCAGCTTTGGATGGTGCTGGTGACGGTAGCGATGGAGAGTATCAGATTTACGGTAGCGATGGAGAGTATCAGATTTACGAGCAAGAATCCAACGCTTTGGATGATGATGATGATGATGATGATGAGTGAAGAACTTGTAGGAACCGTAAAACCGATTAGATACGACAATATATTGTAGGGAAAGCAAAGAAAACCGACGAGAAAAACCAAATATTTGAGGCGAGATGATCTCTTTCTGTAACTCAATAAATTGTTCGTAGTGTGATGGTGATATGCGATTTTTGAATCCCAAGATACAATTGATAATAGACTGTTTTGCAACACTATTCGAAATGGAATCTATGAATTTAGAAAAATATGATAAACTCTCGAGACTTACGTTAAAAGAAGAGGATTTATTGGATTTTTTAAAGAGTGCATTTTCAATGTTTTCGAATCGAGAAATAACGAGAGTCACAGCTTTTTTTTAAAGTCAGAGGAGAGCGGTTTGACAATTCGCGAATATCCGTAAAAGGTGACACGTGCACTCGTTATGCGAAGAGGAGAAGTGGATGGAAGTTGAGGGAAATCTTTTTACCCGGTTGAGAAAATATTTTCAACTTTGACCGCAGAATATTCTTATTGGATCTAAAAAATATTTAATTTCGTTTAAATATTGAGCTTTAAAACAAAAATCAAAATTTGGCCCAAAAAAGAATAACCACCTTCAGACCATTCGCCCAACACGACCTGTGATTGGCCTGGCTTGGCGGTGGCACGCACGTGGCTTAGTCCGACCTCTCACATATACACCATAAGTGTTAGCCATTTTGAAACATGCTAATCTCCTTCTCCTAATATATCGGAGTGTCTTTTCTATGTGGGATAACACATATTTATTTACATCATTTTTTCTTTATTCACTTGGATCTGAGTCTATTTCTTTTCAATTTTTGTCAATATTTTCCAAAGCCTAATGGCTTTCAAAATTTGGGCCCGACAGAACTTTGAATATAATGTGAATTTTCATTGTAATTACGAAACTAGTAGTAGCACACAATCATCAGTAAAGGTAAAACGTAAGTGTAAATTTGCGAATATCGTAAAAAAGTCATCGATGACGACTCATTTAAAATCTCGTCTTTGACCCTTTCACAATCTCCCCCTCATATTTATTTCTCTGGTCGTAAAAAAATCTAATTCAACCAATAAATTGGGTATTATGCTCTCTCTGAGGTCTGAGCATGATCCACGATTGAGAGTTCGGGGGGCATTTTGGTCATTGATATGTTCCTTGGCCCATCTCCGCCGCATACGCCTCTCGTGAACCGCCGTAACAACCACCGTCCTCGCAACGCGACCGTCTCCTCCGCCCTTCCTGATCTGTTTCTCGCGGCTGTCTCTCTCCTCTTCCTCTGGTCCTCTCCTAAACCTCTACTCTCCCTCCCTCCCAACAGATTCTCTTTCCCTCTAAATCATCGCCGTCGATCCGCCGTCATGTCCCGTCGATCTCCTCCTCCGCCGCAGCCTCTCTCCCAACGCTTCGCCAATCCTCAATCGCTCTCCGATTGGCTCGAGTCGCGACTGCCTTCCGACTCTTTCGCCGCCTGGGGAGTCAAACCGGGGACAAAAAACGTGCACAACCTCTGGCTTGAGCTCTCTGATGGCGAGACTTCTCTCGCCGATTCCACACCGCCGGTCCGCGCCGTCAACGTCGTTACAGTCCGTGTAATCGGAAAAGGCGGCAAAATTCTCGTGGAATCTCACCAGGAGTTATCCGATGGGAGCATCCGGGAGAGATTTCGTCCTTTATCGGAGAAGATGAAGCCTGGCGAAACCCCCGACGAAGCAGTCTTTCGCGCCATAAAAGAAGAGCTCGGATCAATCTTCAATGGCGACGTCGACGGACAGAGAATAAAGGTTCTTCCAGGAACCTACAGCAGAAGAGTGGAGGAACGGAACTCGCTGTCGTACCCAGGATTACCCGCGCGTTATGCTCTTCACTCGGTGGATGCCACCGTGCAGGGACTGCCGGAGGAAGATTTCTGCACGGAAGAGAAAGAGTACGACGGGGAATCAACGGAAGGATCGGAGGAAACACGAGCTGCCGGAAAAGCCGTAACCGTGAAGCGGCATCACTGGAAATGGGTTGCTCCCAGTTCGATTCGACCCTAAACAACTCAACTGCTTTTTCACAATTCTATCAATCTAGAATTTTAGTTTTTACTTGAGATTCCTCTGTCGCCATCACAGTGATGATCATCAGTTACATGAATAATCAAGAGCCATGTAGAGATACATACATACACATATATGATATGTTCATATAGCTCATTAATTCTCAGTATAATCTTCTTCTCCTCTTGGCTTGTTTTGTGCTATATGATGAAGTTGGTCGCTGTTTGAGTTGTTTTCAGAAGCTTTGTTTTTAATCGAAGAATCACATGACTAGTTATGTTGTTCATGATTCTGAAATTTTTAAATATGACCGGGAATTCAAACTCCGGAACGGGGTACTTGATCTCAAGTCTGAAATATAAAAGTAGTTTATCATTGTGCTGAGAATTCTTTTAACAGAGAGCTTTGTCAATCTTATAAACTACTTCTCGCAAGTTACAGAAACACAATCGTGTGTAACTACTACATATCTAAAGTAGATCCTAGCTAAACTCAACAACGAGCTCCAAAGCTGTATGTACACACACCCAAATTCTACACCCACTTTGTACGTATGTGGAGTCAGCACAAGAACACCTTCCTGTGTTCCCAGGAGAAAACAATATCCCCTTGTTGATACAAAATTGAACTTTAATATTATATCAATTTGTTGAGTCATTGTGGAGCTTGTGTTGACGTCTCGGTGGATTGCACTTGACGAACGAATTGCCCTTTGATTCGCGGCCGTTGCTCTGCCAATTTCTTCCGGCTCTCGTAACGGACCTGCAAGTCATCCAAAAGTTTTAATGCCGTTAGTATTATTCCTTCTTACAAGCCATTTATGTGGTCATGAGTATGTATGTGATGATTTATACCTTTTTCTCAAAACACCGGTCCTTGCGCTTCATCCGGAATTTGTTCAAAGCGGCTTCCCGTTGAAGGGATTGCTGAATTTTCCCGACAGACGATGAATACCCTTCTTCGTTCTTCTCAAGCTGCTGCTGTTCCGTGTGGTTGCCTATTGCACTCTGTTCGGTTGCAGAGGAGACGTGTCTTCTATCCTCTACATCCATCGAACCATCCCGCTCTTGCAAACCCTCGGGTTTACCGTTGAATGGGTGAAACATGGAACTGTACTCATGCGGGCTAACGGAACTTGGGCTTCGAGAGAGTGAAGCAGGAGCCATTCCAGATGGATAAGCTGTGTTGGGACCCGTGAACTGTATACTCTTGATGGGAACTGGCGTTGGGTAAGAACTCTGTCCAGGCCAAGAATTCATCTGATTGCTAAACGGTGGACCCGGTGAGTTAGCTCCATTGTAAAAGCCGCCTTCGTTTCTTCTTGGAGCACTTGGAGGCGGTTCAGATGAATTGTATTGGTTTATTAGCACAATGTTATCGCCTTGACTTGCCGCAACATTTGTTCTTTGATCAGAAACCGGAGAAACCGAACATTGTGTCTGCAGCGGCCTGTGAACGTACCTGGCAACAAGAACGTAGCACACACAATCAGCAGGAAGAACACAAATGTTGAATGATTGGTAGAAAAAGGGTAATCAATAAGTAGACAACTAACCGTGTGAAAGCCGAGGCACTAGAAGGATGAAGAGAAGGTCTGTCTCCAGAGGATTGGTTCTCGGAAGTGTTTGGTCTTCTCAGAGAGAGATCAAGCTCTATCCGAGATTCGTATTTGGCAACACTTTCTTCTCTGTTACGTTGTCCATTTCTTCTAAGTGATGCTCCCATGAAGTCAATGGCTTCTTTTGATGAGTCTATAGAGTTTACAGAAACATGAAGGTGATCAGTGATTCTGATAAAGTTTTCAAGAGTCAGATTTTTTGCTAGTAGCTTGCAAAAGGGAAAACTCTCGCTTACTCTGAATCTCATTCCCTAGAAACTTTGCGCTCTCCATCTGTAATGAGTCTCTCGGATTATCCTCCACGTCTGCGCTTTCGCCTTCCATCTCTGGTCTTGTACATGAGCTCTACAAGAACAAAATTCAACTAGAAAGTTTAGAAAAACACACGGAGAAACAGAACCAAGTTCACATGTGAAGAATAATTGAAAATAAGATAGTCCAAAATGAGATCTAACCTGAGCATCACCACCATTCCCAACTAAAGGATGTTCATCTCTGGTCGAATTGTTTGCAGACGCACCCTCGGGTTTCTTCTGTCCAACACTCTCATCTAGTGGAAAGCTACCAGGAGCAGCAAGTGACTGCCAAAATGATCAAGAAAACAAAAAAAAATCTGAGAACTCAGTTATCTTTTAATAGACAACGAAATTTCCCAGAACTTATATAAGGACGGTTAAGTTGTAGATTGCACGGGACACACAAAGCTTAAAAGATTGCATATGGGACATACAGTTTGTCTTCTCCAGACATGTTGCCAGAGATTTCTCAGCTCATTCCTCCTCAACGGCTTCACAAGATAGTCAGCCGCACCTTTCAACATGCACTTATACACAGTATTCACCGAATCCTGACTCGACATCACTGAGAAAGAAAAACACAATACAAGAACAAGAGAAATGAGCCTAAAATCATCTTAAAATGATGGGGACAAAAAAAGAAGAAGAAGCAGGATTTGTAAATGTCACGTACTTATAACAGGAATGTTCTTGCAGATATCATGCTCCATGATGAGAGTTAGAAGAGCGTATCCAGATATTGAAGGTAGATCAACCTCCGTTAGTATTAGGTCAACGCTTTCGGGCTTCCCTTTTAGCATCTCCCAAGCCTTCAAGCCATCAGGTACAGCAGCAACTGAGAAGACACATAGCACACAAAACGAACCACATTAAACCCTTGAGCTCGTTCTGAGTGTGGATTAAAAGAATTCAAGGCTGTTCTCCAAAAAAAAGAAGCATTTTTAATCGGAAAACATCATCTGAGATCAAAAGAAAAACCGAGAAATCGTTGACTTTCTAATTATTTTACTTGAATTGTAGCAATTCAAGGCATAAATTTAACAGCAGGCATACAGTTAACCGAGAATCAGATTCATATCATTAGTAGCTGAATCGAATTCTCGAGGGTTTACAGTTCCAAATTCTCTGATTCGACCCGAGATTTTCCCAAAACAATCGAGGAATCCAGATCAAGAGTTCGAAAGCACAAATCCTCAAACATAAAATTAAAGCCCAGGGAAAGTCACGATGCTCGAGCGAAACCTCATCAGAAACTGACCTCTGTAGCTGCATTTCCTGAGGAGAGCAGAGATTATCTGTCTGGTAGAATCGTCGGCTTCGACTAGCAAAACTCTTAAAGCGATTTTCGGGAGAAACCTCTCCCACTTCACCAAACCATCGCCGCCGCCCTCTGCGGCGTCCTTTCTTCGCATCCGCCGACGCGCTAACTTTCCTCCGCCAGCCTCAGCCGCTTTCTCCACCACCGTCACCTCAACTACGTCCTCGCTCACTTCTCGCATCTCACAGCAGTCGCTTAAAACCAAATTCGATTGAAGAAGCTCCGGAAAGAGAAAAGGGGAAGACGAAACAGTTAGAAAACAAACGAAAAAATATTGTGAGGGGGAAAGATAAAGAGGGAAAATATCTTATTCCTCTCTATGGTGCGGAGAAAAAGAAGAAAAATATTTTAAAAACAAAATATCTTGAAATCTGGCGAGTGTTCCAACGGCTGAGATTAAAATCGCGCGGGCAACCGACCGTGATCCAACGGTCACGAAACTAGTAAAATGATTCGAAAAATATCTAGTAGAGTGAGCTGACGTGGCCCACGTTTGCCATATCAGCAAAATACGGTACGAGACAGAGCGATTCCAATACGCCAAAAAACCTTTTTTCTTTTTTAATTGGTGTGGTGGCTAGTCGTTGATTATACTCTGTGGTTCATATTTAAAGTTGGAATCTTATACCAAAATATTTATTGCAGCACATATCGATGCGTATGTGTTTGAAATGTAGATATATTACTCCATTGCTTACTTTGTCAGCAGCATAACAGATCATAAAAACACTATGCGGCTATGCCTATAATTTACTCAACAAACAATGCTTATAATTTCCCGTTAACTAATAAAAAACCTTGCTTATTATTGCCAAACAATTAATGGTTGTTTTTATTTTATTCAACAAATTACCTTATTCATGAACAAATAGACTTAGCCGAAAGAAAAAGAAATGGACAAATGTCAAATAGGCCTATAAAAATCCCACTCGTGACTTTTGAGATAATATCAAAAAAATATCTAATGCAAGTGGCGAACAAGTATCTCTATTCAATTTATCTAAAAGAGAATTGTATTGTTTGCTTTTCTGAAATAATTCTATTATTCAATTTTGTTAAAATAAAATAAAAAACCAGTATGGATATTTTTAATTTCTTTTTTCGGAGGAAAAAAATCAATTTATTAAACCCGAATTTTCCAAGAATCAACAACCGATCGTCACTGGTACATATTTAAACATTATTTGTTATTTTTAGTCACGAAATCATGATATCTACTTACAATCTGAATTCTGGAAAGTGGAAAGAAGTGAAAATTGACAAATGATTATCGATCATGAAGTTATTGAGTTACCGAAAATTAAAGTATTTTCGTTTTTCTATTGATACCGTCTTTGATTAAAAACATGTGTCAAGGTAGGGACCACGTGAAGAGTTTTAAAGTAATTTTCCGGCAAGATATTTTGGAGGGATAAGGCATTGACAGGAAACGGGACACTTGTTTAAACCTCGTGGTCTTAGTGGACAATAATACGACACGTGTATGGTGGTAATCGGACATAGTTTTTCACCTTCGATTTAGCTGTCAGAACCAAAATATCTATTTTCTGTCTCTTCACGCGCCGCGCGTTTCTTTATACAAAATCCTACTCGCTCTCTCATTCCACTTGCCTTTCTTATATCACCAATTTAGTTTGACTTTTGACTTTTGACTTTCTTTTCTTATTGACCCAATGATTTTTTTTTCTATCTTAGTCAAGCTTATTAGTATAATCTTATACTATGTTTTGCACACACAAATAAAAAAAAGTATAATCTTATAATGTTTCCAGATATTTCTACTTTAATAGTTGTTCAGCAAAACATTTTTACTATTTGTTTTTGTCAAAATTATTATAGACCTTTTTAGTTTTGTTGATGGGTTAGCAAAGAATAACGATCAAAAAATTAAATCAGTGACAGTGATCAACTTATATTCTGTTGGTTTAGAGATCAATTTTCTAAAATATTATTACTAAACTATCGATGTATATAAACCAACAAAATTTGGTCGCCAAAACTCTGTTGATTGTCGCTGAAATTCGTTAATGGTTGAGACTTTTTTAGCCCTTTAATCAAATCAACGACATAAGATCATCACTTTGTAAAGTTTTGTGGCTTGCTCGTGTTGGATGATACCGCACGCGAGTGTAGAAATGTGGTGGAGCGATGATGACTTTTGGTTTAAGGAATAAAATCTAAAGATATTTTGACCTAACTTACACCTACATGCCCCCATTCTTTTTCAAACAGATATTTTTTTGTCTGTACGATATTTTCATCCTCTCTTTTTTGTGTGGCCAACTCTTTTGATATATATATATATATATATATATATATCTTTGTTCTTTACCGTCTGTAGGATATTTTTCTTTTTCTATAGGCTACTTGAGATATTTCCAAGTCGTCGTCTCATATGGCTATTGCCTTGTCCATTTATGAAAAAGAAGTTAACTAGTAGATCTTAGATCTCTTAATTCATGTGCTTCAAACATCCACTTGAGACAATCTACATATCTAACCAAGCGATAAATAAATGAGACCAATGATTATATGTTGATGAAAGGATAGCGATAGTATGGTCGATAAAAGATCTACGAATCAATCTAGCTGACCTACGTAAGAATAATATAAGACCAACGTTTGTAGATTTCTCAATTTAGGGTCAATTCCACCCGATTTTTAACAGATAAAAAGATCTACACTAGCCGAGTTTTGTCAAAACAATGTCATAATGTTGTAAAGAACTGCAGAGTCAATCTTACTAGATTAGTATTGGACTCAATTTATTAGGGTCGAACAAGACGTTGTCTTTTTACGGTTACCGGAAGGTTGAACAGCAAAACCATATTAACAATATGTTAGGAAGAAGTGGATTTAAATCCTTAATTACACAAAACACTGATATAACATTTGACAATTATTGACATGCGCTGATTGGAACCAAACATGTTTTGTGTGAATGAAAATCAAATTTCACTAATAAAAGTGACAATTTGGGTAATCCAAGATCGCGTGGCATGCAACACGTCTAAGCTCATATGTAGGGTAGATGCCGGAAGTTGCTGCATATCCGATTACCCATAAAATTGTTAGTTTTTCGTTTGCACTTATTGATTCTGTTTGTAACTCCATGAACTTTGAGCTATATAACAAAGCATCCACGAGCTTGAGTAGAGTGTTCGAGACTTAAAAGGCCTTCTTGTGTGGTTTCTCTCTTTGGGTTTTCAAAATTTGTAATCATTTTCACTCTCTCTGTAAAATTTGTAATCATTTTCCCACGCACCATCCATAAATGTCTACACTCAATCTACATAATGTCTAACATGTTTCATCATGATGAGTATTAGTAATTTGAACATGGTGCCTAAAGTAAGTGTAACAGTTGAGTTCTGTGGTTATATAATCCTCGAGCTGTAAGAAATGATATACATAGATTCAATGTACTTTTACTTCTATATATACGTTTATATGTAAATCAAAGCTTCATGAAAAAAGAATATAAAAACGACAAAATTATTAGTAATTTACATTATCAACTCTTCATTAAAACTACAGAGTCTTCAAAACATTAAAAACCACGACTAAACGCCAAAAAAACAAAAGAAAAGGGATGGTGATTGCACATTGGAAAATTAGGAGAAAATAATGTATATACGTGGAAAAGAAAGGGTTCACTTCATAAATATAATCCTCCCCATTTGCATATGTCAGCGTCCTTATCCTTTTTTCTTTCACCTTATCCAAATACAGTATTTCTACAATTTTCCACTTCCAGTCTTCACTCATCACTTCACAAACGAACAATCTGTAAAATCTCTCCCAAATCAAAATGGCGACGCTCTTAGGTTTTTCTCAGACGAAGTTTCACCACTCCGGCGTCTCGATCTCTTCGCCGCCGTGTTCATCTTCCTCCACGGTGGTCCCAATGGTGTGCTCCAGCCGTACTGAATCGAACAGTCTCCGGTCCGGTTTCCTCGGCGGCCGTATCGCTTCTGATGATCGGAAACGAGTAGGATCGGGCTCCTGTAAGCTGGGTCGGAGAAGCTCTTTAGCAGTTAAAATGTCGTGGGACGGTTCTCTCGCTTCCGTCAAGTTAATCATCCAAGGAAAAAACCTCGAGGTTTGGATTTCGCTACACGCTTGATATCGAATTCTGAACAATAATGATAAATTTGTGTGGATTTCGATTATCGAGAATTGGTTATTAGAAAAGTTTTGTTGAAATTATGGTTTAGGGCTGAGATATGTTGCTAAATTATCCTTCAGTATTTAGCCAATGTCTATGTACGGTGCGATCTTATATAGTGACTGTGACATTTTGATTCTGTTTGCGCTCTATTAGATTTAAGATTGTAACTCTTAAATTCTCTATCAATAGAATGTATTGTCTTCCTTTCTGAAAGTGGAGGATTTTTTTTGTGTTTTTGACATTTTGAAGCTTGTTTTCTTCAATTATATGGTTAACTATGACATTGTTGTGACAGTTATCAGATCCAATCAAGCAGCATGTTGAGGAGAAAGTAGGGAAAGCCGTCCAGAAACACAGCCATCTCGTCAGAGAAGTTGATGTAAGACTCTCCGTTCGAGGAGGAGAGTTTGGTAAAGGACCTAGGATCCGTAGATGTGAGGTAAACAATATCATTCTTATCGATTTGTTGGGTCTTGATCTTTATATATACAAACCCTTTCTTTCACGTTCAAATCCTACTAGGTATTTGATAATGAAGCAACTATGTGTTATTATATGTTTGTCCAAAATCCAGAAACTTTTACTTCAGGAGCTAACATATAGTTGCTATGGTACTTTAGGTGACACTGTTTACAAAGAAGCATGGTGTTGTGCGCGCGGAGGAAGATGCGGAGACGGTATACGCTTGTATCGACTTGGTATCAACGATAATACAGCGGAAGCTGAGGAAGATCAAGGAGAAAGACTCTGACCATGGAAGGCACATGAAAGGTTTCAACAGATTGAAGGTAAGAGAACCAGTGATTGAGCCGGTTGTGGAGGATGTTGAGGACGTTACTGACTCGACACCAGGAGAAGAAGAGGATGATTTGATCAAGGAGGTTGGTCCAGAGTTACCTTATCATTGGTATTTTACCGATCTTGCAACAACTGATCCTTTTGACAATGTTTCTTCCCATGGTTTTTCGCAGATCGTGCGTACCAAATACTTTGAGATGCCACCATTGACGGTGGCTGAGGCAGTTGAGCAGCTGGAATTAGTCGCTCACGATTTCTATGGCTTCCAAAATGAAGAAACCGGTATGCATTTGACATGATTCTCTTTTTCTTCCATGTATGCTCGATTGAAGAAAGACTTTACATTTCGATATCTTTATCTTGGTTTGCAGGTGAGATTAACATAGTGTACAAGAGAAGAGAAGGAGGGTACGGTCTGATAATCCCTAAGAAAGATGGGAAGGCCGAGAAGGTTGAACCGCTTTCAACCGAGCAATTGAATGAACACTCTTTCGCCGAGTAGACTTGAGTTTGCGGCGCAAACCAAAACTGTTCTTCCCTCCTTACAGTTTGCCTGTATAGGAGTTAGGGTTCTTGAGAAGACAGTGTCTGTTAGGGTTCATTAAACAGTGTACATACAAAAATAAAAACTTTGTTTACTTTTGAAGTAAAAGAATTGAATCTGAAGTACACGAACTTGAATATTCAAATCAGATGAAAGCAATACACATTTTCATTAACAAGAATGTAACATAATAATCATGCAACAGTATTATCATATACATGAACGCGAAACTTGGTTTAGTGGCTCTATCAGGCCAGAGGAACCTATGGCCACGAGCCTCTGGATCGCTGTTCTTTTCTTGGTTTAGACGGCAATCTGAATAAGAGAAGGAAGAGACAATATAGTTAATATAAAGTAGGATCCATCGATTAAATAACAACTTTTTGGGTATAGATTTTTTTCTTTGCAGCTAATTGAACTTGCCTACTCAAGAGGATTCTGTTGGCATTGCTGCTTTCTGGATCATCATGAGCCTCATCGATTTGGTATGGTGGATCCTGCAATGAACATATAGATTTTAGTATTGAGACATGACATATATCTTTAGTAACTCAGTTTGATTAGATTTGACGGGTCTCTAAAGACAAAGTTCTGCAATAATAAACTTCGCATCTAAAAAGCAACTCATATCAGCTACTTGGCTTGTAAAGGGGATGAACACTTGAAAATACTCAGGGACTAGGTTTTAGTGCAACTTCAAAACCCTACAGCCTACAATACTTCATAAGAGACTTAAACTAGATCACAGAAGAGCTAATCTAATTCGAACCCAACTCTACTGCTCTTAAGGTAGTTTAAGCTCAATGTTGCAAGTAATTCAAAGCATCTTACAAATTAAGCTCAATTCGGATTTGCAATGCTCATCATCAAGTTTAAGGAGAATTTGGAAATAAGGGTCACTCACATTGTCTGGAACTGATCCTGAGATCTTCATCTTCTTGCATTTCCCAGAGATTTCACTATCGTCAGCGTCGCATTTCCTCTTCTTCTTCTTCTTCTTCTTCTTCATTTTCTTCATCGTCTTCTTCTTCGAAGAGACAGCCCGTGATTTACCCTTCTTGTCCCTCACTTTCCACACGTTTCTCCTACGGAAAACCAGTTTCTCAGACTTCCAGATCTTGAAGCTAGTGTCGATCACCGTCACTTCGCTCCTCGAAAACCCAACCAGATCCTTCTCTCCTTTCTCTTCCTCTTCCACGCCGTCGGCTTCCGCTACGGTTCTTCGCCTCTCCCTCTTCTCCGGCGCCGGTTTCTTATTGTACGAATTGCGCGACGACGTGGCGAATTCGCGAACGCCGGAAAGACAATTCGAATCGCGTTTCTGATTTAGCAACGGAACGTCGGCAGGAGTCTCAACGGAGCAATGCCTAGGGTTTGATTGTTTCCTTGGTAACTTCTTCCCGGGAATCATGCAAGAGCGGGAGGAGCCGCCGAAATTGAATAGCTCGGAGAGAACATCGCTCATCACGCCGTACCATTCGCCGGGATTTGGCTCCGATGGACTCTCCGCTAACTCCGGATCCGAAGGAATTGGAGCAGACGGAGGAGAATCGGAGGCGGAACTAGTGGCGGGAGCTTCGGTGTTACCGGTATGGTTGTTGCGGCGGAGGAAGTCGTCGAGGCTAAGAGGATTACCAGAAGCATCTTCATCATCGGTGGTAGAGAGTCCTCTGCTTAAGCGGAGACGGTCAAGCCAAGTGGAGGCGACGGGCTTGCTGTCGACAACGGAGCTGTGCATCGGAGAGACGACGAAGATACAAATTTGTTGGCTCTATTTTTTCTCTTCTTTGTAAACTTAAAACAGTGCGCCGTTCGGATAACAAGAAAACTACTATTGCAATTCTGAGTTCAACACTACGCGTCGTCTTCATCTTTTTTTTTTTCCATCTTTAAAAAATTACTTATGGATTAGAAAACCAATTAAAATATTAAATCCAACAAATTTTATGCCTTTTGGGGTCAAAACTTCCAAGAATTAATCTCCCTTTTTTTTCAAATCTAAGTAACTATTTAATTGATTTTATTGGATTTGACATTTTAATTGATTTTCAAATCTAAGTAACTATTTAATTATATCAAATTGATTTTTGAAATGTGGAAGTTCCTTGGTGTAGTAGTTATTGAATTCTTATAAATTAAAAATCTAAGATTCAATGTTGAGGTGAAACCTTTTACTATCAATTTTTATACTGACTTTATCTGTTATATAATGTTTAATCTCTTCGTAGAACGGCTTGTCGTGTTTTCAATTTGCAACAAAGTTTTGGTGCTTTTGCTTTTAAAATCTTAAGATGTTACAATTCACAAACATATGTAGAGAAGAGAGACAATGATCAAAGTGTGCCAAGTGAAAATATAGATATAATACGAAGAGACATATATGAGGCAAAACTCATGGGGGAATTTTTGTTCTTTAACCAAAACTGATATTCAAAGCTCATAAAAATTTGGAAGAGAAGAAAGCTTCTCAGAACCAAACCAGACAAGACAAAGATTTCTTTGTTCTTTAACCAAAACTAATATTCAAAGCTCATAAAAGTTTGGAAGAGAAGAAAGCTTCTCAGAAGCTAACCAGACAAGACAAAGATTTCTCTTACACCCGAAAGAAAAAGAAAATTCAATAGAAAGAAGAAGGTAGGCCTTCTAGTCAAACAATCCGAATACCATGTCATCTTCACTCTCTTCCTTCACCTCCTCCTGAGAATTTTTAAAACAATATTCCCATTGGTTAGTTTTAATCATAAGCTTGTTAAATTATATAGTTGATGATTTGGATTGCAATAACGCTAAGACTGTTAGAAAGACAATAGGATATACCTTCTTCTTCTTTGTCTCCTCAACTGCTGGAGCTGCTTGAGCAGTTGGAGGAACGTTGGTTGCAACCGGAGCTGCCTCACCACCACCACTGGCTCCAACATTCATGATGAGATCGTCAATATTCTTCTTCGCACATAGCTTAGCAAAGAGGCTAGGCCAGTATGATTCAACATTCACGTTGGCTGCTTTCACCAGCTTTGATATCTTCTCGGCCTAGTAAATCCACAATAAACAAGAAAGTTACCGACATGAAACTATATAAACGAAATTCGCAACTACAACATATATAAGTACATGCATGAAGAGCAAAGAAAAAGAGTAGAAACTAGATCAAAAAGAGGTTAAAATTGAGAATTAGAGAGAAGAGAAAACTAACGGTGATGTCAATCCCATCATCGTGGAGGATTAGAGCGGCATATGTGCAGGCAAGCTCGCTGGTGGACATTCTCTCTAACCTTTTTTTTCAAATCTTTTTGCACTATTATTATCACTTGCCTTTTAAGTTACAAGGACGTTGCTATTTATATGTAGAGGGGGTTGCTTGTAGGGTTTTGTGAAATCAAGAATCTGACACATATTTTCCTTTCCCTTAAGCTAAATTTTCTATTTTTATTCATTTTATTAAATGGAAAATATGAATATCAACGTTCTCCAAAGTTATGTAAATTGGTTATATGAAATTTTAAAAATGGTAAATAGAGAAGTTTAACATAAATTTATCTCTTTGTAAAGAATGAGATAGAGAAATATAACAGTCGGACGTTCAGAGGTTTTCTCAAACGAAGAAGGTATAATAAATTGAGAATTTGCTTGTCACTTGAAGTTAATTTGCAAAATACAAAAAAAAAACTCTGACTAAAAACAGGTGTTCGAAGTTGGAACCTGTAACACATATTTTATAATTGCTTTGTTTAGATGCTAAATAACCGATGACAAGTAGCTGTTTTATCCGAAGAATACCCAACAAAGGAAAGACAGGGTGCATTATACTGTAATAAGCTTCCACTTCAAATCTAAACACCAGAAACCGCAATAAATTCTGGTTGGGGTTTATACACAAAACAGAAAGATAACAGTGGCATTTGGTTCATCAAATGAAATCAGTTTTAGTTACAATCAGGTAGATACAGAGGCATTGCTTGCTGACCCAAGACGCGAGAGTGCGCGTGCACCGAACCTACTTGTCACATCGGGTCTATGCTAAATCTGATTTTGACCACTTCACCATCTGCATCTGACATCAAGCGAGATGTATATAATAAGGAAATGTTATTTGATTTTCTACATGTGCAATGTTATTGTTCAATCTAGATTCTCTATATGAGTTGCAAAAACCTGAAGCACAAAGTACAAAGGTGTTTTGTACCCAATCATCGTCTACATGAATATCATTTTATCAGCCATTACAGCAACTGTGAGATCATTTACTAACAAAGTTCTCTTATAGCTACAAGACAATCTGTAATAGCCAGCCATGAAAGCATTCAAGTGAGTTTTCAGTTCAACTTTCTTTGCGAATTCATTAGGCCTAACCAGGTGATATCATTCATATCATCGACTTCATAGTTAAATATAAAACCTAACCTCAAACTCTAAGGAGCTGCATTTTGTTAGCGAAAGCGATGCCAATCCAATCAGGCTGTGAAGAGGACCACTGCAACTGGTTTATCTCCGAGCCGGCTGAGTAAACCGACATCGGATCAATGCCGTTGGGTCCAGCTACAGTCGGGAGCTCCCAGATGAGAGCCTGCGTGTCGTCACCAGCAGAGCAGATGTGTTTGCAGCTCTGTGGAGCCCAAGCTATGGCGTTGACGCTAGCCTGGTGCCGTTCGAGCTCGGCGACAGGCATCGTCGGCGAGCGAATGTCGAGAATCACGACCTTATTCGAATCCATCAGGATCGTCGCCATGTACCTCAGGTCTTGTTTGTTCCAGGCGAGTCTTAGGAGAGGCGTATCGGGCTGAGGACTCTCGTAGATGATGGTGGAATGCTCCTTGTCGCGTAGATCGAAGATCCTGACGGATCCGTCGGCGGAGACCGACGCGAAAACCCTAGCTTCTCCCCAAGCGATGTCGTGGACCTCCTTATCGTGCGCTATGAGCTGCGTCTCCACCACGCACTTCTCGATGTCCCAAATCGTGCAGGTCGTGTCGATGCTGCAGGTTCCCAGGCGTTTCGGCTCGACGTCGTTCCAGTCGAAGGAGGTCAACGGCGCGCAGAACTCGCTCGTCTTGCTGTTGTTGAGCACCGAGACAGGCTCGACGGTGGAGGAATCTTCACTGATCTCCCATAAACGGAGGAAATCGCCGGAGGAAGCGAGGAGATCGCCGGCGGAGGGACGACGGAGGGAGGGAGGGCTGAACATCAGCTTTGTGGGAGGATAAGGATGATCGAAGGAGAGATTCGGGAGAGGCTTCACCGTCATGGAGTCGGAATCGAAGGAGAGAATGTCGATGCGGTTGTTGTAATCCTCGAGGAAGCTTCCGACGGCGATTCGGTGGCCGGAGGGAGTACCGATGGAAGAGAAGGCCATGGCGTAGAGTGGGTAAGGAGAATCGTAGGTGACGGCGGTTTCCGATCTGGACAAAGAATCCGGAGCTGAGTTATCCATTATCTCTGCACGAAAATGTGGAATGGTTTGATCTGATTCGATTCGATTTTTGGATTCTTCACGGCGACATCTCCGTTTTTCAGAGGAAAATGACAGAAAGTTCTATGGTCAGTGTCCAGTGCGATATTTTGACTGCATGCTAAACCCTCTGTGTCAATCAATATCTATTGATAGTGGGCCTTTCAACGCATTTTTGGGCCTTGTGTCTTTACATAGTAGGCCTTTTCAACGCTAAGCGAGCTTTCCACATTTCTTTCCCAAACACACAGATTAAAATGTTGTCTACAAAAAGTCAATAACATTTTCAAACCATTTTGAAGACGATACTAAAATTATGATATTCTCTACAAATATATATTTTGTTTTGAGACGGACAATATCTTGTTACTACTCATTTAGGATTTAGCAAATGGTTTGTGGAACGTGTGATCCTTTGCGTAAATAGACATGTACATGAATACTATGTGTAATGTGTGTAATAGCGATGTAATAAATATAGAGATATGCGTGAGGTTGGGGTGAAGAGTATTTGTGTCATTTTCTATCTCAAAAATATCATGTTAGATGCCTAACATTTTTTTGAAAAGAGCATATAATATCTAATTTTGTGAGAAAATATAATAGTGTTAATTACTTTTACTTTATTTTAAAGAGGATGAGACGACAAAAAAAACTAAGATGATAAGGAAGAAAATGATAGGTCCAATATTACAGTGAAGGGACATGACGGTAAGTCCCAAGACGTTGACATGCCCTAATTTCTTCATCCCCAATCCCACGTTTACTCCAGTTTCAGATTTGATATGACCACAAGTTTATTTTATCAATCAGGCCACACGTTTAAAAATAAAAATAATAGATAGATCGATAATTCGACTTACTCATGGTATTAAGATAAAAGTTAATACAGTTTATATAGTTCTTAGCATGCAAATTGAGATACTCATTCACAGCAACCTGATATATTATTTGATATGGCGTCTGTAGCCGAAATAATTTACTAACGACCTGAAAAAACAGATTTATTTAACATATTACCGAAGAGATTATAGGTTTAATACTTTAAATACGACATTTCCCAGCTCAGCTAAGAACAAAAATATTTTGTTCAAAAAATAAAAGAGCTTATAACTTATACGCCATCAGATAATTATGTTATCTGTGACAAATTAGATCGTCAATTAAAATTGGCAATCGTCTTTGCAATTAAAAACTTAATTTTGGTAGACCACAGGAAAGAAAAAACAGTTTAACACATGAATCACGTAAGATAGTGGAGCACAATTTGGTAATATTTAGGTATGATTGTGCTAAATGCGGCTACACCGAAATATAATAATGTTTTTGCGCTGCACCGAAATATCTATGTATTAAAATCAATAAGATAGAATTTAACTAACACATGAGATGACAACAAAACAGTTGAACACATGAATCACGTACGATACAGGAAAAAAAAAAACAAGGAACGAATTGTTATATTAAAATTAAGATGTCTCGTTTACTCACCAAACAATCATGCATCTTGATTCTTTTTTTCTTGGCAATGCATTTTGATTCTTTTTTCTTGTCAAATGCATCTTGATTAGAGATATCGGTTTTTGATTAATGATTATGGAAGACATGAGTTTCGCGGACGCTATACACCTTTTTTTATAGTATTAGATATGTGTGTGTAATATTTAACATTTTAACAAAATGATTCAATATAACAGTCATTAGATATTTAGATCTAAACAGCTTTTTTTTGCTACCATTTAGGCATTTATAATAGATTGTTGTCCGCAGACGCAAAACTAATTAATTTACGAAAACACTGCATTAATTAGAAATGTTTTACACGGTACAAGATTCATGAGTGTTGTTATCAAGATTGACTTACAACAAGTCGCAACCATGTCTCCACTTCTATATGCGATCGTGCCCATTCTTTTGGATAGAATTGGGAGCAACGGTTGTCTGTTCGGACACGTGTCCTGCTTTCTCTCAATCTCACTGTCTGTACCAAAAGACATGAATATTTTTATCCACATGTATGTAAACTTCCACATTAATCATCAATTTTTTGTTTGAATTCTCCTTATGGTTCGATTAATCTTTGTTTTGGTTTTGAACAACAATTGAGATTGTTTTGGTAATTACAAAGAATAATATATTTATTGAAAAATAATTTCAAAAGTCATGCCATTATTAAGGGATAATTGTGCCGGCATGCACACGGAGAATGTATTTAATATTTTTTCCTAAAAAAAAATTCCGTGTATGGACTGTTTTTAATGTAAATGTTGAAGTAGTCAAAATTTTAACTGAAATCACTAAAAAGAAAGTTTTGAACAAGACTTTGATAGAAAATAATAATTAAAAAAAAATTGAGAACGAATATCTTAATGGCTTTTGTTCTCTCATGACTTCAATCATGGTGAAGTTTAGATGTTAGAATTTAGAGGGAGAAAAAAAAAAGTTTCCAGAAGCAAATATATAAAAATGAAGTCATTAAAAGTTAAAACACAGTTTGAAAGGCACGTACATCTTGCCCCACCCCAACATTTATTTTTCTATGATAAGATTCGCAATTAATTTGGTTATGGTTGTCTGCTATTTTATCCAAATTAATTATTCTAAGTTGCACAAATAGAAAATCGTTCGATTTTTCTTTATTTTGAAAACAATCCTCTCTTGTAGTGTCATCTAAACCGTAGGCATTATCTATCTTTCTTAAAAAGTTCAACATTGGAAATTTGGAATGTTGGGTTTATTGAATTGTAACCAAGAACTATAGAATTCAAAGACTCAAAGATTAATAAGAATATCTCTCTTATTTGCTTAAGGAAAATAATTTAAAAACCTTAAACACACAATCTCTGATAAGTTATGTCACAACTTTGACATCTCCTTATATAGCCAATAATCAAATCCTAATTCACTTAGAGAATGTATTAGATAACTCCTAAACATTAATCTCTAATCCTAAACACTTTAGGTATCCTTAACTTGATAGAACTAGGATTGACTTGTTTCTCAAGCTTCATTTCAAGCTTAGTTCAACAATCTCCCCCTTAAGCTTGGAATCCATTTGCTTCAGATCTTGAATGCCAATGAGATCTCTCATCTCCTTAAATTTGATCCTGCCCAGTGCTTTCATTAGTTTATCCGCCTTTTGTTGATTACCAGGAATGTGCTCAACTTCGATTTGCCCATTCTCTACACACTCACGTATGAAGTGGTAACGTGTGTGAATGTGTTTACTTCTGCTATGAAACACTGGGTTTTTAGTGAGAGCAATTGCTGATTTGTTATCAATAACTCTTTCACAAGGCACTCCAGTAACTTCACTAAGTAGATCCTGAAGCCAGATTGCTTATCTTGCTGCTTCTGTACCTGCCATAAATTCAGCTTCACATGAGGATAAGGCCACGGTTTCTTGCTTCTGTGAACACCAGGTAATCGGGCTTTCTCCAAGGTAAACGATATGACCAGTCGTGCTCTTTCCGTCATCTGGGTCGACATTATGGCTACTATCACTATAGCCAATGATCTTCGGAATCTTCAGGTTGGACCGCTCGATTGTTAGACCAAGTGTCGTGGTGCCTCGAAGATATCTTAAGCAATGTTTCATAGCAGCGCCATGTGACTCTCTTGGACTTTGCATATATCTACTCAGTACCCCAACACCCTGATTCTGTAGGTTTTAATGCTTACTCCTGCATCCTGTTCAACCAATCTCTTGAATGTCTTAAATTTATTGAAAGCATCACTTTTTTCTTTCAATAGTATCGTCCACATATATCGCGAGTGGTCATCGATGAGTACAAAGATGTATTTGTTTCCTGCGATTGTACTCGGTGTTATTGGGCCGCAAAGGTCTCCGTGAATGAGTTCGAGTATCTTGTCTGCTCGATATGAGGAGGCTTGAGGGAACACTTGTCTTGTTGCTTCCCGAGTAAGCAAGAGCTGCAGACTCCTTTTTTTAATGTGATTTGTGGGATTCCCAAGACTAAATCCCTTTGGATCATCGACTTCATTGTCTCTTGGCTTATGTGTCCCATCCTGGCATGCCATACATCCGATTCACTTGTATCAGTGAGATATAGACGCGCCGAGTTCTTCAATACCATATGCACTTTATAGAGTCGATTCTTTGCTCTTACTGCTTTAACAAGCAGCTTTCCTTCCGAGTCGTGCATCGTTAAATGTCCTCCTCTCATCCTGATATCACACCCTGATTCTGTAGCTTGCCCCAAGCTAATGATGTTACTCTTTAAATCCGGGATGTAGTAAACATCATACATCGTTCGTGATTTCCCATTCATGTCAATAAAAGAGATTGATCCTTTCCCTTTTATATTAATGCGTGAGTCATCGCCGAACCTGACTTTTCCAGTAACAGACTCATCAATTCTTTTGAAGTATCTTCTATCCCCTGTCATGTGATTGCTAGCGCCATTGTCCAGATACCACACATTCACTTCGTTTGCAGTCCTCTCATACTTGCTCGGTATGCAGTTTTTCTCATTCAGAAAAACGACCTCATGCATCATGAGATCATCCGCTGTTTGTGTTTCATCCTCATCATCCTCTTGAGCTTCCTGCAGCTTAAGTAACCTGTCTGGGCATACGCTGGCATAGTGACCCATCTTGTCACAACGATAACACATGACTTTGGAAGTGTCTCTTCCTCCATTAGACCTTCCGCGACCTCTTCCCCTATAGCGTCCTCCTCGACCTCTGCCTTTGTATTCATTGTTTGAGTCGCGGTTTGAATGGTTACTCTGAGTTTCCTCATTCAGATACATCAATTTGCTGGAGTCTTCTTGAACCTCCTCATCCTCAGAGATTCGCTCTTCATAAGCTTTTAGTCGTCCTATGATGTCTTCGAAACTTGTTTTGTTTAGATCCAAAACTTGTTCCAGTGAGGCTACTATGTGTATGTACTTCTTCCGTGGGAGGCTCTTGAGAAACTTTTTGACAAGTTTAGACTCTTCAATGGTTGTTCCTAAAGCGGCTGACTTTGATGACACTTCAGACAGCTTTCCTGCAAAGTCGTCGATCTTATCTGATTCCTTCATCTTGAGTCGATCAAATTCTGCCATTAGGGTTTGCAACCGTGCCTCTTTGACTCTTTCAGCACCTACGTATCTTGCTTTGATCGCTTCCCACACCTGCTTTGCTGTTTCGAGTTCTCCGACTTGTAGCACAAGTGTCTCGGGTATTGATTGGAACAATAAAGCCATGGCCATATTGTTCTTTTCTCCGTCAGGTAGGTTCGCTTCTGCTTCGATGGCCTCCCAAACTTTGTGTACCTTGAGTGTGACCCTCATTCGCATGGCCCATACAGTGTAATTTGTTGCATTCAACATGGGACATGTGATAGATGACGATCCTCCTCCTACTCTAGGTCTTGTTGCAGCTGTTGCAGCAATAATGTCTCCCATGATTCGCTCTTAACTTTATCAAAGTTTTGTAGCTCTGATACCAATTATTGAATTGTAACCAAGAACTATAGAACTCAAAGACTCAAAGATCAATAAGAATATCTCTCTTATTTGCTTAGGAAAATAACTCAAAAACCTTAAACACACAATCTCTGATAAGTTATGTCACAACTTTGACATTTCTTTATGTAGCCAATAATCAAATCCTAATTCACTTAGAGAATGTATTAGATAACTCCTAAACATTAATCTCTAATCCTAAATACTTTAGGTATCCTTAACTTGATAGAACTAGGATTGACTTGTTTCTTAAGCTTCATTTCAAGCTTAGTTCAACAGGGTTTTTTTTTAGTTGTCACTTGTCAAATTCTGTTTGTCAAAAGAATTTGAAAACGTAAAAATGGTGATTAATTAAGAAATAACTACTTTATAATATTAATTAATCTCAATATATAAATATTTATAAGTATGAAAAATATAAACGCTATGATTTAAAAAAAACAAAAATTTGTATATCTCGTGAAGAGAATCTGAATTTATATATATATATATATATATATATATCTATATAAAAATATTCTATTTGCAATAATATACAATGATTTATAATATAAGATTACAGCATTAAGTGAAAAATAAATAGAGAAATGGAGTTAGTAACATTATTAGCTACATTCAATCTTGTCCATTTCAGAATCAAATTTGAATGTAGCTCGTTTAAATATAATGATGATGTTTATCAAAAGAAAAAAAATCATAAATTTGAAAGAAAAAAAAATTATTCACTTTGTTTGAACTGTAATTCAAATATAATAAAGTAGTAATTAGTATTAGCGTTTGTGTTTTCCATAGTGAAATAAATCTCTCTTTCACTGTGAGTTTTTTCCTTATTTTAGATGATGTCATTTTTGAATTGGTGAATTAATCACCGACTTCTTCAAAATTAGTTATTTGTCTTTTCATTTTGGACCATTTCATATTTAAAGATGTCTTCTTCAACTTAATTGAGACGATAGCCGTTAGCCTTTTGATCAGAAGGTACTCCCAAACTCCAAACACCAATATATTTATGAGATAACTATTTTCTATTTCAATGGTCGATTAAAAACAATTTCTCTTTCGAAGTACTGCACTCGCCTTCCACAACAGTCTCATTCATGACGTCATTGCTATAACGCTGGGATGACGTCGAGTTGATAATAATCAGACAACGGTACTCGATACAGACTAACCGTACCGTCCAGTGTTTGGCTATTTTGTATGAACTAGCTGTAGCTGGATCTGGATCCGAAGCCGAGAGAGATCCTATTATTAAGACATATACATCTTTTAAATTACAATATGAACATGCGAGTATTCGTTGGATCCACAAAAGGAGATAATTAATAAGTAGTATTATGAAGAAAAAAAAATTCATTTATTCTACAAAGAGACTATTATAGTCCCATGAAGTTTATAATGCACTGAAGATGCGAAGTTAACTTTCTCTACAAATGAGAGATACCATAAGTACAATGTTGATACAGTAAATTTAGTTTACTTCTTCCTCATTTTTATATTATTTGTTGTTAAAAAAAATTATTATTATTATATCCCTAATTAAGATAGTATTTTATTTGATATGAATAACTAATAAATTAAAATAGAGATAAAACTTGAAAATTATTATAAATATGCATTGAAAATACAAAATGACAAATAAAATAAAATGTTAATTCTAAAGGAAAAATAATATGAAAGAGAGAAAATAATTATTACTGGACTATCGATGTTAGTCGATTTTTTTTTCTTTTGTTATATATATTTGCGTCATTGGTTAAAGACAATTTATTGTAAACAGTTATTAATAAATTATTGAAGAAGGTGACAGTAATGTAAATATAGTGGATGTTAAGCTACGCTGTTGAATATACTTTCAGTTTTGTAGATGGTACGTAACTACGTATGACTATTTTAGCTTCTTTTTTTTATCGAAATATTTTTAGACTAGATTATAAGAAATTGAAAGGGACAGAAAAAAATAAGAAATGAATGAAAATTTTCAATTTATGATCAAATTTTATGTTTGAAACTATATAACCATTTCTATTTAACCAATCAAAATAATGTCTTGTTTAACATGTATTAATATATTTGGTGAGTGAACAAGTCAACAACTATTGGGTTTATCTTTAAAAAATTGTACAATCGTAAAAGCCGGAACGCTCCAAGGAAAACCCCCTTAAACCCCAGTCCATACGATTATTTATTTCGCTGGACTAAGAATATTTTAAAAATTCATTCTAATAATTGAAATAACAAAATATTCACTTTAAGAAAACAAGATTCACTTTAAAAATATTACATTAATTTACTGAGTAGGACCAAAAAGGCTTTCATAGTTTATATATATACAGGATGGACATCGCATACATATTCATCAAAGTCAAGCCTTCCTTTATCTCTTTCCCTTTAATTATACTTCTTCAATTTTCTGATATCAGATATGGCGGCAAAGCTAATATCCACCGGTTTCCGTCACACTACTTTGCCGGAAAACTATGTCCGGCCACTCTCCGACCGTCCACGTCTCTCAGAAGTCTCTCAACTTGAAGATTTCCCTCTCATCGATCTCTCTTCCACAGATCGATCTCGGCTCGTCCAACAAATCCACCAAGCTTGCGCCCGATTTGGGTTTTTTCAGGTACCTCTATATACACACATCTGTATATATACACACGTTCTGTTTAAGGTCATAAGGTATGTGGACTTTTGCATCAATTAAAGAAAATATGTTTAGTTTCTTTTTATTATTGGTTATATAGGAAATAAAGTAGTGTAAAGAGCGGACGGAGTGAACAAAAAAAAAAACGTTGTTTTGTATTGCACTACCATTTTGGTATGCTTTGTCCGCTTCGTACGTAATAAAAAATATGTTTCATTGTTTCTACGCGGATTATTTTCATTTGAACTTATGTATTTAACTAATTCTTGGAGAAAAGCACAATTATACAGTTAAGTATTTAAATTGTATAGTTAAACGGCTAATCTTTTGATGGATCAAGGTCATAAATCATGGAGTCAGCAAAGAAACAATAGATGAGATGGTGAGTGTTGCGAATGAGTTCTTTAGCATGTCTATGGAGGAAAAAATGAAGCTGTACTCGGACGATCCAACAAAGACACCGAGATTATCGACGAGCTTCAATGTGAAGAAAGAAGAAGTTAACAATTGGAGAGACTATCTTAGACTCCATTGTTATCCTATCGACAAGTATGTCCATGAGTGGCCTTCAAACCCTCCTTCTTTCAAGTAAGCACATTATATTACTTCTTTTTTATATAATAAATGTTACTTCTAATTTTAGTTTGCATTTTCTTCCTCAAAGATTTCTAGTGAGTATTCTGCTAATTGTGTATTGATCTATAGTAAATAATAATATAAAGAATATTTTATTGTTTAAAAATAGGTAAAACTGTCTGTCAGGTTTTATGGTAATTTCTGATATTTCAGAAATGCCAAAAATAGAATTATAAGGCTACTTTTAGACTATAAATAGACTTGCATAGCTAGTTTTAAACTACCATTTATCTGATAGATTCTATTTTCTTTTTCTCTGGTCCCTTCCTATATATATTATATAATGAATTATTAGGGGGGGGGGGGGGGGATGCTTGAAAAGCACCTAAAAAGGAATATACGATGAGCTTAGATCTTCTATAATATATTTTGATCGTCATGATTCCTAAAAATACACAACAAAACAAAAACTAGAGCAACCACTGCCCCTCGTTGGGTAAATTTCCAGCAGGAAAACTCCTTAATGTGATGCATTTTTCTCATATCATATTATTGTCTTTTCTACGATACATTATATAAAATATACAAGCATATGATCAATTTATATCATCAGAATACTATTAAAAAAAGTATATATTATTTTCTTTTTTATACCTAGAATCTTGGTATATCCATATGAATATATTGAGAATATTATTTGTTGTCAAGAAAGAAGAAGAGGGAGAATAGCGAATGTCATTTTGAAGACACAAAAGTCGACTTGAACAAGAGCAAATTTGACCTTTCATCTGAGTCAAGTCAGCAGTTTTTGTTTTTCTTCAGACTTAGCTTGTTTCTGAATAAGATAATGAACTTGTGTGGTCCCATTTGGTTTTGTTTTCTGATTTGGTTCCCCATGTGATCACATGGATTGCCAAGATTTCTAGAAATCTTTAACATTGCACAAAAAAATATATATATACCTATGCATGCATGTGGCTGTTGGGCTTATGATAATATTTGCATACAAGAAGTGGTCACCATACTTTATAGTTTATATACTCCACAAAACCGTGTGAATTACGTCGACCGACTATTAGGTTTCAACCATGAATAGAACCGACTTTTAAACAGCGACGTGTGTGTACTATATGTATAGATATCATGTATTTTAAATAGGTGAAAATGAAAATTATATATAAAAAAGATTCGATAAAGATATGTTGGTGAAATAGGACAAACGGAGATTTGAAGCAAAACCACACGATCTTATAAACTTCCAAACTATACTAAACTCAGTTATCCGACAAATTTCCATCTACAAAATTATGAGTCAACACAGACAAAATTGGAAACCTTTTTAAGTTTGATCCTTGATTATATATTCGTTTACTCATTTTTTAACATCCAACGATCATTAGTCGCATCGTAATTTATGTCAATGGAATTAGATACAAAGTTGGTTTTGACATTTGCTTCACGTACATGCAGAATGAACCGATTAATTTTCTTATCTTAGAACATTATTGTGTCGCTATTGTGTCGTGACGGGGAGAAACGTCACTAGTAAGCCGCGTTGACGTCAGCGTCATGATATCATTCCAATTACTGATTTGACGTTTTTTTTTTTTTTTTGAATCGGTCTTACTTTCATTTTCAGTGACTCGGTCTTTGATTTAAGAGATCGATGCTCTTTTTTTTTAATGCTTTCTTTTGCCCCACAATGTCTTTGGGTTTGGTCGAAGTTGACAACGTGGCAACGTGCTCTTCATTTATTTTTTACGGCTCCAGCTCCTCTTTTCATTTTTTTTTTAAAAGCTATTAATATATATGTATATATATATATATATTTTTTAAGTAATATTGCAGATCTGTCCAGATACTTTCGGACAGCCTATAAAATTAAAAATTAATATTATTATTTAAAATCTTATAAATATAATAAAATATTTCTTCCGTTTTATAATAAGTGTCATTTGGAGAAAATATATCTGCATATAATTGGATGTATCTGGATGTGTTTTGAGTTTAATACATCTAGATACATTGCAGATACATTTTCTCCAAATAATACTTATTATAAACATTTATTATGAAATAGAGGGAGAGTATAATTTACTCAAAAGAATGTAATTACATTGATTAAATCTATTATATATGTATCAGTTAAAAAGTGAATAAATACATGTTGATCATTTTAAAAGACTTGAGTAGCTTTTTTTTTTTTTGGGCCAAAAAGACTTGAGTAGCTAAGTGCGTGTCCTTTTGCAGGGAAACTGTGAGTAAATACAGTAGAGACGTAAGAGAAGTGGGATTTAGAGTAGAGGAATTGATATCAGAGAGCTTAGGTTTAGAAAAAGATTACTTGAGAAAAGTGCTAGGTGAACAAGGTCAACACATGGCAGTCAACTATTATCCTCCATGTCCTGAGCCTGAGCTCACTTATGGTTTGCCTGCTCACACCGACCCAAACGCCCTCACCATTCTTCTCCAAGACGCTACCGTCTGTGGTCTCCAGATCTTGATCGACGGTCACTGGTTCGCCGTTAATCCTCGTCCTGATGCTTTTGTCATCAACATTGGCGACCAATTACAGGTAAATTTAATCAGAGAGGTTATTATAATCTATCAAAGATATTCAAGTGTTGGTCTAGAAAACGTTGGACCGACCACTTTGCTTAAATATGTATTGACAGGCATTGAGTAACGGAGTATACAAAAGTGTTTGGCATCGAGCTGTAACAAACACTGAAAACCCGAGACTATCGATCGCGTCATTTCTGTGCCCATCTGACTCTGCTGTCATGAGCCCGGCAAAGCCCTTGTGGGAAGCCGAAGATGACGAGACGAAGCCAATCTACAGAGACTTCACTTACGCAGAGTACTACAAGAAGTTTTGGAGTAGAAATCTGGACCAAGAACATTGCCTCGAGAACTTTCGAAACCACTAGATACTTTACATATTACATATATATATATATATATATATATATATCTCCCGTGTTTGTGTTTTGTGTAGTAGGCTTAAATATTTACATATCTATTTTCTCCGTTTTAAAATAAGTGATTCTAAATTTTATTTTTGTTTTACAAAAAATGTTATTTTACATTTTTAATACATAATTTTGTATAAATATTCAATTTCAACCTTTAACTTTTATTATTTTACTTAGTAAAAGAATGTTTTTTTCAATAATTTTTTTAATTTATATGAAAAGTACCAAAATGACATATATTTTTTGAAAAAGATGGAGTATATAGCAGCATCGATGTTTTCGATTGTGTACTGACACCCTCCTACGTACACGTATATCATTTAATTAAGACAATTATGATATCAATAATACAGTAATAAATATTGAGTTAGGCATCTTTCATTCAAATAACACCATAAACTTAATTGAGAGTTATTTTTTCTCTCTCACTATAAAATACTAAATCTTCGATGGCAGAAAGGATATGAATTGTGGGTTCAATATGTTTTCACCTCAAATGCCATTTAACGGTTTAACTCCAATATAATAATTTGTAATTTTGTATCAAAATGTTTGTTCTTGCAGTTTTATATTAATGTTAGACTTTAATATTACATTTTGTTTTAATGTGTAGTAGCACATTGTTTCCCATTGGTTTTCCCTCTTTTGAAAAGGGACCAGAAAATGGATGAATTTAAACCTTTTGACGTAAGAGACAAGCAATTAAATAGTCTATGTATTTCTTAGCCGGGTTTTCCGCGCGCATTTGTCACCGTCTATAATTCTTTATTTAAAAGTTTCTGATATTCGGAAAATGATGTAATTACAAATGGAGATGAATCTTCTCGATCTGCCGGAAGAATGCATCGCCGCCGTGATTTCTTTCACCAGCCCACACGACGCCTGCCGTATCTCCGCCGTCTCCAAATTACTTCGCTCCGCCGCCGATTCCAATGCCGCTTGGGAGAGATTTCTTCCCGCGGAATCTCGTCTGTTGATCGATCAGTCTCTATCTAGGGCTTCCAACAAGCAGCTCTTCCTCCGTTTCTGTGAATCACATCTTATTACCGACGATGGCAGAACGGTAATTTTACCCAAATCTCCCCTGTTTTTTTTTTTTTTTTTTTTTTTACGTATGGTTTCTTCACAAATTGATTTGTTTTGGAAATCTGGATTTAGAGCTTTTGGATGGAAAAGAGAAGCGGAAAGAAATGTTGGATGTTATCTGCGAGGAAACTAGAGATCGTTTGGGTTGATTCTCCTGAATACTGGTTATGGATTTCGATTCCCGAGTCTAGGTTAATTAATTTTCATCTCCATGTTTTTGCTTCTTTTCAACCATACCATATATAGTCGCTCGGGTTTTAATTAAGTCTGTGACAGGTTTGAGGAAGTTGCAGCGCTTCTAATGGTATGTTGGTTCGAAATCAGAGGCAAAATAAGCACATCGCTTCTCTCACAAGGCACCGTTTATGGAGCTTACCTTGTTTATAAGGAACAAGAAATGGGAGCATTTGGGTTTCAGTCTCAGCCTTTGGAGACGAGGTTTGGATCCACAAGAACCCATCTCTGTAATGATGGAAGAGTGTTCCTTGAGTCGACTCGTCCTCCTAGGGAAGATGGGTGGTTGGAGATTGAACTTGGCGAGTGTTATGTAGGTTTTGATGATGAGGAGGAGCTCGAAATGAGAGTCTTGGAGACGAGAGAAGGTGGTTGGAAAGGCGGAATCTTCGTTCAAGGGATCGAGATTAGGCCCAAATGAAAAATGAAGATGAAGAAGTGAAGAACTTCGACTTTATACTCTTCTGTTTTGTAATCGAACCTTCTTCTTTCTTTATGGGCTTCGTCTCTTTTTTTATTTGGCCCAACTCTTCTGTTTTAACTTGTATGCCTATTCTTGTGTAACCCAAACCTAAAATTGATGGGATTCGTTGGATCGTAGGAAAACGGCCCAAATCATACAGCCGTCCATTACGATGCGGATGGGCTGTGTAATTTAGGATTATGCACTAATTAAAGTTAATCTAGTTAATTTCTTCACAAACTAACAAAATTTGGCTAAGATCCTAACGTCGTTAGTCAATCCGTCTAAACTTGTTGAATTAGAAGACACGTCATCATCCGTCTAAATCTATAAACAAACTAAACTAAACTTGCAAAAGTTTGACCTCAAATTTCTTAAGCAGTGTGGGTTAGACAAGATTTTCAATTTGTTTAGGATTTTAATCTCTTTTATTAACATATCGGTTTTGTCTAAATTCTCACTGCTTCTCACATCAGGAAGCTTGCAGTACGACACTTCAAGCAATCACAGTTTTAACTTTCAAGACATTAATTGTCAACTCAGTTTAACTTCCAAGTCACTGTAAGAAATAGGATTACTAAAATTATAATTGTTGTAACTAAAATGAAGCCACATCGACAATTGTCACAGATAAAAACTTGTTTCAAAACAAAAAATATAGAAATAAATAAAATTGACGGATGTATATAATGAAATAAACAATTTAAGTCCGCCTTATACCAAAAAAGTTATAAACAGCCGAATCAAAAAAGACTTGACATTATTTTAGGTTGGTCACTCAAAACAACTCTTTCGTTCTCAGTTAGTCACACAAATCTTCTCTTGTCTATACGTCTGAATTATTTGTTTTCTAATGAACTGTCATGTGATTAGGTCCTCTTCCCATCATGTCGGTTTCATTTTCCACAATATATACAATAGCCCATAATTTTTCTTATAATTCGCAATACTATCCCTTTTTCATAAAAAACAAAATGGGGAAATCTTTATATTATTTTACCATCAACAAGATCCAAAACACGCAATTAATTTTTAAAAAATTTGGTCTCCATTAGTTAATCTCTCAATATCAAAAAAGTATCAAGTTGAGTTTGCGTGACGTTCATTGAACATCGTACGCACCTTTTAAATTTTAATATGCTGGAAAATATCAATTAGTATTCAACAAAATAAAAATGAAATTTTCTGAAAATACAAAAACTACAAGATATATTAAGAAAAATATTGACCTCACAATTTGTTGATCCAGATCGGAACCCACAAATCTCAAAATGTATAAACTTGTTAGATACAAACACAAAATATCAAATATCCGGCCAAAACCTATAACTAACGCATTTTGAATATATTTCATACTTATCCACAATGTTCTTTCGTTATCTAACGTCAATGTTCCATGAATCTTTGAGCAGTCACCATAATTAAATAAATTTAAATAAAAATGCTTTTCCTATTTCACAATTTTAAAGTGATTACTGTAGAAGAATAACAACTCGAAAACAAATAGAACGTTCCAATTTGATGACATAATTCGAAATTACAGTCAAGAAGAAGAAAATTCGAGAATATCTTCGTCTATACAAAAATAAAAAGGAATAAAAGAACTCAGAAATTCAAAAGAAAAGCGGCGTAATTTGGAGCGCATGTTGATGAGTTATCGTTACGAGGCAAGGAAGAATCGGGTCGGCCGCCACTAGAGGGAGCTCGGACGCTTCGACGGCGACTTGTCGGTGGTGGAGGGAGGAGTGTGGCGGTGATGCGAGCGAGCGCCAACGTGTATTCTTCAAGCAACTCTGCGGCGATGGCTACTGTTATCATGACGATATGATTTGCTTTGAATGTCTCTTGTCAAGAATCTCTCTCTTTTAACACTTTTGTAATTTGCAAGATGAAGACAATGAGGGAGGTTACCTTTCTCGTGAGACGGTGTCGTATTTATAGAGTAGAATAGGCTTTGAAACTAATGGCCAATCAATTCTGGTAGGTTCTGGTCATAAATTATTGTAGCCGTCAGATCTACCTACTTTACTCAATTTAATTTTGTTTTTTCTTTTCCCTGGAAAAATATCATACAAAGATTTTTTTACGATGAAGAGCTATAGGTGACAAAGATGGTGGAATGGGCTGAATTTGCTCGAAGTATGGGTGATGCATGAATGGAGCTGTAATGGGCAAAGAAGCAGTGGAAATTAACTTCACAAGATCAATCTGAATGTGACGCATTGGTTTGGGCAATATTGCAATCAATGTGGATATACATACATGCATGACATTTTATAAAAGTTGATTTTGAAGTTTACATGTCATCATATGGCAATGTCAAATAAAATTTAGTAGTTATGTCTAAGCTTGATGATGCCCGGTGAATCAAATTTCAGGTAGATTATGATCAAACCATCACATCGGGAGTATGACCATTTTCTCCATGTGGCGTGATGATATATGATTGTGAATTATTGGTGAGATGGTTCAAATAAGCTAATCTTGGAATATGTAAAATAAGCATTAATGAAACTATTTGGTTGGTTCCTCCTTAATTGGTAAATCTTTGTTTGGAGAGACGTTCGGATGAGGATACAAGTATACAACCAATGTTAGAAGTGGAGTGACTAGTACGCTACGTAAATCATATTGCGACAGGAACCAAACTGTGGCATGTCATACAAGAGAGAAAAATATGTCATAATTAATTCAAATTTACGTTGAGTTGGTTGATTTATGTTTCTTATATATCAAATTAGATCGCAATTTATTAAAGATATAAAATCCTTGATGAAAATGTTTGCTTCAGAATGCAGAGGATAATAACTTATAAATATCTCTTTGAGGTGACCACAAGAGATACCGATCACATGATGCACATTAAACTGATCCGTGGAAAAAAAAAAAAAGCAATTGCGTCTACTGTAAGAAAACATATATAACATGTACATATAGATTGAATCTTAACATTCAGATACTGATATTTTCATTCAACCCTAAAGTTTTTTTTTTTTTTTTTTTTTTTTTTAACCCTAAAGTTCCAATCATCCCTTTTTGACTCCAATGTTAATTTCAAACCATTTACCACTTGCGACGTAATCGTTACCGGATAACAATTAATAGACTAGTGTATTGAAATATATATTTTATAATTATTAGTCCAACGACTTGTATGATTGTAGTAGACCCAAGGAAAATCAAAGACATCCTGCGTGATAAAAAAAGGTACTATATAACTTAACGCCATAATGTGATTTGTTTCTAGGAGATTTTTTTGTTTAATTATATTTTTACTCTTTCTGGTAAAAGTAAACCGTCTTACTCTTGAGTCTTGATATAAAAAAAAATTAATTAGTAAAAATGATGGAGATAAAACTAGTCAAATCTGAAATGCTCTACTCGTTGCCGTAAGTTGAGAGGCCATGGATTTTTTTGTTCTCTCAAAGTTTGGCTAATAGAAAGACTTCAGCCCTAATTGTTTACCGAAGAAGCCTATTGGCACAAGCAACCCCAACTTGACTATGATCCAAACTTTCTAGTTAATATAAAAAAAAACCCTATATATTAGCCCTTAATATATTAACTCCCAAAGTTTATCTACAAGACTTTTATTTGCTTGATTCTATTCGTTAACAATTGTTATCATCATCAGATAATTTGAAAAGGATGGGTTTCCGAGTTGTTGGGAGACCGATCAACATAATGTTTGTGCTCAAGTTGATTGTTTTCTTTTATAACAAATTCGATACTCTTTAAACGTTTTTTTTGTAATGTTTGTGTTGGCGGGTAGATAAGGGCATTATCCATTGGTTTCAAATTATAGCCTTATAATTTTTTAACGCTCTCTCAAGTGTTGAAAATTAATAATCGATGATTGTTTTAGCCAATTACATATATCAATGATTAAAATTGAAAATATAATATTTTTATAAAATATTTAATTTAGACTTTATGTTGGTAACAAGAATACATGGAAGGTTTGGGGAGTTATCAGACACAGCTGTAACACATTTAATATGTCCTAAAAATAATCCCAATCATAATGTACCACATCTCCCATTTCTATGTATTTCTACCCCCAACTGAAAAAAAAAAAAAAAACACTTGAGTATATATTATTTCTCAACCTTATTATCAAGCAGAGTAACAAACAGTTTATTGTGTTTAGATAGACTTTTTAATGCGTCAATACGACAAGGCCATGTAGATGACGAGAACTTTACGATTTTTTTCAAAACCATAATGTGTAATCTTAAGTACTGTTGGAATCTCACATCGGAAGTTTAAAGGACCAACACTTTTATATATAAGATTTGGGCCAATCCATTCATTGCCAATTGGTTTTGAGTTGGAAGTCCATATAACTTAATATGATATCAGAACTTATTAATCCAAGTAGGATGGCCCAAAAAGTGTTTATTACAGGTCATAAAGTGGAATTCAGTTCGAGATAGGCTGATAAGAGCCATCATCTCAAGAGGGCGTGTTGGAATCCCACATCGGAAATTTAAAGGGACCAACACTCTTATAGCCAATCCACTCATTGTCAATTGGTTTTGAGTTGGAAATCCATATAACTTAACAAGTACATCTCGACGAGACTCGCCCTTGTATCATTTACTGTGAGAAGCTGATGTGTTTTGATTACAGAGAATCACCCCTATAGCCCAAAAGTTGCCATTGGACCGGCTTAACTCTCCCGTGGACTTGTAATCCACGGCCCAGCTCATATAACCATTATGTCACTCGATACGCTGTTCGGTTAAGTGCATAACCAAATCAAATGCTGTTTCCAAAAGTAAGAATCAATTTCACAATTTGTTTGTACTATAATTATCTACGTAAACTATAACTAAATTATTATTTTTTAATTTCTTTTTCTGATATAAATACATAACTAGCAAAGAAGCCCAAATTCAGAATATTTAAATATTGTGTGTTTAGTTTAGCATTTGGTAGTTAGTTTAGCATTTGGTAGTATACAATCTTTGACTAATATAAAACAACAAAATTATTTAAACGAAAAACTCATAAACTAAATAAATGAACACAATTCTAGAAAAACCTTTTACTATAAAATAAATTAAAATTAAAAGGCATGCTTTATCATTCTGTATATTTGATTGCAAATGCTATGTATTCAGAAGAAGAAAAAATGTTGAATAATTAAAGCCATTAAAAATAATAATACAAAATGGTGTAGTAATGGCAATTCCACTTTTGATACAATAATAGGTTACAAAGATTAGAGTAAGATTAGTAACATACGTAAATATCGATGCGATTAGGGTACGATTATTAATCAAACTTGAGAGGTTGTTAATTAATTATGTTGTTTTTTGCAAAAGAAATGTACAAAAAAAAATGAGAGGTTGAGAAGAAAGAGACAGGGTAGGCTGTAAAAGCTGCTACGTCCGAGAAATGGAGATTGACGTAGCAAAAGAAAAAAAGAAAAAAGAAGCACACCATGTGCGACCCACACGGATCTCCCATTCCCACTAGATTCTATTGTCTCTCTAAAAGAATTCCCCAAGAATATACAAAACAAAACAATTTGAGTCACACTCACATATCTACCTACGTGTACTTACATGAATATGAATAGATTCCGTATCGTTCGTTTCTTTCAGTTGCGATTACGTATATACCAAGCGTATGTATCCCCATCGATAAATAAAGATACCAACCACATATTATAAATATACATATATAGTTTACACATCTTTTTTTTGAATTTTTATCTATTTTCTTTTTCTTCGTTTTCTTACGTAATTAAATCCCCCTAATTATATATTTTCCGTAGACCATACGAAACCAAATTTAAGAAATGCAGCAAGCGTTAGGGTTCTCGTCGCTGAAAAGCTGCGGCGGAGGAACCCTTTCGATGACGTATAAAGGCTGATAATAATACATCATCCTCTTCATCCCTTCCTCTTCCGCCGACACCATTTCCCCCGTAGCCGCCGCGCCTTCTTCGCCGCCACCGCCACCGCCCTCTTCCTTTTCCTCTCCCTCCTTCCCCTCCTCCTTCTCCTCTCCTGTTTCTACCGGTTTCTCATCGCCTTCACCGCTCTCCTCCTTCTTTTCTTCCTCCGCCGCCGGGTTTTCAGGTTCCGGGTCGGGTTGGGGTACAATTCGGGCATGTTTTTTGGTCCGACGGTAAACGTAATCCACCAGTTTCTCTTCGTCCATCGTCCCGGTCACTATTACTTTTCCGGTGGTGTGTTCCGTCACAGTTGTTTGGACTCCTAAGCAACAATATTAGTCAGTCTAATGTATTAATAAGTTACACCAATTAATTTACCATAAAATTGAACCGTGCCGCCACCGATAAAATTCTATATATACAGCAGCATGATATAGTTATTGTATATGGGTGCGTATGTTTTAACGGTAGGAAACATTGATATAAACAAAACATTTTTGTATGATGCCGTTCATTCAAAACAGTAACTAAATATATAAAAAAGACTACTTATCAATAAAACCAAAGTACTTTTGGATTTACCCATTCTTGACATTTTACATGAAAAAATAGTATTTTGATTTGGTGTTGACTAGATCCGATATATGTAAATGTACCTCTCATTTTTAGAATCTTCTTCTTGAGCTGGTCAGCACAAGCTTGACAGTGCATGTTGACGTTGAGCTCGACGGTGGCGAGGCCGGAGACCTGAGAAGTTATGATCGGCGGCAGAGGCTCTCCCTCGGCGGCCGGAAGCGGCGAGAGGACTTTCGCCATTCTTTTAGTTTTTTTCTTGATTTTGTTGCACACTGCTTGTGGATCCACCACTCCCTTTATCGTCACTTGGTTCTCACTCATGTCCATCACCACTTCTTCCACACCTACACAATTTTCATATTCAATAACATATAAAGTAATTATTAATTTCACTTATATGGATCTTTATACTTTAATGTTTTGGTACTTTAGAAAATATATATTTCTTGTTTCAAATCATTTTTATATGGTAGTTGGGATTTGGAGAATGAATATTTTAAAACAGAGGTTATTCTATACTGACGAACAATTTTTCTTTCGCCTAATATAATTCTCCCACTAGTTATGTATTTGTTCACCTCTAATTTTTAGAATAGATCTTTCAATCTTCTTAGCACATCCTACACAATGCAAGTCGACGTAGAGTATGAATGGCGGAGGCGGCGGTGGCGGCTGCGGCTCCTCCTCCACCGCTGGTTTCTCCTCCTCAGCCGCTGCTTTCTTCTCCTCTGCCACATCTTTCTTCTTCTCCTCCTCCGAGGCGGGCTCTGGGACGGCCTCTGGAGCAGAGGATTCCTCCTTTGCTTCCTAATAATGAAAGCATCAATCACCAGGTTAGTAATAAATAGGTATTTTTTTTGTTGCTAATTGAAATATTCTTGGAACTTTGAATCTTACTGGTTTAACTTCTTCTCCCATTTTTAGAATCAGTGGTTATACGAAGATTATAATTGAAACGAAGAAGAGAGAGATTTTATGAAGTATGAGTAGGGAGGAGAGGGAGTATATATATTGACCACTAAAATAAAATAGAAGACGTAGGAGAATTTTGAATTATTGATGAATAATGAAAGTTATAGTATAAGGTAGGAGCTAACAGAACATAAAGCATAAGATGTTGATTCCATAGCACATGGCAGAGAACTAATCATCCATAACCCTTCTCCCTTGTACCTTGTATATAAATTTATTCTTAACTTTAGTTATGTTTTACAATTTTTTTACGAACAACTTTTTAGTTTTTTTTTGTTGTAATTTACCATTGTAAAGAGGGTTGGGAACAAGATGGCCCGACGTTGGTACGTTTTATAGACATAGAATGTGTGTGTTCTTGATCATATATATCGTGATATATATTGCTGAATGATTTTGGAAGGTCATCGCATTAATAATTGAATTATGGCCGGTTTGTTTCTACGCATAAACGACTAACGAGCCAGAATAATTCAACATTAAAATTCTTTATGTTGTGAAACTTTATGCGTTAAAATTTATGACAAAATGACCCAAAAAGTGGATTTCGACGTAAAAGTAAATGGATTCTTTTGTAAAATCCTTCTCCTGGTATGTAATTTTTTTTTTCATGGGAGAAAGGTATATTATATAAGTAAACGGAATGGAATCATGTGATACAAAAATTTGGCATCGAAAAGGACAATACTTTGCATCATACTCACCGACTTTATTGATTAAATTGCCCCCCCTCCCTCCCTTTTATTTATCTATAGTAAATTTCTTGATCTCGTATATTGAATTGGGTTTGGGAAAAAACAATTGAATGTAATTTACACTGATACAGTTATATATTAAGTTATTAACTGCTAAGTAAATCAAAATTTCCGGTTTGTTTCTACGCATAAACGACTAACGAGTCAGAATGATTCAAAAGGACAATACTTTGCATCATACTCACCGACTAACATTCGCTCTTTCTGTTTTCAGATGTCGTCAATGATAAAAATCCTATTTATAACATTGTACGGGGAAAACCGTAAAAACGTTGCAGATTATTAAACCTTTTGTAAAAATTTAAATTTAACTCCCACTATATTACTCTTCTCAGCTTAATTTTTTTTTTAAAATGAATCAACTATATTAGTTATCTCCACAACACTTTATTGGTTATTTCACAAACTTAATCTCGATTATTTCAAACATTTTTTCGTACAACTTTGTGTTTACCTTGCTTTTCAATGTTGACGATGGTGAAATCTTTAGAACGTCGAACGGGGTGAATCGTAGGAGAAAGAAAGTTCGGGACAGTTTTAGCTTTAAAAATTATTACAGATTATTTCTTAATATTTTTTAAAAATTACATTTTCATTTTAGTATTTTATATTCCTTTTATAAGGCTAGTTTGAGAATAGTGTTTTTACTTTTTCCTTTCGTTTAAATATTTTTGAATGGTTCGGAGTGGTTAGAAAAGACAGATCAAACTGTAGTATTATTCATTGTATGAAAGTATTAAATAGTTTATCTTGGTTTGATTTGTTTCCTTTTAGAAGAAACATCAAAATCCTTTACCCACAAGTTCGGTTAAATGTATTCTCGATACTATAGAACAATCTAATCAGTAGAAAAGTCACTAAACAATGTGTTTCATACTTCACAAAAAAAAAGTAAATTAGCAAACGCATTTCTTAAAAAGCAAATTTTGGGGATGGATGCAACGTGGGTTTGCATAAAATAGTTGAGAAAGAAATGCTTAAAAATAGTTGTGGATTAACAAAACTGTAAGAACTTTTGGCATATGGAAAGTATCAAAGTAGGAACCACGTGGGATGCTTCAGATTAAACTTGAAGAAAAGGATCGGGATTTTATATAATTTTGTGTGGCAGTTAAGACAGTATTTGTAGACCAATAGCAGATTGTTAATCGATTATGCGACTAATAATATTTCACGTGATTATGAGAAGTTGATTATGAATAAGTAATAAGTTAATGATGCGTCATTGACAGTTTTGCGCTCACAAATTGTGACGGAGTATAATCCATCGTTAGTTTACTAAGGACGTACGGCGAATCTCGTATCTTCTTCTTCAAATCTTTTACAACCTTGTTTATCAAATATAAGACACAACCTGCGTTCGCAAACTACAAGAATTCATCAAGAGAGATTCAAATAAAAACTCGTGTACGTAGAGCATATTATTCGGTATCGATGGAGACATTTCATATATTTTCTAATTACATTAACATAACAAACATACTGAGATTTGGATATAAGAAACACCCTTTTGGATTTGAATACGCAACGTGGAATGTCGTTGATGAACAAAACTTGGGAACCTCGTCTTCATATCACAGTTTAGGTTACCGATCTAAATCAATTGTGTTGCATCACTTGTACCCTATTTAATATATTGTAACTATAACATAATATAAAAGCTATACCATTAGATGGACATAATTAGAAATTAAAGTGATCCCATTTTGCGTCTAATTAATTAACCACTAAGATAAAGCGAATAAGAAAATGACAGATGAAAGTGTGCAGAGAATTTCACTCAGATTCTATATGTATGTAGCTGAGAGCATCTATGTTTGGTATAAACGTAACTTCAAATTTTTATATATTAGGGATAACTATATATTAAAAATTAGAGACCTGGCCCCAAAATATAATCTGATATTATAAATGATTTTGACTCAAAACCAGGGTCCATGTTTACATTTGTGAGGTCTTGATGGGGGAGATTATATTTGTGAGGTCATCTATTTTACTTATTATTTATTGTTTAAATAAATATATAAAAAGGTGAACAGTCCGGGTCCATGTTTACATGTGCCCAAACACCTGGAGCTGACTCAGCCTGTACAACATGCTGCATCCATACATTTTTGTGCGTATCTATGTATGCATCTTTTATCCAAACATATTCTAATTATATACACGTAGATCTGAACCAACAAAAATACGTTTATCTCCATATTTCTTGGTGGGTTTGGCAAGAATTTCTACAAATGTTAAGAATTACGGAAATTTTGAATAATTATGTTTTACATTATAGTAGTAGAATAGACATTTTGGTACTTGAAGAAAAAATAATGCATTTATCGTTGTCAAATGAAACAGATACTCCTACTTTAATTTACACTTACTATTATTTTAGAGACAGCAAACTAACTTTTGTCTATAAGTTTTGGTAAGTTGGTTGAGATTATGACTAAAGTGAAGTTAAGTTTTTCTTAAAATATTTTGCAGATTGTTCTGGAGATAACATGATTTTCCTTTTGTACCAACCGGCGACATGCGACTTTAATCTGATTCAAAAGTATATCCAAAAAGTCAAAAACAAAAAAGCCATATTGACCAAGCGAATAACTATGCTATAACTGAACTAGTTTTTATGCTTAGAGTAAATAGACTTTAGTTTTTTTGTATCTAATGTTAATGCATGTTAATGTTGTCTACCATTCATGTATTACGCTTTAAAAGTGTGCGTCGTCTTTTTGGTCATTATATGAATTAAATAACATAATACGTGAATTCTAAAAATAGTTGGGATAAAGTTAGTTGGTGTTCGGTGCATCGCATGTGGTGACATGAGTCCAACTGCAATCGCGTTAAGATTCGAATGTACATACATTTATATATTTACGATAAGTTTACTATTATTTTAAGGAGTTGTATTTAAGTATATTTTTGAATAAAGAAAAGAAAACTCTACGTTACATACTTAAAAAACAAAAACAAAAAAAAAATGTATGTAACGTAAAATTTTAGTTTCAAAAAAGTATTTAAATGCAATAATTCTTGAAAAATAACATTAGGTTTTGATGTTGCTATTCATATTTTCACCTTTTCTCATACATGTGACGAACAACGATTTTTATCCAAAGAGGTGATAGGTGGTGGGATATATCATATATATAATAATCGAAGGCCGAATGTTACCATCGATAATAAATATGGATTCTCGATTTGGTTCTGTTTGATTCAACAACCGTCCTAGGAGACTGTTAATCAGGTAGCTCCGGGTTTATTCGGATATTGTCTTGTTTGTTTCGGTTCACTCTTGGTTTATAAGGAAGATGCATACGATTTAAAATGGAATCGATTATCAACGAAGAAGTAATGAGAGTTCTCTTCTAGTACGTATGTTGTAGAAGTAGAAACTTAAAAGGTCTAAAACGGGATGTTAAGATTCTTTGTAAGCCTAGCAAATGTTTTGTTTTTCAATTTATTTCCTTTCCAATCTTATTCTAATGTTTTTATATCATCGGTATACAAGAATATGAAAATGAATCAAAAGTCTTTATGAATCAATCCAACATAAATCCAATATATGATCATAATGAGTTATTTTTCAACCTATCTAACAAAGGAGCTAATTAGATTAGAATGATAGTAAAAAAGGTAGTAAAAAATTTCACCAAAACGCAATTCTGAAAACCATATATTTTCTACTAACACAATAGTAAAATTCAAAACTGACAAACGAAATGTCATGAAGCATTCGGTCAGGGATAAAATTCCAAGAGCTTTAAACTCGCCCTCTTACATCTAAAACATACAACTGTATATTATATAAGCCGTACAAGTTAACTATTACCCTCCTAAACCGGTCTTGGTTAAGCTTAAACCAACAACAACAACGACGACCACAACAATAACAACAGATGCAGAGCCTCTATTTTATACACACAAACCGCGCTCTCAACCGGTAAAACCACCTTCCTTATTTGGTTCTCAACAACATGAATTGGCCGACAAACACAAGCTTCAGCGGAATTTTGCGGTCAGACTGCAAACCGACATCGCAAAGACAACCGCAACCAAACCGGCTCTGAACAGACCTCTGTATGAACATCCCATAGCTGCAATCTTCTTGAATATGAAACCGGTCCCGCTCTTCGATCTCAAGAAGTTTCCACATCCTCTCGTTATATTTTCTTTTGTTGTGTCGTCCACCTGTATGCAACGAACATTCTATCGCGTCAGAAACAAAAAGGTTACATATTCTTATTTAAAACATACGAAAACAAACTCACTCCCACCTCTTTCTTGGAGATTTGAAGTTGTGCATCGTCTGTTTCTGGCTTGTGACTGTTGCGGTTAACCTGAAGACGCACCCTTCTTGAGGCATCGCCCTGCATTACAAACTGCTCAGCACAACCAGGGGTTTGTGCCCGTCGTGCCCTAATCTTGATTCCTGTTCCAGACACATCATTGCTCTTGTTGCACGTGTTGACGAGGTTCTGTGGTTCGTATGGAGTCTCTTGTGGCGTCTGTTGTGCTATGTGTTTCTTCTCTGTAAACTCATAGGGAATCTGAAGGGCCGAATCCAAGAGGTCAAACATATATGAGTCGTCAGCATCGTTTGCACCGTACTGAGTCTGAATGTGAGCCCCATTGTGGTTTCTGAACAGCTCGCTAGACCCAGACTGAAAATCATGGAAAGAGGATCCAAACTCAGATTGCACCTGAGTGTGCAACGGAGAGAACATATTGTAATCCAGGGTCTCAAACTCCAGATACGACTGCCAATCGATATGGTCAAGCTGCAGATTCAAATTCAAAGTTTTTGTTAGTTGTACAGAGCCGTTGTACTAACGAAAAGACTATATACTTTTGTTCATCCTTACCTCGGAGGTTGTAACTTCAGGGGCAGAGTTTTCACTAATACACTCGCCGGAGACTACAAGGGAAGATTCCGCGCCGTCAGAAGGCTTTGTGTCGTCGGTTTTAGGGAAAGCCAGAGACACCTCAGACAGCTCGACCTCGGACTTCATCTCGTCCACAACAGTTGGAGAAGAGACTGCTGGTTCGGCTTCACATGACTTTAACTCTTCCGGTGTTGCTGCTCCACTCACAACATCTTGCTTCTTAAACAACTTGCATATCACAAATGGGTTCTGCAAACAATAATACAAATCCAAGGACCACAATTCAGAGAGATCAGAAAGACAAAGCAAAATGGGATTTTGCGGAAAAAACTGGTTCTAACCTGGCCAGACTTTGTTCCATCAAGATCCTTCTCGGTTGCGCGGTACTCGTGCATGATCCAACAGGTTCGTGTCCCCTTGGGAGCACGGCCTGTGTAGAAGACAAGGGTCCTCTTAACGCCTATAATCTTGGTGTTGCCTGATTTCACCTTTCGATCTTTCCCAGTCGCTTTCCAGTAGCCAGCAACAGTGGCCCGATTCATCCTGCTTCCGCTCGGATACTTCCGGTCCAAAGGACAGAAGAAGAGCCACTCCGAGTCTGTTGTCTTCACCACTGAAAAATCTGCAACACAACGAAAATTTTAACTTCTCACTCCATGATCTAATACATATACAAATTAAACCAAGACAAGAAAACATTTTATAGAAATCAAAATCCAGGTATGGTATTAACCGGAATTGAAGCCTGAGAGTTAGTAAAAACCGAGACTAGAGAGCTAAATTTGTTTGCTAAACGAATGCAAAGAAAAGCTGAGAGCTTCGTGATCCAAGAAATCGCATTATGTAAGTGATGACTTTACAGACTAAGAACATAGATGCCAAAGTAATCAAAGATCGATCTGAGAATACACTATGAATATAATCGAAACGAGAGATGAAGAAAGGATAAAGTGGGTACCGGGCAAATCCCATGGCTCCCATTTGCAGATATCGACCTCACGGATTACTCTGACGTCGTCATCACGGCCGTTGATCTTCAGCCGGAGATAGTAGCGGACTAACTCCTCGTCCGTCGGACTAAACCTGAACCCCACCGGTAGTGAGGCCAGCGATAAGACTTCCATGTCTTCCTTCTTTCACAGGTGCGACTTTGAGGATTCGAGTTCACTGGGAAACGAAGAAGGTCAATTATCCAGAAATCGGATCAGAGATGCGATTCAAAGGTATCGAGACGGAAACCCAAAAAAAAAACAGATTCCAGAATTTGACAAATAAGAAAAACCCTAGAATCGATACGATTTGGTAAAGTGAAGAAGATGAAGATGTGACACGGTTTGGTCAGAGAAGAGAGATATCAAAAAGAGAGATGGAAAAAGCAGCGCGTGGAAATTATTTGGATATTATACACGCGCCACTTTCCCAGAAACACACAGAACCACGTTCGTTACGCGTAAAGGGGCGAATGCTGAATTACCTGTTTTATCCCTCAAGCAGGTAAGTAAAATAATGAAGCATCATGGAGTAAAGTTAGGATGTCTGAAAGAGAGATGTCAGAGAGCGAATCATATATTGACACGTAGATGAAGTATAAGAAGCTTCGTCGAATTTAGTCGATATTTATGGTACTTCTTCAAAGGATGTTCTACAGAACTACTGTACTTTCAAATATGGTACTATAATACAAGTGGCCCAGCCCATCTTAATACTATAGTTTGTTTTTTAAGCCCAACAAACGAGAACACCCAATTGAAACAAATAGAGTAAATCTTTGTACAATAAAAGAAAAAAATCATAAAGTTTTTATATCATAACAATGTCAATTTCTGGATCCAAGTTGTTGATTAAACAAAATTTCATAACGCAAACGGACTAAACATTGTGTTTGATAAAACGCCAAGCGTCAACACACAGTGTTTAAGCAATCATAGTTTCTAAAGGTAACAACCGATTGTGCATTTGAATTTTCATATTATAATATTGTAATCGTTCATTTCTAAGTTTGAAAAAGGAAATGCATACGCAAACTGAAAACGACTGTGTCTTTAGTTCGTTTTCAATTTGTTTTATGCGTCTATTCGATACATACGGATGTGTTACTTTTAATAAGCATTGAATTTTATTGAATTTTTTCTCACATGTAAATGAAAAACGCATAAACTAGTGTTTTTTTTTTAACTTCTAAACAATTAAACCTAAATGTTAGCGTTTACATTTATATTTTGATATAATGTAATAGTATTTGTTAGTGTGGTACAGAACACAAGGACAATGCAGAAGACCAGGAAGAAGTTAAATCTACAGAATAAACAAATAAACAAAACAAAATCCGTTTTAATTAGATTCATAATGCACATTAGAAAAGCTTGGATTGGAACTGATAAAACTTTATAGTCTTTATTCACTAAGCAACATAAACACTCTTTGACACGGTTCAACTGCCATTGAACCTGAATCAATACAACTTATAAAGATTTGTATGTTCCATAAAACAAAAAAAAATACAATTTAAGCTACTTATTACACATTTTGAGCTAAGCTTCTAATCTCAGTCTCCTCCGCGTCCGCGACCCCAACGCAACATTCCATCGAGTCAAACGTTAAATCCAGGAAGTACAACAAAGAAACAAGAACGCAACAAGTGATGAACATCGGGATGGGACCAAAGATCCATAGAAACAGAGGTGATGAGAAGTAGAACGCTCTTAATCCTAACGACCAGAAGTAGCTTCCACGATTAACTGTGGCAGCTACATAGTCTTGGTTTATCATAAGACTATGACTACCCGAAGAAACAGCCATGAGCTTTTTAAAAGGGACATTAATGAGGATGCTTGCGTGGCTGTAATAACGGATTGATTGGACGTTGAGAAGAAATGCGACTAAGAAGCAAACGAGAATTGAGAAGAACTTAACGGAGAAGGCTCGGTCGCTTTTGTCTCCGAACACAAACCAGACCGATCGGTCCCCTGTACCGCTGGTCATTAGTACCGCGATTAGTGAACACAACATGATTGCGGTTGATGCTAATAGAGTTGACGCCATTATGTTGTTCCTAAGCGTTTGAACCGCTAGAACGCCGTTTTTTGATGAGTCCTGTACTCATTTGTAGTAAAGTGGATTTAAATTAGATGTAATTTAGAGGAAAATGTTAATGGAGGAAAGAAAATCTTTATTATAGTAACATTTTAAAGTAAGAACATTAATTAGCATCCGTTTTTTGTTTTCCACAGAAATGCAAAGCATCTTTTGAGCTTTCACACTTGGGGACTCATTTATCAAGGCAATTTCCAGAATCTGTCATTTACGTAAAGAACTTTAATTTAATTACGTTCACATATTCACATATTCACATATGAAGAGAAAGAGAATCTCTCGACAGAAAAAAAAAACTAACTTGGTATCAATATATAAAATATATTTGTCGTCAATTGGTGAGGCGCATGCATGATGATTATACACACACATACAGTATATGTTATATATAAATATATGCACAGATTCTCAACCTCTCATTCTCCAATAGAAAAGGAGCTGAAACCGTTGATAGAGATTTTCGTGGGAAGGAAAATCTCTCTACACATCTCTTTCAACAACAAAAAAAAGTCTACACTTATCATTTATCACACATCTTTTTCAAATCAATTACTAGTATCTATCGTTAAACACTGTATGCAATTTATATATAAATAAACACACACATCCACACGTGTGAGTTATGCACGAGATTCTTCTTAGTTATCTTTAAAAATACAACCAATGAGCTGAATCAATAAATTTCCCAAGAAAAAAGTTTTCAGTTTTCCGTGGAAATGCTCATCGATTTCATGCAGAAAAATATGTAGGGGTTAAATTAACTCTGACAAAAACAAATCATCTATATACATATATATGTGAATGAAGCAAAAAAAATATAAATGAAGAAAGAAATAAAGAGAGAGGAAAAGACCTCCATCATGGCTTGGACCCAGAGGCGGCGGTTGAAGGCGTTAAGGCCGACGACGGTTGAAGATGGACGGTGGATGATGCGGTGGAGAAGCCATAGATGATAGACTACCATCAAACCCATCCCTAACGGCACCAGAATGTAATCTAAATACTCACGCTGCATTTTTTTTTTTCCTATAAAATTTGATTCACCAGATGGAGATTGATCCGATTCACACAAGAAAATGAAAAGTTAAAAAAGAAAATGAAGAGGTTGAGAGAATCAAAGTGGAGCACGGGTCTTAGGTGGACCCTTCCGTATCTAATGCGCCTTCTCTCTCTCTCTCTCTCTGATTCGTTTTGTGATTCCCGGATTCTCAGCCATTTCCTCTCGCTCTCTCTACCTCCCTTTTATAGACATGAATCGTACGTTATGAATAAACGCGTGTATATGTTAATATATGTATATACTCCACTTGTAAATGACGAACCCTAGCTGTTAAATTTGGACCGGTTTTGACATTTGGCTGACCTACACATTTGCCAATAAACGTTTTTATTACAAACCATTCATTATTTCAAATTTTTTTTTAAAAAAAATACACGTATTACTTTACTAGTATTTAAATTTACAGTTAAGTTCACCCTCTTGTTAATTGAGTCTCAAAATACTAAGAATATGTTTAAATGCATTTAGGATGTTTTTTACCACCATAACTATAAGTTAATGTGAAAATCCTTTGAACTTTTATGTTGACCAATTAAAGGAGCAAAACACGCTAAAGTAGTATCTATTTCGTTTTCCAACAACTAGCGCACTTCAAAGTTTCTTTCAACAACTCACAACTCAAAAGCATGCAAAAAGGTTATTTATTTATTTCAAAAAAAACATGTTAGAAAATAATCTTTTACTCCACTGTACTTTACTCTAAGACACCAATATTGAAAATACTCACAAAAAAATAAGTTCGGATTTTCTTTTGCAAAACATGTAAAACATAAGCATTACAAAATAGCGGTAATCAATAACGAAATTAACATTGGCCACATGATATGGATTATGGATTATTGCTTTTGACCCTGAAGAAAGAATTTATTTATGGACTGCACTTCACCCATAGACTAGTTTGAACCCTTCCATAAATTTAGGATTTAAGTTATAAAAAAAATAATAACAAAATAATTAGGATAAAAAGTGGTAAGAGATAATGATATACAAATGCATTGGTGTCACCGTTTTATACTACTACTGAAGTATTAATAATAATTGTTACTGTTTTGTGATAAGTAACCATATAACTAATTATACACTAAGATTATTAATCGCACTCATGTTTGTTGACTTGTTGTAATAACATGTTTGTGTAGTTAAAAAAATGCTTTATCTTAAAAATACGAGGAAATGAAAATTATTTTAGTCGGTATCCAGCATTTTTGGCGACAGTGACGTTTTCTTTTTGTTTTTTTTCAGTTTTTTTTTTTTGTTATATAGCGGATTTTTTCTATTTTGCTTTTCTGGTCAATTGTAGATCAGAGATCATATGTTTCATTCTAGCTTCTTTGGAGGTTTTTTGTTATTCTATATATCTTGTAGTAGGGATTAATCTTTTATTTAGCAGAATCAGCTTTCTATTCTCAGTTTCTTTTTGTTAAAAACTGTTGAAAACGTTTATCGGAATAATTAAATATTGTGTACAGTAAAATCGTAGCCATGACTATTATAAAGTAATATAATTACATATCAAAATCAGAATTAGTTTGAATAAGAAAATATAATTTTATTAAGTTGTTTGTAAAACTTAAAATGTATTTTCTCCGTTTTTAAATATATGATATTTCAAAATTTATATTTGTTTTTTAAGTTTAATGTTTTAAATTTTAATTAATATATCTAGTATTATCAAAAAAATTAATGACAATATATTAATAAAATAAGCTGAAAAGTAAAAGTAAATCATTGTATTTTAAATAATTAAAGAGATAGATCGTATTTTAACTCTATTTCAATTCTTTTTATTTCATTTATGATATTATATAATATTTTAATATTTGTTATTTGTAATTTTGCTTCACATATCAGATCTGTCCATTGTTTTAAGTTTGATGTCTATACACTTACTGTGGTAATCCTGTGAAGAGCTATGACGAAAGAATTCGAAATGAAGAGATGTTACTCACTTACTCTGATTAAAAGTTTGTGTTGGTGGATTTAAAGTTAAAGAAAGGTTGGTAAACATTTCAAATCGGATACCAATGATAAATGGTCGAGACATTCATGAATATTCCAAATTTGGACAGAAGTCACAGAACATGTTACAAAACTGAGGTCACCGTTCAAATTTGGAATAGTCACTGATGACCCGACTGTTTGTTATTTTCGAAGTATCCGATTTGAAATGTTTACTAAATACTAATCTTTATTGACAGCTGCAACTCCCTCATCTTGGTAATGATCTGCTCAATATATTAGGAGGCATGCGCAAGGAGATGCTCTTCTTCCGACAACCAACCCATTGGCTAACTCATACACTGTTTGTGATGATTGGAGATAAGGTTGTCAAGACACGTATTAGGTTAAGGTTAAAAGTTTTGAATATAGCCTCTTTTAGGTTTTAATGATAAAAGAGAAAAAACATATTTGGGATATAAATAAAAATAGAATCTGGATACAAAGAATTTATTCAAAAATTGTAAAAGTCTAAGTAGAAGTTATTGATTTTTGTATTTTAATAGATTTTGAATTTTTTTAAATTTATAATCTATTGATTTTAAAATCAGACAGATAGATTTCAAAATCAAATAAATAGATTATAATCAAATATATGGATTATTGTAAAGTAATTAAATGGATTTCATTAGTTTAGCATGAATTTATCAGTTAATTATGTTGAGTTTTTTAATCATATTGGATTTTTATTTATGGTTTACATTGTTTCAAATTTTCATAATGAAATTAGCTTTTTCCTTAGTTCTTTTTATTTGATAATGAAGTTGATTTTTGTTATTTCAGTTTCAACCACAAGATGAAAATAATTTTAGTCAATATGATGTGTGATTTTGGAACTGAATTGCAGAACACCGGTATTTGAAGAAAAAAATGACATAAAAAAGTAGAAATACTCTAATCAATCTATGAGCAATATTGAATTATATATTTGAATTTTCATATTTTAATCATGAAAACCCTTTTAAATTTATTCAAATTCAATTAAAAAACAAATTCTTAGAATATTATAATAAAATTACGTCATTGTTTACGTCACCTCGCAGGTAGAAAAACTTTTTATGGTAAATTTTTATGTCGTTCCTCTAGTTATAAAACTCTTGTTGCTGTTACTGAATATCATCTCCCATTGCACTCAGTTTCCACAAGCTATGGATATTCTTCTTGCTGAATTCCACAAAGCTTGCATTTACACTGTCCCAAAGCATATTGTAAACTCACAGGTAACTAACTTATAATCACTTTGACAAAACCATTGCTTTTCTTATTAATTTCTCTGTAATAAATTCAGTCAGCTTGGGACTCAGACGCATATCAACGCCTAGATTCCATAATGAGACTCTACGGTGCACTTGTCCAGGTTTTTATTCAACTATATATACTTGTGCATTGCTAATTTTTATAGTCCGGTTCTTAGCAATGTGAATCTTCTTCTAATGGTAATGACAGACGGATATACGAAATGTCACAAACATTCATGGGATTGAACATGGATGGGCTTGGTTTGCCCGTTTCCTTAACAAAATCTCAGCCAACAACAGAGCTACCGCAACTGCCTTAAATGCATATATATAAAAAGGGTCTTTAGATCATAACCTGTGGTATCTGTTTGTGTGTATAGACGGCAGGGTTTGGTCTTCATCAGAGGTACAAATCTCAGTTGTTGAAAGTTGTGAGCGTTGTCAGAGCTCATTTCTTGCAAAAATTGAGGGCGAAAAAGGACACATCGGATCTTCAAGCGATCATACTCGATATTAGATGACCGAATGTATCTCAAGGAACCTGAAGGAAGAGCTCTCAAGGCAAATACTTTTGTCGGCGGAGTTTACTGCTGAAGTAGATCAGCAGCACTACCAGAGGAATCATTACAGCAACTATTATTGATTGATGATGTATCTTCCGTTAAATAGAAACCTATCTGATCAGTCACTGTTGTAACAATTGATAACTACAATATTTGAAAAAATCAAACACAAGATCTCTTTTATAGACTAGTTTTGTATCATTTAGATTCAGTGATGAATAACTGGAACAAGTTCAAGAGGAGAGTGATCACTCCGGTTTCTACCAAGCCCATGTCCTTATGTGATTTATTTGTTTATGTCGTGGTACCATTTGCTCGAGAGTATGTGTCACTTGCATGTTCTTTCCACAACAACTACCACCACGTCCTATGGATAGGCTTGAGAGCTAAGAAGATATTATGTTTAGTAGTATTAAATTGGATCGAGTGACATGTTACCGTTACCATTACTAAAGCCTTTTCGTTGACTTTTTCCCATTTAAGCAGTCTGTTATTAATTTGCAACTATTGTTGGATCTGTCTCGAACTAAGTATCCGTAACTCTTCACGTGGGTTTATCTTCCATCAGGTTAACACGTGGCTATATATTCATAGACATGCGTGTAGCTTGTACATGATTTGTATACCATCAATTCTATAGACTAAAATTTGCAAACAAGAAGCAGCAAAGATTATCTAAAGGAAACGAGACAATTGACTCAGTAAACAAATCACTGCCACTGGATTAGTTATGAGTTTGATAAGCATGTGAGTCGCATTTAGCATTTCCGTATCTTTTCGAGTTTAATATGTAAGTAAAACTAATTATTGATACGATTTTACGATGCAAATGTTCAGTGAAAAAATGATGTGAAGGAGCAAAAGAAGAGGGCTGAAAGTTAGGTGTGCCAAAGTCGTCGCTCTTTCACACTATCTTCACGCTCTTCTTACCGTTTCTCCTTTTCTTTCGTTCTCCTATTTTTTCTATGAATTAATAATATGTATAAAATTAATTTTGGCGTTTTTACTCTTTAACATTTGGTTGTCTCATTAGCAAACAACTCAATAATAGCAGTTTTTACCAAGAAAAAAAATTATCACATAAAGTCAAATAGCAAGATAGAAAATTAGGTGAAAATTGGGTGGGTTTTTTTTTTTTTTGTATTTTCCATCTTTTTTCTTCTCCGCCTGGGTGGGGAATTTATGGATTTAAGTATAACCATTAAGTAAGTGACACGTTATTTGATCTCTTTCAGCTTGAGATAATACAAACTATATAAACGAATAAAGTTTTAAGTACATGTTTTTGAGAAATCAATAAACAATAATATAAAGGGGAAAAAAGAGAGGTGGCGGGACCAGTTCATTAACGGAGTTAGATCATTATCCGTTAAAAGGACAGTGTGAGTCTCTCTAATCTATAAATAAATATCTTCATCCTCTTCTTCCCTCACTTTGTTCTTCTTCCTCATCTTGCTCTCGTATCTCTCCAGTCAAAATTAGGGTTTGGTTGACGCGTCTTCTCTCTTCCAGGTATGTCTCTATCTCCCTCCCTCTCTTTCTATTTCAGATACCTTCTATGTGCATTTGCTTCTGAAAATTTGAATTTCCCCCTTCACCCTTCCGTCGGATCTGGTAGAGCTTTCATGCTAATCATTCCAAATTGGGATGTTGATTTGCATGAAACAATCACAAATTTTCACAAATTGGACATTAAAGGAGGTTGTGAAGTAGAGAGGAATCGATTAGCTACGCGTGGTCTCAGATTGCACATTTTTTTTTCTGATGGTTTCTTCGGCTTTATTTGGGTCCTGCAGAGCATAAACGTTGTGTGGTGGGGAGCTTTCAGATTCAGATCAAAGACACTTGCTTTCGGAGAAAAAAAGATGGAGGTATTTGGAAAATCACCCATGGTTAGCTCTGCCAATGTTATTTACTTGTCTGCCATTCTGGGTCGCGATTGCGATGGACCCATCCAGTCTCACAAGTGTGACTGGAAATGTGAGAATGAGAATGTTTGCGGGAACATGTACCGCTGCAAACTAACTGGCCTGACCCACGTCTGCGACAAGAACTGTAACCAGCGGATTCTCTACGATAACCACAGCTCTCTGTGCCGAGCCAGCGGCCGGGTTTTCCCTCTCTCCCCCGCCGAGGACCAGGCGGTTAGAGGTGTCCGGAGGAAGCTTGACACTGAGAGCCATCCTTCCGAGAGCTGTTCCTTTAAGCGTCGCCGCCACGCTTCTCCTTTCGAGAGGTCTTTTACCGCCGTGAGCCCCATCTGCAGCCCAGCTGGAGACGGGATGGACTTGAGTTAGATCCATGTTGATCTCCTCAACCCTCCTGTGAGACTGAGAGGCTCTTTTTTTTTTATCTCACCTAGAATAACTTCCCTTCTCTATTTTTCTTTTGAACAACTTTGGATAAGTGACATTTGTGCTACTGTGCTCTAGCAGGGAGGGTCTAGGCATCCTCCTTGTCTTGAAGAGAGCTTTTATCTTAGTATTGTTGAACTTTATGTAGTACTTATGTAGGAGAGACTTTATAATTCTAATGCTCTATTATGATGGATCTTATTGCTTTCGTATTTAGGGGATATAGAATAATTCTGGATTTTTATTGCTTCTTCTTGTTGGTGATGTTTGATATCTCTTCTTGTGCACTTTTTTTGTTTTTTTTCCTTTGTGATTGGATATTATATTTAGGTTGGCTTTTAGCTATGTATCTTGTTTTGGCTACCGTCGAGTTACTATATTACGCAGAGCCTGTCACACCATTGGTGATTTCTGTAAGTGTGGTGCGACAGGATTTTTCCTTGTTGCTAACCAATGCAGCATAGGTTCTTCAGGATAAAGGATTTTATTCTGGTTTCTTATCCTGAAGAAAAGATCCCCTTAAATCCTTTATGATGGATACCTAATACTAACATTTTCTTTGTTATATTCTACTTCCCTTTCCTTGATCGATTAGTGCTAAGGGTCCTGAATATGTTTTCTGTTTGTGCAGGTCTTTCAAATGTTGCAACTCAGGAGAGATTAATTGTGTTTCTTATATGTTGTACATTGATTTGTCTGTTATGTTTTTGAATATATATAGTTTATAATATAAAGTCTTAACTGTTGGAAGTTTAAACCTTGCTTTGCAGGTCCTTTCTTGTTTGTGCTCAGCAGGCAACAGCACGCTTGGCTTTCGTTCACTGTGAGAGAAAGGAGGGAAAATGAGTAGGTGCGATTACCCAGTGCGGATGTGGTTGGCCACTTGGCCTACTGAGTTCAAAACAATCAGCTATTCATGGTAATTATGTGATAAAACATTAATGGAATTTTCACGCTTTTTGTCTTTCTCATATACTTGTGATCGCTGCTGCTGTACCATAGGTTCTGATATTTGTCTTATATCTATGACCAGGTACTATGTCTTTAGAAAGTAAAGTTTATGACTTCCCCTGATGGGATCCGGGCTCTTATTTACTCCCACCAAAATCACAGTCCTGGTAAGTAATCACCTACTCTTAAGTGTATATACACAGTGATGATGATCTGAAGTAACTCAAAAATAAGAAAAAACTTTGTAGTCATTACATAGAATCTAATTACTTAGGTCTGCAGCAACTTATAAGATGGAACAGTAGAAGTGAAGACGAGAAATGTTGCTTCAGTTTTTTTTTTTTTTTTTTTTTTTTGACGTGGATGTTAATGCAGTGTTTATTTTATTTTATTTCCTAAGCTGACAGAAAGGCAGAGGTGTAGGCATTCGATGGTTTGATGTAAGAGCTAGATTACCTGGGATCGTGGAAGATTCTATTCCAAAGAAGTTGGCAAAGTATCAAATGTTGACTCCACCGCTACGATAAGATACGGTACGGGAATATTTCTCCCTATTAGCCAATAGTGATGATTATAAATTTACAATCACTTTTTTTTTTAACTTGTTATCTTGTTTAGAGCTAATAATAAAACGAAACAATTCCTTACACTTCACGATTTGAGTTTCAAATTAAGATACAAAAATAAGAATTCAAATTTGATTGATAGAATTTTGTTTCATTTGGTATTGGTGATTCGTATTCGTTTAATTCGTTAAAATAAAAATTACATTGTTTACTTTTTCGTTTCGTCTTTTCATAACTTTGTCAACTCAATCGAAAGGAACTTGGATCTGAATTAAGCTTTTTAATTTATTTTGGTTTACAATGGTGACTACTGTAGATTCGCTTACGTCTTGTCGAAGATGATTCATTACAGTACTTCTATTATTTTCCGCTATTATATTATAATAATACGGATGAAGAGAGGTTGGGGAAGCAAGGCAAAGAATTGCCTTGTCGGAGAGGCCAGTGCCCTAAGAGTAATACTAAAACCTAATTCATTGTCTTGCGGCTTGAATCTTTCTAAAGCAACTTCACCGCTTCAACATTGAATCATTTCTCTCCCTCTACATTTTGTTTTAGTATAAACCATGGTCCACGGTCCTCCCAGCCAAATCCATATTTCTGAAATCCTAAACCTTAATACGATAATGGGAAGATCACCAATGATTCCCATGGCTGTTCTTGTTTATGTTTCTCTACTGTTCTCTGTCTCTTATTCCTCCACGTTCGTCATCACGAATAACTGTCCCTTTACTATTTGGCCAGGCACTCTTGCAGGCTCTGGCACCCAGCCACTACCTACCACGGGGTTTAGGCTTGATGTGGGACAGTCTGCGAGGATTCCCTCGGTTCTAGGCTGGTCAGGTCGGATATGGGCTAGGACCGGGTGCAACTTTGATGCTAACGGTATGGGAAAATGTATGACAGGAGACTGTGGCGGGAAGCTGGAGTGTGCCGGTAATGGTGCTGCTCCGCCGACATCACTTTTCGAGATCACGCTCGGTCGCGGTTCTGATGACAAAGATTTCTACGATGTCAGTCTCGTTGATGGGTATAACCTCCCCATTGTTGCTCTCCCGACAGGTGGTGGACTGGTTGGAGCTTGTAATGCTACAGGATGTGTTGCTGATATCAACATTAGCTGTCCAAAGGAGCTTCAAGTGATGGGAGAGGAAGAGCAAGAGAGAGGAGGAGTTGTTGCTTGCAAGAGCGCCTGTGAAGCCTTTGGACTAGACCAGTACTGTTGCAGCGGTCAGTTTGCAAACCCGAACACATGCCGACCTTCTTCCTACTCTACCATCTTCAAGAGAGCTTGTCCTAGGGCTTATAGCTACGCCTTTGATGATGGAACCAGTACTTTCACTTGCAAGGCTTCTGAATATGCCATTATCTTCTGCCCTGGCAGGTATAATACCATAACCCGTGTTTCACTTTCAATAAACATTTGCAGATTCTGATTGAAGAGACTTGAATAACTTCTTGTTCCAGGGTAAAAAGACCGAGCAGCCAAAACTCGGATCCACCGAGCCCGCCTCAGAATCCGTATGGTCAACCTATGGCTCCCCCACCTCAAAATCCATACGGTCAACCTATGGCTCCCCCTACTCAGAATCAGTTCGGGCAACCTATGGCTCCACCAACTCAGAATCAGTACGGTCAACCTATGGTTCCTCCAACTCAAAATCAGTACGGTCAACCTATGGCTCCTCTGGCTCAGAACCCGCCTGGACCAAATCAGAATCAGAACGGGGACTCAATGACTCCCCCACCTCAGAATCAGAATGGTATTGGGCAGTTCGTGCCTCCTCCCACTATAAGCCAAGAGCCAAACGACCAGTTTATGAATCCCCCATTTGAAGACGAGAGTCAAAGAGCTGAAACGGGGAGGGTTGCAAAGACTCAATCCTCGTCTGACATTCTTCGACCTTACCCAGTCTTGTTGCTTGTTGGCCTCAGCCTAACTGCTTTGAGGCAATCATCATCATTCTTACTTTTTTAATGAGAATTGATTCGTGACTGTGGAAGTAAGCTAACAGACCATGAATAGTGTATTCCCAGAGATTCTGAATTGTATTCATCAAAGTCCTTAGATTACATTTGAATTGTTTGAATTTGCTTCATAATTCATACATGTAAAACTACTCTATAAAATGTATATAATGTTCGTTGTCTCAACTGGATAAAGAAAATGACAGTTTTTTTTTCTTAAAAAAGGGAAAAATCAAAATCGTAACTCATTTCTTGGGTTTTGTTTTCTTAGGAGCAGAATTTCTAGCCTTCTTTGCTGGTTGCTGCTTCTCTTTAGCTGGTCTCCCTCTCTTTTTTCCTACAACCTGCAAAGATTCCACAAACTATTATTTACTGTAACAGGTTTTGTATATATGAATATCGATCTCATAAGGAGGAATCAGAGTTTTGCCAACGTACATTTTCGCCTTTTGCTTTGGCTTTGCCTTTGCCATTTGCGTTGGTTACTTCCGCTGCGCCTCCACTTTGATCAGCGGGCTTTGAAGCAGTCTTGGCCTTTTTGTCTGCTTCATCATCTGAATCGAACGAATATCCCTCCAGAGTTCCTGAATGGGTCATAAAATTAGCCGAATAAGCGTCTGCGTAAATTCAGTACCAAATCCACAATAGTGCTACAAGAAGACAAGATAGCAATAATGTCTTTCTTCAGGGAAAACGAGCTGACCTTCCACCATTGTTTCTGCTTCATAGACATTAGATTGTGGTGTTAGCTGTATGAAGTCATTCATAATAGCTTCAATCTGACAAGGAAACATATGATCCATAAATTAGGCTGTTGTTTTAGTTTCCCCCGAACGGCTAAAAACTAGTTTAAAGTCAAGATCTATGAGCAGGAATATATATATCAACTACCAACCTTTGCCTCTGACTGACCTACGTTAACCTGAAATGCAAGATCTTTGGGGGTGAGTGACTGTATAATACAAGTGCTCTTACAAGTCGAAACGAAGGAAAGGAAAACAAAAACCGTACTACGCAAAACGTTCTGGATGGAACAATTGTTGATTTATATATGGTTCCTGAAACATGAAATGATAAGTGTTAATAAAGGGACTCCAGTAATGAACTGATTCTATTACTTTAAAAAAAAACACAGAACCATTTGGAGTAACATGCCTTTCAGGTCCAAGTACACGTCCTCGGTTGTGTCTGAAACAACCACGCGTCCAACAGCCCCCATGTCTCCACTCAAATCTATCGAGTCCCCTTCACATTCAACGAGTACCTGTACATATAGTTCATTCAACAAGTGTGCTTATCTACAATAAAACTCTTAAGTCGATGAGGTTCGGCCTTTCCGGAACACAAGCGTGTCAATGATAAATAAAAGTTGAGTGTAAACAATTACAAAGAAACATATTTGCATTACCTTTGTACGATTCACCTTCTCAGAAAGCACCAAAGGCAGTCTTGAACTTGAGCCCTGGAATTTGTAAATCTCGTCATAAGGAAGAATCTGAGAAGAAACAACAAAAGTGGGTCCTAGCACAAGGTCCTTACAGAAGAAGGCTTGGTACTTTTATCCATTGTTACTTCCTCGGCTACTATGGCATCTGTATCTTTATCTGTGTGATAGAGGAACCGTTACCTTAAATTTAGAAGAATCTTCAATTCACAAAACTTGGGTACAATTCATACCTTCGCTTATCAAAGATTCTTGTGAACTGTTTTCTTTCTTGGGTGTCTGACGCACACTGTTTAGCTTTTTCTTAGGAGATTTTTTCTTTGAAGCCTTCTTAACCGCAGGTTCTGTTGCTTCAGCTTGAATAATCAAATCCTCATCCTCTTCAGTTGACATAATCACTTGCTGCCTTACCGGATCACTGGAGGGTGGTTCAGAATCAGATGAGACAAGCCATACAGAATCATCATCTCCCTGATAGAGAAAAAAATGATAAACAGTAGTAACCTGTCAACTCCATACCAAACAAAGAAAGCATATTTGGGACTTATGTTCCATACAGATCCACACAAACAGCATATACTAGAAATACAATACTCATGCAGCTGCGAAGCTTCACTAAAGGAAGGTTTATAACTAACAAATTACTATCTTGATACTACAATTTATTTATCAAACAGATGCATGCAAGCAAGAAACACTCGAATCTAACTACTCAATAAGGCAAGTAGAGTCAACACACGCACTAACGCCTACAACAGAGACGGGTCTCCAAACGTTTCTTACTTGAACGTCTTTATCCTTGCTAGACTTTTCTTCACCGTCAACTTTGTTTCCATTTTGCTTCTCTGCAAATTGTTCCCCAGTAAAAAAACCATGCCTTTAAGAGCTCAATAGCATCTGCTGAATCATCTGAAACAAAGCTTACATACCTTCAAGGTTGAGACTAGCATCTGCTTTCTTCTTTCTAGTGAACACCTGCTCGATACTCACCTGCTTTGTCACCAACTTCGTCTTAGATCTCTTCCTAGACATAGACCCCACGGATTCTTCATCGAGTATCGCGGCGGCGTCACTGTCATCAGGCACCGGAAGAGACGAAATGGTTTCAGATTCCCTGTCAGGACTATCATCTGGAGAAGATTTAGACGGCGAGGATAGTGATAACAATGAAGTGGTGGTGGGTGCCTGCGCAACAAAAGCTTCCGCATTTCAATTGTGTTTCTTTAAATAGCAACCCAATAAAGAAGAAACAGAATCTCAGATCGAAAATCAATAGGAAACCTGGAAAGAGCGGAGCCAATCGGGAGATCCCTCTCTGGAGCTGCTCATATTCACTTCTTCAGAGCTCAAAAGCAACAATTGAAGCTTCTTCCGACTTCAATCTCCACTCAATTAGATTAAAATCAGCTCGCGGAATACATGCAGCACTTCGCGAATCAAAATACCCTAAGAAGGGACCTTAAAAACCATAGATTCGAAATCGAAACTCACCTTGAATAAGGTGAACAAAACTTGAGCGATTAGCGGATCTACGGAGGTCGAAATACGGAGACGAGATCTAGAAAAGGAATCTGGATGGGCTGAGGGAAGGAAGCTAAAGCTAAAGCTTCCGCCGCCGGCGAGACTGAGGTGTGTGAAAGACGCGGGAAGATTGGCACAAACCGCTTGTTCCGGTTGCCGGGTGTTTGGTCGCAAGGGCAAAACTATCCCCACGTGGAGATAAAATTGCAAAACGCCCAACTAAGCCTTAAGGAAAATGAGCAAAAAGCCCAACTAGGCCTAAAGGAAAATGAGCATAAAGCCCAATAATCGATCTAATATCATCTCATCGGCTCTATTAAGGCCCAATACGTCGCAGAAACGGAGACGGCATTGGGGAGGAGGGAGATAAGAAGAGGAGGAGGAGTAGAACAAGAAAAGTGTGAGAGAAGAAATATGGGGAAAGACGGAGGAGAGAAGAAGCGTGGAGATGGAGAAACAATGGCGGTGATGAGCTTGATGAAGGATCAGCAGAATCCAATCCAGCAATTTCAGGTTAAATACAAAGAGGTGGAGGCTGGTTTCAAGTCGTGGCTGTCGAAACAGAAGCTGCCGGTGGAAGCCGCCGTCGTCACCGCAATGGGAGGCGTTCAGGGAGCATTTATCGGCGGTCTCATGGGAACTCTCTCCCCTGAGATGCCTCAGTCCGGAATGGACCCACAAGCCATGGCGTCGTTGAAGCAAACTCAGGTTTTCAACCTCTGTTAACCCTAAAAATTGATGAGGTTTTATTGATACCTGGTTCTGTCACTTTCACCGTTTGCTGCTATATTTAAATTAATGGAAGAGAGATGTGTGAATCTTGTAGGCTCTTGTGGGTGGGCCATTGGTCCAAGCTCGGAACTTTGCTGCCATAACTGGTGTAAATGCTGGTATAGCTTGCATAATGAAACGTATTAGAGGCAAGGAAGATCTAGAGTCTGCGTAAGTTTCATTTTGATCTTAATCTAATTGCAGCTGTTGCTCTCCTACTTAGCTCCTTTGTGTCGTGTGTGGCTTGTTGTTTACTGATAATTCATCAGTGATTTAAGACTTTATCAATCCTCTGTAGTGACACTTACTTTCTGCAAATAGTGTTTATGCTCTGCACTTGTCACTTATTTGATCATTGGTTTGTTTTGAATATAGCTGACACAGGTTACAAGTCTTAATCAGCTTCTCTTTCCCTTTCATAAAATTACAACCTCTCCCTGAATCAGCTCGTTATGATCACTCTGATGCCTAAAATGACTCACTGCTCCTATAGGATTTTTGACCTCTTGTGTTTACATTTGATAGTTACAGTTTCTCACTGGCTCTTACTTGTTTCTTGTGTATATATGGGCAAAGGAAGTAATGATTTTTTTTTAACTGTGCAGTGTGGTTGCGGCATTAGGATCTGGAGTCGCATATTCTCTGGTGAGCGCAGGATTACAAGGACAGCCTATGAATGCAATCACCACTGCTGGTGGTTTCGCTCTTTTTCAAGGAATATTTTTCAAGGTAAATGATCGATCATACACACATAGGAGACTAAACTGTTGTTGAGAAACCAGGCACTAAACATGTGTTTCTTGTTTTATGGTCTTGTTCAGTTGGGGGAAAGGTTCACTAAACCAAGCGTTGAAGATCCATATTATACCCGAGGGAGGTCTATGCTGCTGAAGCTGGGTCTAGAGAAGTATGAGAAGAACTTCAAGAAGGGTTTGTTAGCAGATCCCACTTTGCCATTGCTCACTGATAGGTAACTGAGCTCTCGACTTTTCGTTTCTGTATCCACTAAAACTGTCTTTTATCGAAATCTAATATCCATCTACACACACACACTCTCAGTGCGCTAAGAGACGTGAGCATCCCGCCTGGACCAAGGCTACTGATACTAGATCACATCCAGAGGTTCGAATCTAGCTTCTCGCTCTGTTTTCAAAGGCATGAATCCGTGAAATCACTGAATTGTGGTGTTTTTGGTTTGTATAGGGACCCTGAGCTGAAGGGCAAGCGGGGAAGTCGTGGTTGAGACTTGAGTGCTCTCCTCTGTGTCTTCGGCAGAATCTTCGTATGGTGGTGTTATGAGAATCTCAAGCATTGTTATTAAAATTATAATTATTAGCTCATGTTGCTTAGCAAGAAACTTTGATTTCTTCCGTCTTGTTACGAGCTTAGCTATGTTTGCGTCGATGACAAATTTATTATGTTAGATCTTTCTTTTCTCGAAATCCACTCGACAATCTCTTCAAACTTATATAAAAATATTCATTACTTTAGTATTTGCTCATCAGATCATGTTAGTTAATTATAGTTAAGACTAATACTTGAAATTGTAGTGTTTTGGCTCTAATTAATATTTGAAATTGTATATGATTTTCTTTATATTCATGACGTTCTGTAGGGGAAATATGAGCATCCTAAATTTCCGTAAAAGGCCGATAGCGTTTCAACATTCAAAACTGTGGTTGAAGTTAGCAAAAAGGATTGTTTGGTTAAGTTAGGTATCACATCGACATCCAAAACGATTGATATATTCATGAAAACGGCCCTTAGGCATGTCACATGTGATGTGAGGCTATAATATATCATACAATGGGATCACTTTGTTTTCCCACCAAGTAGTATATCCTTCTCTTAAGGGTTTATCTTTCCTATAACTTCTGGTAAACATCACATTAGCTACACCATTTTTCTGTATGGTCGCCGAATCTTTTGAATTAAGACACATTCTTTTTTCGAGACAACAAAAAAAAAAGAGCTTCAAACTCGATATCAAGCTCCTTCAAAATAAACTGTATATATTTAAAAAAAACCCAAGATTTTGTAATATGGTGTACATCAGTTGTTGTTTTTTTTAACACTGCTTTATTAATGTATTGTAAATTATGAAAACTGTTACATCGACGATTGTACAACGGTTAATTCTACTATTTTATGAAAATCTACGACTAACGGCTCTACATGCACTCTGCAACATACACCACGTTTACCATCATCATATAAAGATTTACGTCTGATAATTCTGTTTGTAGCACGCTTATCATCATTAATTGTTTAGACGCAAAAATTGTGTTTAGTATTTGCATTTACACGTGATATTAATATAATTCAGTAATAAATCTTTTGTAAAATGTACAGGCAAAAACAAAATAGAAATATAATTTTCCTTTTATATTTGTATTTTTTTTTTTTGCAATTACCGTTCTCAAATAAACTTCCATAAAAAACATTAAAAGTTTCTGAATTCAAGTTTGAAAGACAAAAAAATTCTTCAATATTATAGCAAACAAATAATCAATGAAACCCAAAAACACACAAGGGGGTATATTGAAACTAAAATTTTAGACAATTTGAAAAGATTTGAGTTTTAATAAAATTTTAGATGATTTTATGTGGATTAGGAAAATTGATATGATTTGACATTAAAATTATATGAAATCCCACCTAAAACAATAGGATTTGGTTTTCAATATTTTTAACTAACAAACTTCACCAAATCATTTAAAAGTACTCAACATTTTGTAAAATCCACTATTTAAAATATTTTCAATAAAAGTGGATTTGATTTAATTTTTACAAATTCTTGATTGAATAACATAAATGTTGAAGTGATTTTAATTGGTTTTATATAAATTTCATGTTCAATAACACAGATTTTTGTAATAACAAAGACTGTGTATTAGTAAATTATTTTATCAAACTTGTAAAACTCTTTAGTCTCCTGCTTTAAAAATAGTTTAACAACAAAATCACTCGAGGCTATCATACAAACGGATTTCTCACATGAAAAAAATATAGCAAATAACAAAAATGAACATTATTCTTTTTTTAATTGCTTTCAAATTCCAATTTTGTAGTAGATATAAAAAAGGGTTATTCAAAGACTTGATTGCATATTCGAAGAACACCGATTTTTGTTTATACTAAAATTTCCAAGGAGAAATCTGAGATATGAACAAAAAAAAGAAAATCTACAGATTGGCAATGATATGAGCCAAACTTATGTAAACTCAGATACATCCAACAATCTAAAGAACCTATCATTATACATACACATGCATCTATCTATCTACGGCGAGGCCAAATCGGAGGAGGAGGAGAGACGAGAGAGCTCGTTCATGAGGAAGAGAATGCGAGAGTGGTAATCACGCGCCTGGTCCAGAGATTCGGCTTCGAGCTCGGCGAGCTGTGAGCAGAGACGCTCCTCGGCCTCCTCCGCCACCTGCGTCCGCCGCCACAACTGAATCATCTCTTTCCTCATTTCCTCCACCGCTTTTTCCATCTCTTCGTTCTTCCGCCTTAGCTCCTCTACCTCCGAAGCCGCCACCATCACAAAGTTTCCTCCTTTCCCCATTTTCTTTTCAAAGTTCTGTTTTTTTTTTAATGGTTATTTGAGGATTTCTCTCCTTTTCTTTCTTTGTTGCCTTTGTGCTGTTTGTTGTTCTTCTGGGTTCTTGGATGTTCCTTATTAATAGGCGTCGCTGCGATTGGGGCTGTTGGGTGCATACATGTCTAGGTTCAATGTATCTTCTTCTTCTTCAGTTTTCTTTTATTTTATTGGTATTTTCATTTTCCTCTAGAAACATTTTCTTTCTCTATTTTATCGTTTTTCGGTACACGTTGGATCCCATTACTGGCCAAAATCTGATTGGTACAAATGGTAAAAAGAATTATTTTATGTTATGTGAGAATATCCTCTTTGTTTTGGGGTGCAAATGTGGGAATATCCTTTGTCACTGTTTCCTGTTGTTTAAAATGTATCAGTGCTGATATGATTTGTAATATTTTGATTGGTAGAATATCACTCAATGGATCACACTCGT